TGAAAATCTTGTTTTTTGCTAATTACCGCGCGCTCTTTGTGTTACTCTATTAATAAATAATCATCTATTATAAAATATTTTTTTCAAAGTATGCTTTCGAGAAATTAATATAGATCGTGAGTAGTCAAAAATATCCTGCTTGTGTATATAGAAAAGAGATCGAGGTGGAATAATAAAAAAAAAACAGTTATGAAATTAAGAGACATCAGAGATCGGAGGAGGATCGACAGATTAATTTTATGAATCATTCTGGATTACTTTCCGCACGTTTATTTCGAGAAACCACAAAGGTTAGCGTATTTGTTCGCGTAGCAGATCGACAAGCCTCTTCTTTTCATCTTTGAAGCTCGATAAGTCCACGGGGAGCCCTCCAGGGGAGGAACTTCCTCCCTTTGACGTCGTGTTTCACGCAACGCTAAGTTATGCGAAGATGCTCCTTGTTTAAGCATAAATTGGGCTCTCGGCTCGTCCCGCATAAAAGGTCCTCGTCCTTGAAATTAATTCGCGAAAGAGACAAAGGCTCCGGTCGCCGGTTCACTGAACGAGTCGCGCGGCTTTACGGATGACAAGCCATCGGCACGCGACGTGCAAACGTTGCCTGAGCGGAAAGGAAAATAATTGGATAGATAATTGTAACGATGCCGCCGCGACGACGACGACGAGGAGGAGAGGGTTGCTTGACAAGCTACTCGTTCTTAAATTTTAATCGAACGGATTAAGATTCGGTGGTGCGGCAAAATCGACGAGTAACGAGTTCCTTTCGGAAATGAGAACCACGGATTTTCAACAAGTGAGATACGCACACATATTACGTTTTTCACGCTTCATACAGTTAATTGTTTAACTACAATACGTTCCACTACGAATTGTCACGATTGCCAAACAGATTTTTGCGACGCTGCCGGAGGACTTAATCATTAATTGGCAGAGCTTGCGGTTTAATACCGACCGCCTCGATAACACACGACCGGATGCATTAACGATTGCATTTCCGCGCGGCTTATAATGTATATTGTTTAATCGTTGAGCAATTATGTTGCACAATGCACAGCGTGACGGGCGGCGACGTACCTATTGATTTTAGGAAAGAGGGAGGATGAGAGATGGAGGGCGCGGGGGTGAAAGTGGTCCGACAGTCTCTCCTGACCACCGCAGGTTCATTCTCGACGAACCTTCTCTCTCAGGAATCTCGTCGCCGTGTCTCTCCTCCCTTTTAATAGATATTAAACGACAGCTTTTGATGGGTTTAAAAGAGCTTTTGAAGTGATGATATCATTGAGAATTCGGTATATTTTCATACGCATAAAAGTAAAAAGGAGACGAAGGTGTTATTAACGAAGCGTAAAAAAATCAAGAACTCCTCTGGTGCTTCGTTATTTCACTCTTTCGTCGTTCAATATCTGAGTAACCAAATCGACATTTATAAAGAGGCCCATCTTGCGCAAATTCTCACGTAAAGGACGCCCCCGTGATTTACGGGAGAGAAAAATATGTCGAATTTGCGTATCGACGACTCCTTTTCCCGCGAAGCGTCATTTGATTTTACCAATATTCAATGGAGGGTTAACAATTTTTTAGGTCGCACTGCCGCGGAGCGCGCGTATATTTCATCAGTCGTACACTCCATCGTCGTTTACAGGGTAACTACTCCGGCGAAATCCCCGCGAATTTTTCACCCGGGCACCCGCGAGTTCTGGATTTCTGTTTAAGAAATCAGACTTCCGTCTCACGTACTCCCCGGGATTACGGTCGCGCTCGTTCTCGACCAGGAGGGCGGCCACTTCATCTTGAATAACCACAAACGGGAAGAGGATTCGACCAAATCGACCTTCTTCATTTTCCCCTTGAATTCTTCTTCCTTAAAAAGAAAAAAATTCGCATCGATTTTTTTTAACAATTCCTTCCCAAACTATCGGGAGCAAAATCGCGCGGAGGGAGAGAGAGAGAGAGAGAGAGAGACTAAGCTGTCTTGTGAAAGTGATATTTTACATCGTTCGTTTAACGACACGATGATAACTTCATCTTCGTCAAAGGGCGGGAAAATTTCGGATTTCCCGAAAGAGCATTTATTTACCGACGAAATTATTAACACGGAACATTGTTGCCGGGAGGATCGCTGGCGCGAAGGAGTGGTGATATTATCCGACGGCGAGTGTTTGCGCGAAATTAAATCGGTCGCGTGCCCAGTGAAAAGGATATGTCTAACGAGATTGTAAAATCCGCGCCGGGATAATTGTATTCGCGCTCAATTTAAACTCGCGTTGATAATCGATGGTCGTTAAATCGCGCGGCGCCTCTGCTCTGCGCGTGTCGCCGCCGCCGGTTTTAATTCTACTTAACGAGCGGCTCGCGCGGACCGATGCGCGATTTAATGCTCAAACAAAATGCGCTGCATCAAATTCCGTTTATGATATAATTAAAGCCGCGGTTCCGAGCGCGCGCGATCGCGTATTGTCGCAACACATGCGCGCGGATCGTCGGCAACTCGCCCAATTTCCCGTGTCAAGCCGTCCGACGCGGAAAAAGCGCGAGCGGTAAAAATTTCGGATTGGCTGCTGCGTTAATTGAATCAATGGCTCGGAGTTAATGACAGGCTAATCGGTTGAAGCGCGACACGTTGCGGCGGAAATGTTCAATGGAGACTTGCGACGATCGCTGCCGAAAATTTCCGACGTTAGATTCCTTTTTCTTACGAGCTCGAAGCTTAACGTTTCTCCCAAAGTGAGACGGTATCGTCGATCAAGAACCGTCGATCGACGATACGTCCGTCACCTGCTTGCGATTGATTCTCGTCGAGATCTCTCTTTGTTACCGTCGCGTCTAACACCTGTACATGCAGCGAATTAACGCAGTTGCGAACGCACTATCTTCCAAGGTGAACGATGAAACTGTTTCGGCTGTAAATTAACGCACGCTGAAAGCTAATAGTTACTTTAACCGGCCGCCGGTACTCAGTCCCCGCGAAGTTCTAGCGCAACGGTCATCTCTCTCGTGCCGACGAGTAAAACCGCTCTAACAGGTTAGTCGCGATAAAGAGTTAAAGAGATTTCCAGACGAAAGGATGCAGCACATCCTCGGGATCGCGAACATCGTCGCAAGAGTCGCGCACGGAACGATTTGAGAACCGTCGCTTTAAAGCCCCACTTATCGAGCGCCTAGTTGGTATGATAATGTAATAAAATAAATGGAGGTTGCTGCTTCCGAGCGATATAGTCCTCCACCCTCTCTCTCTATTCCCCCGGTCGCCCCCGCATCCCCCTGTGTTACTCGTACCACCCCCCTCCCTTCCGGAATCGAGAAGGTAGAAGGGAATGGAGAGAGCTCACCTCGAAAGCGAAATACAACAAGTCCCGCCGCCATTGCTGGGTCACCCTTCAGCGGGAGTTTTGTCGCCGCGTGGGTGGGGGGTGGGTTGACAGCCCCGCGAGAGTCAGTCTCACCACCCTTCCCAACGACCGGATCGAGCCCGGCTCGACCCCGGCTCCCCTGCTTTCCGGGGCCGCGGGCGGATATACGCGGGGGAGACAGGTCGAAAACTCCGCCCCCGCACATCCGCGGAAGCGAGTCAATACTATCCATCCCCGCGCGCCGCCATGCCTACGCTCGCCCTTTCCTCGTCGGAGGATGGATATCGAAATTCGTTACCGGCTCTCTGCGCGCGGGACTTACGACGGAAGGGGGGCTTGATACAGGTGTCTCTCAGGAAGCGTTGATTCGTCCCACTTCGACGACAAGCGCGTCGAATGCGATAACTGTTCTTTTAATCCTCGGTCACGCGATGTATTCCTCGTGTCGGAAGGCTGCGAGAGGATTAATCTACCGAGGCGTCGTCGAGACGGCTTCTTCCGATCTTGATGAGCCCGTGGAATCACCCATAACTTGTGCAGCTTCCTCGTTTCTACTGATGATATTTAAGGTCACAGGTTGTAAAAATTATCTCTGCGACGACGCAGATCGTCAGGTATGTAAAAGAGCTCCTCCAGCCAAATATATTTCATATTACGATCAAGGAAAAATGTAAGTGAAGAAGCTCGTTCGAGATTTTTTTCCCATCTTTCCAAAATTCCGCCACGTTTTCTCCATACAGACGGAGTATTTCCCCCAATTATTCTCCGCGGTTCGCCGCCTGACTCCGCGCGTTTCGTAGATCCGCTCGAAAAGGCATTAAGGACGCTCACCCCCGACGCCGGGGCGTTTAACTCCCCGATTGCTTTGACAACTTAAGCAGGCCCTTAAACCTCGCTCGAGCCCCGATGTAATTTATAAGCGGCGGCGAGGGGGGTAACTCCGCCGGGGACCGTCAAACTGCCATGTGGCAAAACCCTCGTTGGGAGGGGAAGTCAGGGATTATGCGGTGATAAATAAATATGTACGTTTATGCAACAACCACCGTGACGGGGTTGCGGATGTGTGTGTATACGTAGCTTGCGACCGAAGTCAAATCGCGTTTCGAGGGGACCGCAGGGTGGATTCTCACCCCTCCTTGTCAAATACGCCGGCGATCTATGAACTTTGCGAGGTGTTCGTGTGATTTCCTCTAGCAATTAATTATTAATTCATTTTTGATCACGTTTTGTAACAGTCGTCTGCCCCGTTTTCGCAAAATATTTTCTTCCTGCTTTTTATTCACGACCATATTTTCACGCGGTGCCGTCGCTAATTGTATTTCGATACTTCTTTATTCGGGTCTTTATGCGGCGTCCTTTTCTAGCATATTAATTATTAACTCGTTTTTTAATATGTTTCTTAACAGTTTTCCGCAAAATCATTTTCTTTCCTTTTTATCGATAGTATACAGATACGATCAGCAATTTTCACGATATATTTCATCAGCTTCGTCGTTTCGTCATTTTCGATCGTCAGATAACTTTTTGTTATTTTCAACTACTTATACTTACCCGCTGTTTACTAATAATGAGCGCAACCTAAAACGATAATAATCGCAAATCAAATTAGAACTGCACGGGACAATGAATTAACGGAGATAACCGGAGTTAATCAGATTTACTTTTATTACAAGTATTCGTTACAATACATATCACCGACTGAGAGTACGTAGACTTTTACAGCGAATAGTATCACGTATCACAACACGAAATATACAGAGAAAGTGCGGACGAGCGTTCATTTACAGCGCCGAGAAAGCAACCCCCGCATCTTCGTGAACGAAGATACTTTTGTGCCGGTCAATTTCATACGCTAAATTAAATTTCACGTATTCGTGTTGTCGCCTCGGTTATTTGTACACGCGACTTAATCCCGATGGCGACAAGTATATCGCCACGGTTTACCAATCGCATCTCTCGCACGCATAAATTTGTCCGTGTGCACATATTTATCTATCCGAATTAATTTGCTCGCTGAGAAAAAAAGGAGAAAAAGAGAAAATATTTCACATACCGAATTCACAGGAATACATTCGAAGGATAATTTAGTCCCGCATTTCCGACGTTCATTCACCAAGCTACGGGGTGTCTCTCCTTGCCCTCCGTCACTTTCCTCTCTAATTCGGTAACTTTACGACGAACGTAAAACAAGGTACAAAAGACAAGAAAGGAGAAAACGAAACGTCCCTCCACTTCTCCGCGTCGATCCATCCGATCGTTCTCGGCGAAAGCGGGTGACGTTCTATCAACGTGCCGGGCCTAACGCTCGATAAATATGTCTATAATAAATAAATACATGTATATCTATGTGTGTATATTTACGCCGCGATTGACGTGTCCCTCGGTCGACTTTAGTTGCCGTTGAATTCGTTTGCGACGCTATCCCCCGCCTCTGTGTGCCTCGCGTTTGTACCGGTAGTAGGAATACCCGCCGATCGGAGTTCTCGCGAATTTGCCGAAGGGACACAGGACTTCGTCCTTAGGCCTGATCGTGTCGGAACGAAGCTCGAGATATCCTTGATCTTTGCATTCGGGGAATATCTCTCTCTTTCTCTCTCTCTCTCTCGCCTCGGCCTTTGCTTCAACTCCACTTTCGATGACCGATCGTGTCTCCTACGAATCCTACTTTCGTCTCGAGATTCTTCGGATCCCGCGGATTGCTCGACCGCGCGGTCGCTTTTCATCGCGCCACTTCGTAACTCTTTGCCGAGGTGGCCTTAGTTTTTGTACATGTCGCAAAGGACCTTCTCCATCGGCGTATTGCCGATGGTCCTGTGGAAGTAGATCAACTCCACTCTCGCCGCTGGAACGGCTCTTAGCAACGGCAGCAGCAACAACAGTCTGCCGAAGCGGGCCGGACTGGCTGGCTGTTGAGCGCGCGCGTGCTGTCCCAGCATCACTTGCGCCTGATCCTGCAGATTCTCGATCTGGCTGGAGTCCTTCAGGCCGCGAGTTTCTGTAACGAGAAAATTCGTTCTCCAGCAGCTCAGCCCGTGAAATTGTGTATCATCCAGTTAAGCAAAACACTCTCCCGTAACATCGTTTGAATTCAATCGGTTTACGAATATAGTAAAATAAGGAGAATTTTTTGCGTATGGTCAGTCACGAAAAGACTTTTTGTTTAATAAGTTTCGGAACGCATCTCGTGTCCAATAGGAGAATTTGTTTTGTAATAATTATCAGGAGATACATCTTCCTATTGGATGCGAGATACGTTGCGAAACTCATCGAAAAAAAAGGTATTGCACCTTTTTAGTGACTGATTGTACAAATTTTCACGCTATTTCGAATAGAATTTGAGTAAAAATTAGAAACAGCAATTAATTTTGTGTTAATCTTATATATAACATTTATGTTGCTTTTCAACACGTTCACTTCGTGTCGAATCAACAGAAAGATTTGTGTTTGGAATATGTGAAATATGTGAAATTTAACACGGAATTTTTCATCGTGTGGAGACGAAAGATCGCTAACCTGGGCGGAAGAGGACGATGGCCTTCATACAGGCGAATTCCGCGGGATCTACCATGACCGCCTTGTATCTCTGCAGGGTGTCGTGCAAGTGCCTGACATCCGCCGCCACTTGGCTCGGCTTTCCCGTGGTGGTTTGCAGATGCATCCCCGAGTGCGGATGCGGATGAGGCGAGAGGGTCAGAGCCGTCAGCTCGGCGGCGCTGAAGAGAGGCGACGACTCGAGCGGCAGGCACCATTGAACTGCGTTCAGGAGAAACAGCTCCGACCAGGCTTCCTCAAGTAATATTACCTGCGCGATAAACACGATCGATCGAGCGTAATTAGGTATTCCGTTGACGCCTGGGATGTCTCGTTATTTTATTAGCGTGTTGTTTTAATTAAAGAAATATTTCAACGCTTCCATCCCACTGCCCGATAATCCCGCTGGGACAAAAATAACGGAGTGACGATAAAGTCTTCGTCTGATTTGCGGGAGAACTAATCTTTCATCAATTGATTTGGTCGTTGATATATATATAATATATATATCGTTTGCTTGTCTGATTAATTTCCGACGACTGTTACTGTCGCAATCGCCGATTTATCAATGTTAAATATCGGACAAGTGTACGCTAAAATCGCGTGCTAAATACCTGAATACATGTTCAATTGATATATTTGACTATAAAATAAACAGGTACTAGTTTTTCTCAGTGTCGATTAAATTTTAACCTGACCCGAGACGAAATTTTCAATCCTGCGTTAATTCTTCAAGAAGTGAAGAATACGGAAATAACTTTCAGAATCTAAATTTTAGTTCTACATTAAGTGGAGAAAACGACAATAACTTCTCATTTGTAGCATCGAAGAAACATAATAGAAGAATTTTCAAGACATAATGTAGAACTAAACTAAACTTAATGCGGGACTGAAATTTCGACTCGGGGAGTTTAAGGTAGGTATTCACAGTCATATCTAATATCTAAGATCTAATATTTAAGATTACCTTCAGATGCCGTATGGTTCATTTCATTGGTTACAAAACAAATCTGAGGGTGAACTTAAGACGGTCTTAAATATTTGGCTGTGAAATTTTTGTCGGAAGAGTGTTTAAACTCAAGTTAAAAGGTATAATCGACATTGGTAGAAACATTCATGATATTGTGATATGTTACCTGGTCTCGAAATGGTAGACTAGCGAAAGAGGGAAGGTTCTTTGCCCATTTGACGGCCATGAAAAGTAGTCTCGCGCTGGTTTCGTAGACCGTCTCAGCACTCGCGGGTGAATATAACGACGGGAGCACCGGCGGAAGCTGCGCGCACCCGCTCCGTTGAGGTGTCAACGGCTCCTCGTTCGTTACGTCTATGCTGTCCTCCGACGCGTTTCCTGCTTAAACGCGAGAAATTCTTCTCATACAAACATATCACACATACACCTTTTCGCAAGTATACCACGATTATTTCGATGAAAGTCCTTATTATTATTTTATTATTACAAAAGTCATCCGTAAAGGTGTTAATGATGTTTGTTAAACATAACGATTATGTTAAGCGTTGAGAACGCGTACCGTCTTCGTTATCCTGCCGGGGTGGCGTCGTATTGTTCGCGGAATTTGTCGTAGGTGCGACTGTCGGCAGAGGTAACGGCGTGGTATATCTCGCCATGGCCAAAGACACCGGTGGTCTGCGGAACAAGCCGTGGGTAAAAATTAAAAAGTCTGACAATGAATATAAGAGACTAATAATAATGTAATTACTTAGAAGCTCGTGCTGTTAAATGCGCTCAAATTTAATTTCAATTTGTGGTGTCGAGCAACTTTTTTTGGAAATCCATCGGGGAGAAGAAAGACTTATGAGAGCCGAACGCTAGTAAAAAAAATGCGCAAATAAAAGCACCAATACAGTGCTTATTCAATAATAAAATTATTATATTACAGATGTTTCGGCCCGGCTTTTCCGGGACCATTTTCAATATGAAAAATAGGCTCGCAAAGAGTAGAGTTCCGCAAACGTAATAATAAATGCTGCGCAAACCGTATCGATGAATATAAAAATAAAGATTGAGCCTAAGTAATAAATTCCATTACCATAAAGGACGATCCAATTTCATAGACTTTCCTCCTCTCTAATTGATTTGTTATTATAGAACTTTAATTTTATTATTATTGCTTTCTTTTTTTAATGTGGTGAAATGCAAATCTCTAAAAATTTGAAGAAAAATTTAAGTTTAAGAATATATTTTACACATATAAAAAATCTTTGATTTTTGAGCGATAAATCATAATATTTTTTTTACTATACGAAGAGAAGAGAAGGGCGAGGAAGGTAATTTATCTTCGTCATTTCTACCTCCCGCTTCAAAGTTTGTGCGAGATCGGTCGCATTGCGCGCGTTGTAATTTCCGAAAATCCAGCCTCGACCGGGCGATAAATCAAAGTGCAACGATCACAAGCGACGACACCTTCAGTCCGCTCGCGCGCGAGTTTTGTTTGTAGGTTCATCGTATTTCGCGTGGCGATATTTTATACGTTGATTTCGGGTGGGTAGGCTGTTACAACGGTCGGGAACGGAGCGCGAAGAGGAAAGCCTCGTCCGATGTTTCCGAGAGACGTTCTTTCCGACCAAGCCGATCTTCTCAGCTCGGTCTCTCGTGCGGAAATCTTATAACGCAGATGACGTTTCGCGTGGACTTCGCGGTTACTCTTCGGCCGAAGCGACAACGGCAGAGGTAAATTCTTGTTTCTCAACCGGAATAGTTCCTCGCGCGAATGACGGTGAAGCACGGAGCGCCTCCTTCTTGCCAGGATACGGGAAATTCGTGTAAGATTTTCGAAATTACAAAATGTAGAGATACGTCATCGCGCGCAGCTCGTAAGGTTTCGTCTTTCCAGACGAAACTAGCTTTCGAGAAACTGATCTTAATCGCTTCTTCTTCTGCTCCCGAAAAACCGGCCAAGGTACCTCATTTAACGTAATCCCCCGTTTCGTAACTCGACTTTGTCGTCATGTTGAGCAAATTCCTATTGCCAAATCGTGCGAAAGAAAGGCTGTCTATTCAAGCAAGGGAGAGAGAGCATCCGCTAACGTGCCGATTTATACCGATGCGGCAGCGGACGAGACTGTTCATAATTCCGGAGGTACAACCACCGGCATCATTACGACGCTTGAGGGTAAAGTTCCGTCGCGACGCCGACGGAAGATCGATGCGGCCGCACCGCCGCAGAAAATGGCGATTCCGGCTGGCAGGAACTTTGCTAGCTGCTACATGGAGCTGTGCAAGCAGCAACGAGTGCGACCGTTGCCGGTGATATGTGTGACCCTGCCGCACAGTTTGGACTTCACCACTGATCGCGTCAAGATGGACGACTGGGGACCGATCTTGAATTCCCTCTCCCTCGATCGCTCACTCAGATCGATCAGCATACACAGCAGGTTGAAACTCCGGCCCGCCGATTTCTTCTCTCTCGACAGTTTTAGAGACAAATTCTTTTCGTACAATTACGTATTAATTTCTCGAATATTCTCAAACTTCGTGAAGAACGAAAGAATGAGGTGGACAAAAAAGTCTCGCATCATTTTGCTAATAACGCACAAAATTTCGAGTTGTTAATGATTGAAAATATATAGTTATCAATAATGCGTGTTATTTGCAAGAATAATTTCCACAAATTGAGACGAAAAATATCGAGGAGGAAGAGTGATTTCCTGAAAAATCAAAGATTCGTTCCTCTCGGTTCGAAAGAACGATATTTTCAACCGACAGAATTTCCAGTTCATTCAGAATTTCATTCCTCTCGTCCGATATTTTTCCTCTCAATTCGAGAAAATTTCTCGAACATAATATTTCTGGCGGACAGAATTTCATCAGGCAAGCAAGTTTCATATATTCTCGCTCGTACTAATTGCTTTCCGTGGGCGATATTCCCCCCCCGCAAGGTACCAATGTCGCAAGCCGTTGGAAGAGGTGAATTCGGAGGACAAGGCGCGAGCGATGGGGAAGGCGCCGGTGGTCCTGACGCGCTACCTGCTGGAGTGGCTGTCGCAGAGCGTCGGCCAATGCGTGAGGAACTCGCACAGCCTGACGCACCTCGAGCTCGAGGGTATCCCGTTCCCGCCGGACTGCGTCGCGGTGCTCTGCGTCGGGCTGTCGAGCACGCAGACCCTGCACCATCTGTCCCTCCGCCGTTGCTACATCGGCGACGACGGCTGCGAGCTGATCTGCCGCACGCTCGCGGACGCTCGCAGCGTGAGGTCGCTGAACCTCAGCCACTGCGACCTCACGTCGAGCTCCGGCGTGGCGTTAGCGTCCGCGCTCTCCCGGCAGAAGCTGTCTCTGTACCACGACACCTGGAAGCAGTCGCTTAGATACCGCGAGCCGAACTTCGAGTCGATGCGGGGTCTCCGCCGGCTGACCCTGAACGACAACCCGCGGCTGGGCAACTGCGCGGTCAGGGAGCTGATCGAGGCGATACGCGACAATCTCTGGCTGAAGGCGTTGGACCTCCAACACTGCGGCCTGACGGACCAGGTCGGTCCGGACCTGTTGGAGCTGCTGAGCCAGAACGACACGTTGACCGTGCTGGATGTCAGGAGGAACGCGAGCCTGAACGAAGGCCTCGCTACGGAGGTGATGCGGAGGCTGGAGGAGAACGACGCCGAGGGAAAGTCCGAGTACAGGTGGATGAGGCTGCAGACGAGAGATCAGCGGACCGTGTCTTCCGTCCGAAGAGGCGAACAGGCCGTTTGTAATCCTTCGAGATATCCGTCGAGGAGGCCGTCCCAGGTGATTCACCCGAGGAGAACGGCCCCGGTTCTGCCGACGAAGACCCGGCGGCAATCGGTGCGCGACGTCACCTCCCAGCAGTCACAGTCGGTTCGACTGATGCCCAAGGTCTCCCTCCGCCTGGACCTTCAGTCTCGCATGCAGCCGGAGCTGATGAGCCGCACCAATCGCGACGAGTCGACGAGGATCGATAATCGAGCCGAGAACGTCTCGCGAGAGCTCTCCGGCAAGGCGGGCAGCCTCGACTCGACCAAGGTGGACGTCGCCACGCAGAGCGTGGAGGACGAGCCAGACGAGATCGGGAGCATCCTCCGGCAATTGAGCAGGGCCCAAGAGGAGCACGATCGGCTGCTGGAGGAGGCGAAGCGGGCCGACCTCCTGCTGCTCGAGGAACGGTCGCGTCGCGAAGCCGCCGAGACGAGCCTGCGCTCGGCGCAGAGTGACATGGCCGAGCTCGAGGGCGTTCTGCAGAGGAAGGAAAACGAGAGCAAGGGCTTCCTGCTGGTCAGCCAGCGGTCCTTCGACGAGATCTGCCTGTCCTTCGACCGGCTGCTCGAGTTGCTCGAGAACGTCGGCGCGAGTCTCACCGCCAGGACGCAGGACTCGCAGCAGGCCGCGCGAGCGGACATCAAGCGGCGCCTCGCGTCCGTCATCAGGCAGACCAAGTCGGAGAGCCTGAAGAGAGTGTACAAGAGGCTCGAGCCGTCGCGCTACGTCGTCGACAGCGGCCGGAAGTTCGCCAAGTCCGAGAGCGACGTGCGCTCGACTCCGCCGATCCCGGCGAGCCAGCTCGAGAGGAAGGTCGGCGAGGGCCCGCCGCAGCAGGAGCAGACCGATGCTCGGCGTCACGCCGGCAAGTTGACGTCCTCCGTCGAGCGCGCCCGGGCGATCTTCGTGAGCATCGTCAACGGCGACTCCGTGCTCGACTACCGCTGCTAGTCGGCCGCTGATCGACCGGGACGGAATCTCGAGCGGCGGTGGCCTTTCGACGGCCGAACACACGTATATCTTGTATACGGCTATGTATATATATATACACGTGCGTGTGCGAGAGCATCGCACGCCGCGTTTAATCCTTCCATTAGCGAGAGGTGCTTCGCACGCAGTTCCTCCGCCGCAGCAGGCTCGACACTCGAACGTCGCTCACAAGCGTCCGGAAAAGAGAGGCGCGAGGGAGCGTCCTTGCCTTCTACCTCCCTGCTGAGTGTTCGGGAAAAGCAAATAATTTTGCCAGACCGAAGACGACGAACGCGACTTTCGACGCGGCGTACGGAGAGCAAATTGGCCTACATAAGCGAGAATTTTAGTTTCGATTGAATTTATATTTATTTATTCAATATCCTTGCTTAAATATGAGAATATCTATTCTTGACTTAGGACTAATTTTTTTTCCGTGTGGGAGAACGTAACACGGAGAAAACGACTTTGCTAGAATAGCAGATTGTTTGTTAATATAGTGACGGCAAAAGGAATTTGCAGCGGAAAGATTTGTTGAGAATGTTAATTGCCAGATAGCACGGACAGCAAAATAATTTGGGTAAATTTTATCGCAATGACAAAATTATTTTTTCCGTATAACAAATATGTTTACTATCACTGTGTTAACAAGCAACTTGCTGTTCCAGCGAAACTTGTTTTCTCCGTGACCGCCGACCTCGTGATTTTCGTTGACAGCAGAAGGGTTGAGAAGCGCGCATCCCCTTCGACCGGGTCGCTCGCGAAATCGATCCTCGGCGAGACTCCGCGTTTCGCAAGGTGAAAGGAGCAAAATCGATGCCGGCAGGGCGCTTCCTTTTTCATCTGGTCGTTTAAGCACACCGGTCTCACGTTAATCCGCGATTACCGCGCGGCGGTGATTCGAATCTCGTGAAAGCGCGGGACGCGATCCCGTCCGGGTATTTCTTTCCGATCAAAATGCAAGTGACGGATCACACGACGCGCGGCAAATTGCCNGGGGGGGGGGGGGGCAGGTGATCGGGATAATTACTGGGTTAAGAATATCAGTTAGCGTTTCTGGGTGATCGACGAAGTGTGTAATCCACGGCCCGAAGACGACGGTCGGCTGACGGTCGGAAAGGCAAGATCGATCGCGCGACGAGGAACGTGTAACGTTCCAGCCCGTTTATAGCTACGTTTTTCTTAGAGCGTTATTGTACATGGAATAAATATTATTTATTATTCCCGTACGTACAAGAGACTTCGTTCGACCAGACATTTTTCCCGCCGCGATATGAAGAAGGGAATAACCCCGAGTCGAAGTTTTAGTTTCCCGGTTTAAATCCAATTTAGTTCTACATTGAGCGTTCAAAGGTCTTCCATTGTGCTCTTTTGGTGCTACAAATAGAGAAGTTCTGCCGTTTCCTCCGCTTGAAGACTTAACGTCGAACTAGAATTTAGGCTCCGGAGGACTAAATTTCCTGTGCTCCTTCGAAGTAGAAACTTACTTCTGTTTTCTTTACTAAAAAGACTTAATGTAGAATTTTTAATTTACCCCCGAGAGGTCTAAATTTCCACTGTAGCATTAGAGAAGCACTTGTTGCGGGAACAAGTCGAAATTTGTTTCTGTTCTCTCCACTTGAAGACTTAACGTAGAATTTGGAATTTAAAATTTCGACTTGGCGATTCTTTCTTCGATTTATCACTCACTCGCGAGTAAGTTTCTCTCGTAATTACTGATTATCATCATTCACGAGGTGAATCGTGGCTCGTTATGATATTTCATGTAATTACGGCGAAGTTCTCTTCAGACGAAACTCACCGATATGTAATTAGGATTTTGCCGTCACCGGCGATTTAACGTCCCGGCCCGGGCGGCACAAGTTTCGAACTTCCACATTTACGTAATCGAACGGCTGATTCTAGTAGAAATGGTCATGACCCGCGCCGAAGCATCGCATGAAATCAAATAGCCGGAGCGCGAGGGTCGTTTTATTAGAATAGATTATCCAATTACGTAAATACGGAACTATGTGTGTGTGTGTGTGTGTGTGTGTGTGCGAATTCCCGTGTTGATGCAACGCGCATTCAGTTGTCAACGATGCTCTAAACCTCTCTATTCCCCTCTTTCTCTCTCCCTCTCTCTTTCTCTCTTTCTTTTTCTCTCTCTTCCTCTCTATATGTATGTCAAATTTCTTAACGAGCAAATTAATCAGTCAATCAGCATTATGTATGCTGTACTATTTCCTAGAATGAAATTTTTTTACAATTACACAATTTTTAGCCTTTCATGTGTACACATAAAGTTGAAATTATTATAATTAGAGGATCCTGCTACTATTATAACTAGTGTTACCCATGCGATTTTCAGCTTATGCATTACTTACAAGTAGGGAAGCCGAGGCAAGTTGGCTAAAGGGATACTAATTGGCTAATTAATTAATTTCTGTCGTTCTCTAACAGCTTAGAGAATCTATACGGAGAAACCAAGTTTTGCTGGAACAGCAAATTGTTTGTTAATATAGTGACAGCAAAAAGATTTAAGTTAAGAGTATTAATTTTTGGTGGTGCCGATCGAAATTTATCGTTGCCGTGATCACATTTTGCTACAACAGCAAAATAATTTTTTTTCGTGTAACAAATCTTCTTGCTGTCACTATATTAACAAAGAATTTACTGTTTCAGTAAAACTTTTTCTTCCGTGTAGCACGTAGGGATTTCATAACCATCTTTGACATGTTTGAAATCTCTGCTTGCTTAATTCTGTAATCTGTTAGGAAACAGCAGAAATAATCGATTTAAGCTAACTTACCTTTTAGCCAACTTGCCCCGAACTCTCCGACAGTTTTAAAGCTTCGGAAAAATACGTTTTTTCCACATTCTCCCGCGAATATTTTTGGTTTCTTACTTTCTTTACGATAAAAAGTAAACGTGGCAGGTTTTAACCGAACACATGTGAATTTTTCTAAACGAATTTTTGTGAAAAAATCCACGAGAAAATGAGGAAAAAAGAGGTTTTTTCCGAAACTTTAAAACTATACCAATAGAGCTGAATATCGCGTGACTTTCCGTTTGGGGGATGATACAGCATACACAACACCGACCGTGTGTCAATCGTGCAGATGAATTGAACGAAACTTCAGTAAGAAGAAATTACTGGAAAATACGAGCTCAAGTATGATATCTTTTCAATCTTCTTCATATTGTTCAGCACTGCTAATGCTAATCATCGATCGGCGGTTAGAGCGTACGACGGGGTTGCTAATTTCCAACCGCACGAATCTCCGCGCCTTTCTCGGCAATGCCGATGAGAGGCCAGATCCACAGGTCGGATCGATCCCCGGGGATCAGAGGCAATCTCGCGTCGCGAAAGGATTAATAATCGTACACACGTCGCTCGTGTAACGAACGTAGAGTGTAATAACTCGCGCGAGGACGGCGCGCTGCGCCGTCGGTCGTCGTCGCTTTTAACGTTCACCCCTTGGCGCTCTATGGATTTTCCATTAGTTCCAACCTGGGCAGCCGGTTACCTGAAAAACGCTCGACCTACTCGGGCTGCTAGTCAAAGGTAATTTTTCATGATAGATCACGCTCGGCGTGTCGCTCACAACGGCGAAAGCTAAGCCTGGTGCGCAGCACAAGATCAAACGTGCCAACAACATCGCCGGCCCTCTTGCTCCTGTCGTTGCACTCGTCGCACAGGTGACTATCGATCGCCGTTCCCGTCATCGTAAGCTGCTAATCGACCGTGTCTAAGTTGAAATTTCGTAGAGCCTTTTGCGATACGGGTTCACGAGTGTGCGGCCAACATTCAACACTCTTGCCCTTTCGACGTAATCGCGTGCGCGCGCGCGCGAGAAAACGAGCGAAAGAGGATGCTTCGGATTGCTCGTGGGTGTCGTCACTATCGATTCGCACGAACGGGTAACGTCTCGATCGTCGTCGTGATTAACAACTTTACGCCGCCGCAATCTCGACACTTCACTCTGTTCTTCCGCACGGAGAAAACCATTTTGCTAGAATAGCAAATTGTTTGTTAATATAGTGACAGCGGAAAGATCGCTTGAGAATATTAATTGCTATTTGCTGGATATATGGAGAGCGAAATAATTTGGCTGTGCCAACTAAATTTTAGCATCCTGCTGCAACAGCAAAATTATTTTCCCCACTGTATTAGCAAACAACTAGCTGTTCCAGCAAAACTTGTCTTCTCCGTGCGTTTTGTTAACTCTGAAGTGGGAATTCCAACTCTTGGCGATTTATCTGGAGAATATATTGGAGAGGAATGTGAATGGTGAGTCGAAGGACGAAAGCCAAGCGCGAAGAGGGATTGTGAGAAGTACAAGCGAAAAACGGATGATCACTCACCCGAAAACGCCTACGGCGACGGCTGCTTCGCGCAACGCCCGTTCTTGGTCCATCTCGACGAGTGCTTCTGGTCTAATGGTGGCAGTGTTTCTCGGCTGGCGTTCATTCTGGACAGCTGCAATGTCGCGATTTTTGAGGATGTTTATTAACTCTTTGCGGTGAGAGTTATTATCTTCGACATTTCTTTCCAGCCGATCTGTAAAAATTCAGTCAGCTTCGCGACAGTATCCGCGTAGCCTGCGTTTGCTTCAGCATTTCAGCATTTAATTAACGCAACGTAATATATTTTTATAGTAATATATAGTTATATACTGAGAGTACAGTATCAATGTATACATCCAAATTAATTTGTAGGATCGGCTGGAACGAAACGCTTTGTCGAGATAGACTCGATAAAGAGTTAAGAGGATCTTGGAGTCGTCCTATTTTATCGCAAAGAGTTCGGCCAATTGTGTATGAGCTATAGTCCCCAAATCCATTCAGTGAAATAGATGAGTATCAAATTAAAGATCTCGATAAGCTGAAAACAAATATACAGGTTACAAGTTGATCCGGCTTTTCGTTCCGGAAATACAGAATTCCCAAAGCTCCAAAGTCTAAATGGTTCTTGATTTATTAAAGTGTTATTAATATCGTTTTATTTATAAAGTATATGCAATTTATACATTTTGTGAAAAGTAATTTTAGGAATGTATGAACAAAAGTTGAAAGTCAACATGACAACAGAAGAGATAATTTAGAGATAAAGCAGCCTGAAGCAGTCTCCATTTTTCGGTGAATAGCAATATTTTAATTTTATTTTTCTAAATTGTTGAATTGAGCTAAACGAATTGAATTTTAATTTCATTTCATATTTTAACAGTTGTAGAATTTATTGGTGACCTTCAACTTCCTACTATATATTTGTTTTCAGCTCATCGAGATCTTTAATGTGATTTCAGCCATCTATTTCACTGAATGTATTTGAGGAACCTTTTGGCTCTTTATTGGTATTACACTCGTTTCTGATTATACAAAATTAAAAGTTCTTTGGCAAAATTAGAACATACACGTTAATGTAGGCGATTGACTTTGTTCGAAAAACGAAAAAAAGTTGTATAATTTGCTAACTTTTTTCTCGAATAAGATCAACCGTCCTCGCTTATATTGACATTGTGTATTGTAATTGTACAAGAGGACTTTTAATTCTCTACTGAGAAAAAGATTTCTTCAAATGTAATAAATTTTATTGCATCCAAACAAATTGCATCATTGACGTACTTCAAAGAAACTAATGTTTCGATTAATAACAAATTTACAGAACGATTCCAGGATCCTCTTAGGATACGCCGTTTACAGTATCACAAAAGATGCGACCTCAAGTACACGGAAAAAAAGAATATTCTTATTTTGAAAAGATCCGTATTCTCAACATGTACATGTTGAAATAAGATTATATAGTGTTGAATAGATAAAACTTGCTTACACGAAGAAATTCCATATAGTCCCACTAAAAATATAATATTCCCGTTATTCAAGAATAATTTTCTTGAATTGAAAGTAAAGAATATTGGACAGAAAAGAACGATATCTTCAAATCAAGAATTATAATTTCTTTAACTTGAAATTAAATTATTTTTATCTGAATATATCTTATTTTTGGAGAAGGCAGTTTATAATATTAAATTTAGATTATTGGAAGTTTTTATAACAACAATTTCTTTGTCGTATTTCCAAATTGAGGCAATAAGAGGACAAAAAAGAGTATATCGAAGCAGAGACCTAGATAGCTCAGTGGTAAGAGCAGACATTAAGCAAGCAAAAGAATCCTTCCGGCAACTCCGGCTTCCGGATTTTCTCCAACTTTTATAAGAGCCAGGTTTTATATTTAAGATTATCTTAAGAGTATCTTCAGATACTATACGGGTGGCTTCATTGGCTACAAAGTATCTGAAGATGAACCTAACCTAAGACGGTCTTAAATATAAGACCGGATTCGTATTTTGAAGCGAAAACGTTCATATTGTTGGAAGAAAATTACCGTACATTGATTCAAATATAGAGTTATTCGAAATAACACATTTATCAATTTTTTAAGCGTTACAACAAGATGTATTACTTTCAGAAGAATCATATTGTGATCTGTAGTGGACTATCGTAATCTTGCAATAATATGATATTATTGAAATTCAAGAATATTAAATTTTTGTAAGAAGATAATATATCCTTGCTTATACATGAAACAACGATTGCGTCCATTGGAATATATAAGTCTTGAATTGATACTTAATTTTTTTCCGTGTACTGTTATAATTTCTAACTACTCGTATTTCTGCATGAAATGAATACGAACGCAGAATGAAACGAACAGATCTGAAAAACGGTCTCACGATGACAATCCTAAGACTTCTACACCAAAAATTCAGGTATTTTCCTGTAATTTAATAATTCATGTGTGGAGGAGCGATTACACACTTTGATGCGTTTTGATCTTTGTTATTCGCGATCGCAAGTCATTCCTAATCGAAGCTCATTGAAGTAGGTTGAGGTAGGTTGAGGTAGATTTGATATTTTTAACGCTGCGCGGCGAATGGCTGAATGTTTACGCAGGTGCAACGGTCGAAAATTTCCTTCTGCGCTCTCGGATCGATGAATCATTGCACCTTCATCACTCGCCGAGCAATCCTCAGCGACGATAAGTCACGACAAGAACTTGCATCGCGATTGTCCGCAAATAGCGCGATATTTCGCGTCGCTCACGTGAATTATTCTCGCGTGATGACGTATCCGTACCCTCCTGTTCGATCTCATCCCTCCTCTTCCGCGTTTTTTTTACACGAAACATTTCGAATGTGCGTTTCCGCATAATTCGCGCAATTTTCGACGCGACACGCTGCGTGCGCTCGTCCACACCTAATCTTTCACTATAATTCGCGATGCAATGTCGAACGCCATATTCTCGCCACTCAGGGAAATGTTTTGCCGACCCAGCTGGAATTCTAAATGTCACAGGTAAAATGTATCGCTATTTTTTGTATCTGCTAGAAAATTATTTGTGATACTTATAATTTACACCAGCAGCATTCTAGCCAATATACGCTACAAGAAAATTTAGGTGCTGTTACTCATTTTTAATAATAAATCTGACCGACCTGAATCCGAATGGGCTCCATAGACAAATGGTTCAGATAAAAATTCTGTTTTTACACTGATTCGACATCAACGTGACATTGAAGTGTTCGCTTTATCCGTCTTAACTAATTTCTCGTATCTGGATAATTTCTGTTGTGACTGCAAAACCATTTTTCTGATTCTCTGTATCAAGCATATCGCGCGACACGAAGCGAATAAAGGAATTGCGTCGGTGTTGGTTGATGAGGCTCTCTCGTATCTCGCTAAAAACCGAGTGCTTTTTCCGACTGATCGGTAACGAGAAGAATCAAAGCGCGGTAAAGCTCCTACGATGCATATTCATCGCGTCGCTCGGTTCTGATTTTTTTTTCAATTCCGCTTTTCATTTTTTTTCGGAAAAACGACCGAATCTCGGGCGGAAGCGGAGGGATATATATATATTGGAAACGGCCGGCACGGCTGTCCGACGCTGCTGCGGCGAACAATGGGGGGAGCTGCTCCGTGTTCTCGTCGGCGCCGTCGAATTCGCGGATGATTGAAATATTATTGAAATATTAGTCGGAGGATCCGCCGGGGGAAACGGGAACAGTTGTCTGCCGCCCTCTCGTCAAACTCACGTAACGCCACGTTATGTCACGCCGGCGGCCTGCGTCTGACACGCGTGGATATAACGGGCACGCAGGAGCCTGCCCGGAGCTTATTGTTTGCGCGATGCGCGATACACACAGCCGACCACCCGAGGGTGGTTTCATTTACTGTCGGTCGGTGCGGCAGGAGCGGAGTGGAGAAAAGGCTGATGACGACCGCGACGCGACGGCGGTTCCTATTTATGAATACAATATGGCCGTGTCTCTAGGACTTTCGCAAAATCAGCAGGATCCGTCGTTTCCTTCGGTGTCCCAATGAGATGCAGATCAGTTGTTGGGGTAATTTGTTTATATTACGCGCGTGTGCGGTATAATACTGAGCATTTTTTCTTCTTTTTCCTTTTGAGAAATCTGCCGCAATTTCTTTTGATTGCGTGAATGTTTTCAATTCAGGTCGCGTAATTGCGTTTTACAATTAAACCGTCTGACATTTGAAAAGGACTCGTCAAATTTTTCCCCCGGACGATATTAAATCTAAATATCATTAAAAATACAGACGAACACTTTTTGGTTTCTTTATATGGTTTTTTTCCGGTAATCACACGCGCGTTCGAGAAGAGTCGCATTTTTTCCTGGAAATTTTCCAAATTTATTATATAACATTTCATTTTACTTCGGGCGTTTCGCACAAACACGAGGCTGTCATTTCTTATGGAAAAGATATTTTGAAGATTAAAGTGTCCAAAGTTTCAAAGAGAGGCAAGCCGAACATTGAGATGCATATAAAACGGCAAAACTTTGCTAGATTTTAAGCTGTGTCAATAAATGCATTTTATCTCGAGGATTTTTATTTTAAAATTACGGTAACGTAGAATGTACATCAGCTGTGTCTATCGCGATGAGCTCACCCTTGTCGTATGGCACGCCTCATTTCTTCGCAAGTGGGTTCAAATAAATCAGATTTCTAATATGGCTCACTTGGCAAGAAATCGGAATTTTGCTCACGTATATAGAGAAAAAGGTTTCTTTTAGATTTAGTATACGCGTTTGTTCGCGAGTCGGCTTTGTTTAATATATTAGATGTAGAAATGGATTCGATGCCTTTTTCTTCATGAAATTTAAAAACTTTCTTTACAAAAAGTCAAGTATAAGTTTAATATTCGAATTAGTTTCCATTATTTTCGATGATTTTAGTCCATCTATCGGGCAACTGACGAGTACTCTCGCGAGGAAAAAAGGTTTCGACTCAATCAATCAATGTTTTCAATTCATTCGTTCGCTCCATCCCGAAAGACAAATTCGCTTCGACTGAAGACATTTTATCAAATCCAAAGAAACGTGTTTCTTCTTTATTGAGACAGACCTTAAATTACCTAGCGTATCTTCGGACGAGTATCCAAGGATGGTTGTAGCGCGGCCCTCTTTGTAAATATCTCGTATAGATAAATAAACGATTTAGGCGGGTTAAAGTCAGCGCGTTTTTGTCAGCACGAGCCATTGGGAGTACACGCTCGTGCGGTTCGCCGCAGCGCTACGCAGCCTCGGAACGGCCGGCGGCGCTCGTTCTCTTCATCGTCGTCGTAAACACTGCGGTCGTTAGCGACGGTCGCGTGGCCCTCGGCGAATCCCGAAGGGTTAATTGGAGGAAATAAACGTATGCAACGTGCGGCCGACCGCCCGATGCGGAAACCCGTCCCCTTCGCTCGCGACGTCGCCGGCGAGCGAGGAGACAGAGAGGATGAAGGATGACGCGCGAAAGGGTGCTCTCCCGCGGAGCGACCACGATGCAAATGAGAGAAACAGTCCGCTGCAACGGGCGCGTCCCGGCGCGAGGAATCTCTACAAGGGCGGATACGGACGGGTAACAATGGGAACGGTGGCGAGAGAGTGCTTTCAATGATTGTCGGTGTGAACAATCGGCGACTTACTCGCTTACCGATCTCTCGATCGCTCGAGGCGATATCGAGAGGCCACGGAAAACAAAAGAAATCCTCTTTAACTCCCTTGTGTACTTTTGTAACGATTGAGAATATTAAAATGTTTAATAGTAACTTGTTTATAAATTAATTACCCTATTGATTACTTTGTTTGTAAAATTACAAGTTACTTCAGGTAATAATATTAGTAATAATTCATTTGATTTCTTTAATTATATTTCTTAAATCAATAAATTTCTCTCTGGAACACACGTACGAGTCTCCTCTCAATGAGGCGAAAGGGTTAAACACATCTCGTCATTGCATTGAGAATTCGTGGTCTATCGAAGGATACGACGTTCCACCGCGCTGTGCAAAACTCACTAACCGGCCGCACTAATTCGATCATCGACGAGAGATTTGCGAATGACAATGCCTCGAGAATTACGCCGATTCTCAGCTCTTCGTGAAGAAGACCGCTTCGTTCAAATGAAGGATCAAGTAAAAATAACGGCGGAGAATCCTAGGCGTACGCGTCAGTGAGCAAACGGGCGCTCGTCGGTTAAACGAGCGGGGAAAGAAGTCGAGGAAAGGGGAGACAAAAAGCAGACCGGCCTCTCGCAGCGAGGTGCATGCAAATTAAACAGAAACAAAATGCACGAGGACGTTTATCTCCTCTGGCGCGAGAGACGCAGCGACGGGGGCGGCGGCGAAAGGGGAGAGAAGAAACGGAGGCCCGACGAAGCAAGAGGAACCCCCATTAAGCCGCCCAGCAGGCCGCACAAGCCGGAGGTAAAGCGAGCCGGCACGCTTTTTATTATTACGAAATTACCGCGCGCCCGGGCCGCTAAAAGGGAAGCCGGGAAAAATTGCGCCCGGCGTTACACGCCGGCGGCAATGAAGTGCCCTAATCGCGCGTCCATTAAAGCGCGGCGGACGCCACGAGTCCTCCTCCTTTCGTCACACGAAAACGTGTCTTCCGCGCGCGCGCGCGCTAATGCGGCTCTCGTTGTAATTATTCCGGTCATCCTCCCGAGGAAATGCGAGAATTTATCCGCCGGGTATCTTCGATTTCCCCTTCCTCTTTGATTCGAATTTAGCGCTATCTCAGCGAAAAAGAAGAATGCTTGCTGCTTCTCTCTTGTGCTTGCTCACGGGGAGAACTGTCTCGTGTTGCAGCGAAACCACGTCGCTGCTAATGCACGTTTGTTACGACGTTAGTAAAATTTGGTCGACATGACCGAATTAGCGAATTATTCATAACTAGAACATGAAGCGTTTTCTTGCCAAGCTGGAAGATCTAGAATGAATCTGTCCTTAGGACAGGTTAATTTGTTTCGAACAAAATAGCGTTTTCCTGCATTTGTTACTTGGTTTTACAGCAAAATAATCCAGCGAGGGACAATTAATATTCTTAACAGATTGCTTTTGTTACGTTCATTATGATAACCATTATGATAGGTTTTGCTGCGACGGCATAAAATTTGCCCCGTCATCGAATTATCTTTCTCTGTATAAATCGCGACGACAATTAAAATTCGATCGCGCGCATCTTCAATGCGACGGCCACGCTTGATCTCTGCGACGCGGGAGCGATCTCTCGCGTCCACCTCATTTTCTCCGATTGATCACGCCGTACTTCCGCCCGAGGTGGGACTCAATTTCGATCGAGTTTCGTCCGGGATTTTTCTCGGCGGTACAGAAGGAAGCAGTGTATCAATCGATCAGGGCGCGACGCGTAGGTATCGCCTCGCGTCGATCACCGTCGCCGCGAGGATATCGGATCCCATCGCGAGTTCCGAAAGACATTGTCGCCGAATAGGAGTTATGGATCTGGCGGATTATCCGTTTTTGTGGGTTACGGCCGGAATCAATCAGCGCCGGGTAGGCGGAATTCGGAGGGCCCTTTATGTTCGCGACATAAATAACTGGATAAAGGCGGGGCGAGCCCTGCACGAGCGGAGCGGAAGTGCCTCCGCCGATTCAACTCTTAATACCACCCGGACGAGACGCGCACCTGTCTCCGTCTTCCTCCCCCTGATAACTTTCTTATTGCCGAACTCGATGTATCCGTGCAGATCCTTCCGATTGAATCGCGCGCGACAACGCCGAATCACCATCGGCGATTTTATCCGGGGAGAGAGAGCGCGAACGTCGATACGCGGAATTTATCGGACGGCCTTTCCGAGTTTGCACGGTTTGCAATCTTATTCGTCATTTCGCTCGTTATTTCGTGCCCGCAGCAGGATAACGCTGCGCTTCGCGTCCACCGAACGATCGGCGCTTAGAAATCAGAAACGAGATCCAATTAATCAGTAAACGTCGCGACTTCTCGCAATTTGTGCGGCCAAAACGTTCACCGTATGGATTTTCGCCGCATTCTTTCGTGATATTTGTTTTCTCTCATTCCGCGCTACGTTCCCGATCGTCTGATTCTTCGGCGCTGCGGTCGTTTCTGAATATTTCGATTTCGCGCCTCGAGTTTTACTTGGCCACCACTTACCATCTTTGTTCATCCCCATCTGCATGCACTTCTTCAGCCGGCAGGCTTGGCATTGATTCCGATGCGCCTTGTCGACGACGCACCTCCCAGTACCGGCTTGACATCTGCGTACCAAAATTCATGCTCATGTAATTCATCGTAGACACACCGTGCGTGCGTGAGAGAAAGAACACACGCCGGGAATGTTGAGTTTGGCGTAAACTTCTCCCGCAAACGCGATCCTCCCGTTTTACACGCGACCTCTCGCTTTTCAGTATTCGCTTTTATAATCTTTCCCGCTAGATGCAAAAACCAGGTGTATGAAAAACTTGGGGAAAAAACGCGCGTTAGTATAACACGCTCGTGTGTTACGTACGACTCGATGACACAACTATCAGCCGCAATGAACATCGCAACCAGCAAACTATGTTCTGAGAAACGCGGGAGAAGCTCGCGTCAGTGTTAAGTATTCGATTCTCGTCCGACGATTGCGCATCGCGCGAGCAATTTTCCGATCCTCCCGTTCGAGCGATTTTTATATCATGCGCCGCGTAATAAAGGAAGGAAAATAGGACGCCTTTAAGGCCGGGCGGGGACGCTGGATTGGACGAGATTAAGAGGGATAAGAAGAAGGTACGTGACGGTCGCCTCTTTACGTTAGTCAGCTCCGAGGGATAACCGGGTTAGTCCAACAATGAAAGTAATCGAATTTAACACCATCTCCCGAATGCGCACCCCGGACAAGTGCGGCTGAATTTCGCCGCGAGGGACAGGAGCTGCGACGATCGTTGATGAAACGTCGTCGTCAAGGATCGATCGATCTCTCGCCGAGTTCCTCGACGAATTCCTCGCGGTGAATCGGCGAAATAACTGTTAATCGGCTAAAATTAAAACCAGCAGGTAGAAAGAAAGAGATGATTTTTAAAATTTTATAAAATACACAATACGCTTCGCGTATATATATCGTACACTATGTACACATTTTTTATTCTTAAGGTCTCTTTATCAGAGCATACAAGTGCATCAAACTATAAAATCAAGCGACAACCATTCACACAGGCGGTTTCCGCGGTGAGGAGGCGACCGCCTTCCGCGAACGTGACGTAAGTCGAAGAAGCGGATCAGTCCAAGCGTTATGAACTCTCACCTTCATGTTTTTCTTCTCTCTCTCTTTTTTAATATTAACGACGACGAGGAGGCCACTTTCCTTCTGCACTAATTATTTATAATTCCTCCCGATCCGTGGCGCGATACGTGTCATTTATCCTCCTCTTAGCATTCATAACATCATGTTACGTGAGAAAGATCGTTTACGAGAGACCTGTCGGCTAAAGGGTCGGAAGGAGGCTGCCGCTCCGCCGACGACATCGGCAATAAACAATGTGCATTCAGCGCGTCCGCAGTGCATCCGACACAACGCGAAGTAGGGCGATCGACGGGCGTGATAACCGGCAGCACATGCTTCCGGTAATTCAATGAGGCGAACAATGCCGGCCGCTCGTAGAACAGAGAGATGCGTAAATAAATGTATGATGTGGTTCTGAAGGGTGAATACGGCACAGATAGAGAGAGAGAGAGAGAGAGAGGGGCTGGGCTTGCATCCTGTGGATCCACTGGGGTGTGAACGCAAATCAATTTGCGCGACGGACCCCCCGCGGACGCGGCGGCACCACGCCGAGCGGGCCCTTCACCGCCTCGGGACAAGATAGCGCGGCGGCTCCTTGTGACTGACGTTTGTTCAAATCGCGCTAATAGCGGCTCCAAGAGAGAGAGCGTCCGGCGAAAAATCTCTCGTCAAGATTTGTCGGCGGGCTAACAGAGAGTTTTTGCAACGGCAAATTTCTTTCTTCCGTCCAACCAATTTCTTTGCTGTCACTCTATTAACAAACAATTTGCTGTTTCAGCAAAAAACTTGTTTCCTCCGTGTACGATACGGTATTTAAATATAAAATGCAGGATTTATATCAGATGTCGCTGCTTTTGATCTCTCAATTGTGGGATATAATCTCTCCCTTAAGAGTAAGAGGTCGTCCCCGCTACTGTGAGCCGCAGTCGTTCCGATTTCATTTCGGCGCTCACAACGAAGTCGAATTCGCTAATCGCGAACCTTATTCTTTCGGAAGTTGTCCGGTTACGATGAACGATGCGCCTGCCCGGTCTCGTCTTTTTCCATCCGACGACGTGACTTCAGCGGCTCGCCGTACCCGAGGAACATTATCAAGCGAAAACTGTCTGATAATGAGATGAGAACGCGCGAGATAAACGACGACGAATCCGGAACGCGCGGAATCGACCGCCCCGGCCGGAGGATTTCGATTTCGTTCGAATGATTCCGCCAGATGAGCTTGGAATTTAGCGTCTCTCTTGTAACGCGAGACGATGACGACGACAACGACGACGACATATCGCTCGCTCGTGAAAATAAAATCGACGAGAGAGAGAGAGAGAGAGAGAGAGAGAACGCGTTCTCCTCTCCCGTCGAGCTGTAACGCGGTAAAGACTGAAGAGCCTCCGCACAGATAACCAATTACCCGCGAAGGGGAACGAGATGCGACAGATGCGTCCCGACGCGATGCGCCACGACGCGGCGCGCCGCGCCGTCCACAATCGCCGGATTAGCGCAAATCCTCACGGATCGGTTAGATGCAATTAAGTGCATCGTGCGTGGATAAGAACGGCCGAAATGTTCGCACGGGGACTCCCGCGGGGCTCTCGCACTTGAACTCGGCGTAAGCGCGCGCAAATGTCGCTACTCGAACAACAACAAAGACCGCGTTCTCCCCTTCGCTCCTGCGCTTCGTCATGCGGAACGTGACAATTTGTTCAAGGTACTAGTAGCGTAAAGTGAATTTTTTTTTTTCAACAATTCGTTGAAACTTGCGCTATACGTAAATTTCGGTATGATCTAATTGGAGCGATTAGATGACGATTGACGTTGCAACAGAAAATTGTACTATTTATAGCAGTGTTTTTGAGATTAATGCCTTATTTTTAACTTCTTCTAAAGCACACTCAGGCTTTTAATGAGAGACTGCGATATTAATATAGAGACGTCATATAAAAATTTCAGAATTATCGGCCGTTCTGTCTTAAAAATACAATAAAGTCCATAACTTATAGTGATATTCGAAATATATGTACATATTTAAACACTCATATACCTTTTTCTATTATCCATACTCTCGGTCAGATCAATTAATGCGTAAAAATAGCATTAATAAGAAAGATAAGAAATAAAAATATTTTCGTATTTGTAATATCGTGTCTACCCCGTGTCAAATTGACATTTATTATTTAGGCAGTGAAACAAACGTAATTTTACTAAATGATAAATTGATGAGTGTTCCTTTGATGCGTCATTGAAAATACGGTGCCACCATTACCCTAAGGGCGCGATATGTTAAATATCATGTAACGCATTAAATAACGTTGAAACATTAGACTCGCTACTTTTTTGTACGTTAAACATCCGTTCATGTGAATGATAGCCATGGATGTTAAGCGCGGTAATTTCAATCACGAGCGAGGGGATAAAATTGTACAGCAGTCACCTATCGAGCCGACCCTTCATCTCGTGCGCGAATATTTTTAATATTAATTATTCCCCCCCATATAAGTTCCCCGGATCCCTTGGTAGAAAAGTTTCGCGAATGTTGCGAAAAATACCGCGCAACACCGCGGAGATTCATCTTGTTATTCCGAGGAGAACAACGCGAATCCAAACGTTAAACACCGATTGTATCACACCTCGAAGCCGTTGAACGTTGAATCGCTTTATTTTTCCGTCTGCGTTTTTCCTCCCGAAAGATTTTTTCAGTTCCCGCATTTCGATTGCGACACGCGACGTGTTCTTTCCGGGTGAGACGCGCACATACACCCGTGAAAAAATAATAAACACGGAAATTACAGCGTAGATTACAATACGCTCGCCGTGTAAGACGGATTCGCTTGATTCGCGCGGATCTTCCGTTAACAAACATTTGATAAGGTGAACATTTCGGTAAAATACAAATACAGATCCGGTCGGGTTGTGCAAATAAGCGTCCGCGGCTCTTTCCCTTTTTCTTTTGCGAAAACAAAGAGCCGCTCGGGGATCGTCGATGCTGAAGCAAACACGCCGACGATCGCGAGGTCGCGAAAACAAGTTCGATCACAAAATCGTCGTCACGAGCGAAATAGCCCGAAAACTGCGGAGATCTCGCGTTAAAGTATTAAAATTATTGTCGTATCACGTCGCGTTAAAAAAAAAGAATCTCGAGATTATCCCTCTGATTTTACGGCGGCTTCGCAAATTCGAGAGGGTGGGTATCATTCGGGGTTAATATCGAGTTAAGCGTCGTCGAGCGGAGCCATGTGGGCCAAGTCGAGTGGGCTCATCCTAAATGCCAGGGCCACAACGGCATAATGTCGAAGCCGCCCATCGGGAGAGCCGGGTATCCGCCGGTGAGTCGGTGGCAAAGCCGGTGGCGGTGCTCGTTCGAGGAACTATTACCGTCCCCCGGGAACGGCCATCCATCTCCATCGGATCCCTCTCGGGCGCGAGTCGGCTCGATTCGCAGGCGCGTGCGCTACGCGTAACACTCGATACGCAAACTATTAACCCTCTGTGGTCCGCGGACGTGCTCTTTGAAAAATGAACAGGCTCGGTGCGCGCGTGACCGAAATGCAAAGCGTCGGGCGGTGCGCGCTGCCGATACTCGGCGTTACAACTTTTTGCAATCCCGCGTCGCGGGATTGAGTTGCCGGCACTGTTAACGAGTGCACCGATGAACTATCGCGTATGAGGGACGTTTGACCGTAGCCGAATATTGTTAACCGGTCGCGGCATATGATACCTCACGGCGGATTCTCTTCCTTGCGTCGGAAATCCCGCATTATCTTTATTACACCGTGATCTGTCAGATATCGTGATTTGACATCGAGGGTCGAAAGAATCGAAGGAAGAGCGATCGTCAGATGGGCCGTCGTTGTCCAACAAGAAGTTACTTTAACCTGCGTTTCGTTCATCCCACAGAGAAAAAGCTTTCTTTAGATTTAGTGTTTCTAATTTTTTCACTGAAATTTGTTTCACAGAAATAACATATACTTGTATGAAATATTATTTGTTTGGATAAAAATTTGATTGTCTCATTCAAGAAAGCTCTGTTACTTAACTCAGAAAGAACGCTATTATTTGAAATAATACTTTTGAACCAAGTAAAATATTATTTGGTTGCAATAGATTTGTGAAATGGAACAAGTAATTTCTTTATAAGAAAATTATCTTCCTACGTATTCGTAGGAAAGTCTACAACAATCGTGCTTATCAATCGAAACATTCGTTTCTTCGGAGCATGCCGATGATGAAATTTGTTTGGATGCAATAAAATCGATTAAACTTGAAGAAGTCCTTTTCTCAGTGTGCACGGTGTGCAATCCCAGCGATCATATTTAATCTGAAATAAATTGCCGAGCAAAGCCAACCAGGAGCTTCTAAATATTCAACCTTTACATGCACGCGTCCGAGACGGTCGTCCCATAAATAATCATTCACTTGTAAGCCGAAATTTCAATGAAAAGAAAAAAATGTTGAAATTTGATTCATAATATATTCATCATCTGGATCTTTGCCACGTCTTCTTCCATCTTACACGCAGAGAACGAAGATGTCACTCGTAGGATGACCGATATATTCGTGTCACCCCCTAAACTCACCTGTAAATCAGCTTTCGCCTGACACTTCGCTTGAAGAAGCCGCTGCAGCCGTTGCAGGCGAGTATTCCGTAATGCTTGCCGGAGCTTGTATCGCCGCAGACCACGCATATCAACCCCAAGCTGCGCGGCGGCTTGCTACCGTGCTGCGGCTGCTGCGGTTGCTGTTGCTGCTGCTGTTGCTGCTGTTGATGCTGCACCTGACCCAGCAAATGGGGATGCCCGTTCCCGAGCGCGGTCAGGTACGGCGAACGGGCGAGGGGGAAGTCCGTCGGCATCCCTCTGCAAAGTGGCACCGGGCATTCCTGGACCGAACGGGAGGCGTAAGGATCGTGACTGGATGTCGACCCAGTCGCCCCCAAAGGGCTGTAACGTTCCGGCAGGCCCGGGGAGATCACACTGCTCTCGCCGGAGTCTGTAATACAAACGTTCCGTCATTCTCGTTCGTTCGACGTGCCCGAAATTTTACTCTTAGCTTAAGTCTAATTTCAGTTCTAATCGAGCGTTCAAAGGTCTTCTTTGGTGCTACAAATGAGGGAGTTTTTTGAAGACTTAATGTCGAATCAAAATTTCGGCTCTGGAGGACTAAATTCTCTGTGTAGCATTAAAAAAGCACTTATTGTGCTTCTTTGATGCTACAAGCGACAACTTATTTTCGTTTTCTCCGCTTGAAGACTTAACGTAAATTTCGACTCGGAAACCCGTTAAGTTTATTTAGTTCCACGTTAAATCTTCAAAGGTTTTCTATTGCGCTCTTTTGATGCTACAAATGGCAAGTTATTTTCTCCACTCGAAGACTTAATGTAGAATTAAATTTTCCCCCGGACTAAATTCCCTTTGTAGCTTTAAAGAAGCGCTTATTGCACTCCTTTGATGCCACAAGCGGGAACTTATTTCCGTTTTCTCCGTTTGAAGACTCCTGATGTAGAATTAAAAATTTCGACGCAGGTAAAAGTGAGAGGCATAAATATCGTAGTGCAATTATTCAAGTGTAATTATTGTCAATCTGGTATTGTGGGCGTAAAATTTTTGATTTTTCTTCAGAATGTCCTCAGCTACTGGAATAACGCGAGAAACGTTTCCAAATTTGTCGTAGAATTTTGCGGTGAAAGGAAAGACGTTGTTTTCGGCTGAAGGCGACGCGCAAGAAGGAAATACGATATCATCGTGTAATCATTCGATAATTATTGAGTGTAAATTTGTCCCGGTCGATTAAATACCACACCGCAGACAGACAAATGCGCTATTGTAGAGACGCGAAATGTCTCTAACTTCACGTCGTGGTCTTTTAACAAGTAGCAAGCCAGTCTGGCTGAAAATAACGCGCCGGGTATCGAGGAAGCATCGGGAAGGCGCTATATTAATTAAGCGCGCTTTATCGGTAAATGACCCGCGCGGCTGATAACGAGGAAAGCCGGAATAAAAAGTCGTTTGATGTATGGCTGTTGTATCGCTACGTATGATCACGAGCGTTGAGAAATTTTCCGGCCGACTGCACTTCCGAAACCGAAGGAAATCACACCGAGATAATTCGCGACGCGGCGAAACGAATTATCCGGTTGACGTGCCAGCGTTGTCAACATTCACGAATTATTTTCCTCGTAGCCAGACTTTGCACAATTGCGAGCGACGGCCGCGATTCAATGGGAAGCGTTGTTGACGCAGCGTCTGGTCCTTACCTCACCGTTCTCTGAATGGGTCCGCGGCGCTCGTCCGAAACGGGCCATCCTCCCCATTTATTGCAATTCGACACCCAATCGACATTTCCTTATATCGGACCGAGCGAAAACAAGGCGCGTTCGCGTATTTTCGTTAAACGCATTTATCGTTTGCACACACACGCACGTGGAATGCGGAGATGCAAATTGAGATCCGTTAATAATATTAGCTTGATCCCTGCGCGACTTAATTGAAAATATCGCCCGATTGTTAAATTACTACCCGCGCGCGCGCTTTATCCGTAGTTATTAATTATAATTTTAATTATAACGAGCCCCAATTTGGAGCCGGGCGCGAATTATACTCGTGACATTTACATATTTCTAGCGATTCGATCGCGCGAGCGACTTTCTACGAGAGAGGCGACGAGTTTTGCGAACGCTGCAAACTTCCGCGACGTTTTAACGACTCGACAAATTGGCTTATTTATCGAACACACGATAATTACTTGGTATGAAATGAAAATAAGTAACGTATCGGTGTGAATTACGCGTCGGCAAATTTTCGCAAGCACAAAGTGCACACGCGGAAATTGGATGACCGCCTCGACGCCGGGATGTCTTGTCTGACTGTAAGCGAATTTCCCAGGATCGCTTCGTTATCGATAGCGACGAAAGATCGAGATGCCATTTTTCCCGATTCGATCAGCTGGCCGTTACTTTCGGGTTAATCCCCGAAATCTCTCGCGTCCGGCAGGCCAACTGGCGGCTCGAAGAATCCCCCCGCTCCGTTCTTGATTGATTTCGGAACAGGAGGGTGGCCGAGCGTCGCGTCGCACATAAAATAATTGCGCGCAGCCGCGTTTATTTAAACGATCCGTTGTGTCGCCGCCGCCGCTCGTATCGACGATCGATATCGTCTCGAGCTGACAGCCCTCTCTCGTGGCTGATTCTCTCGACCCTCGAGAGAGCGTTCAGATTTGAGGAACGAACACGACGACATACTTCGAGGCAGGATCAATCCAATGTTGCCGTCCGATTGATTTTTCACTGAAAGACATCATCGAGAGACGAGCCGTCATCGAAAGCCATCCGCCTGGACGAACGTTTCGTGAGACGAGGAGGGCAATTTTTGAGCGCGCGATTTTCACCGGATCGTCGAAGACGCGCGACCTTTAACAGCTTCTAACAGCCGTACTCGGACGATCGAACGCGCGACGCAAAGTTCCGCGCGCGTTTCCCCTGATTCGATATCGTCCCGTTGTCAATCCGTATGGTAATTCTCGCGCGGATCCTGTCTGACCCCGCGGCATTAACGAGGCCGGAACGAGTTTTCGATCGAGTTCGGGGGCGACCCCGACAAATGCGATTCGCGAGCGAGATCTCGCGCCTCGCTGAGGACGCCGGTGTGTGTGACTAATAAGAGTCGAGCGTAGAAGCAAAATCGCATTTCGTTCATCGCGCAGATGTTCACGGCCATAACGCGCCATCTCCTCGTTCGATAGATCCTGGTCGATCCTGGGCGAACCTTTCGTCGGCGCATTTTCTCGCACGCGTACACACGGACGATGAGAGCGATCGCGCGACGTACCGACGTAACCTTTGTCTCATGTTTCCTCTCTCCCATCGGTTTTCCTCACGGCGGTTATTTGCCGAGAATTGACTGGTCGAACTGTCGTGAAGGTGTCGCTAATGACCGACATTGCGATTTCGTTAATTTACGCACGAAGCATCACTAATTAAATCAGGTGTGAAAGAAACTAGTTGAGAAATATATGCATCTGGAAATATGTACGCGGATTTACAGTAATTTTCGTTACTTGAACTTTATCTACACTTTATAGAACGATCCGCGAAAATCCGTACGGCGATTAACGTGTTAATCGCAACGATACAAATCGGTGTGCGCGGTGAAAATATTTTTTTCTCGTGCCTTTAACTTACATTCATATTAATAATCGAAATCTGAATTTGCAGTTTTCCAATTCGTTCGTGCATGATATACGTATTTGCAATCGCGATTCGAAAAACTTCCATCTAAACTCATAGACGAGTATTTCACTTAAGTGGCGAGTTTCAAGTAACGATTATTAATACGCGCCTTAGATACGCTCGTGCGAGATTTGTACTCTCCTACGGCGATTGAATTCACGTCCTGTATTTGTTCCCGTCGTAGAAAACAACGCGAGTCAGGAGAAGGTCGGGGTAGATTTGCGCGCGGTACGACGACCCATCGCGCGACGGTCGTCGTACCACGGCGGGATCGTCGGCGCTCTCCCTTTATTCATTTGACATAAATATTTATATCCGAGCGTTCTTACTTCCTGAGCTTTTTCCAAACTCATTTCCCGATGTAAATACTGTTTGTCCCCGCGATCCACCTCGTAAGCCTTCAGGGACGCGAAGGAGGAATCGTTGGGGTTGCCGTGGGGGAGGTGTCAGAAGCTATCGAGCGGTAATTTCATCGCCGGGAGAAGAGGATACACCCCGCTGTTGCCGAAATTTTCCTCTTCTTCCATGTCGCGGGTCTACCGAAAATTCGAGTTTCGCACCGCTCGTCTGCGCGAGAACACGCTCGTCGCTCGAGAAACACAATCCGATTGTCAAATCACATCTCCCGATCGTTATCACATCACGGAACGGGACCGTGCCAATCTGATTAATTCAACTCACGTGACTTTGTATAAGAGTACCGGCTTTTCGATCTCGTTAACATACACCCCTCCTAATCTTGTCGATTACTAGCAAGCGTGTCCCGACGCGTTGATTTTATCTTCAAAACGGATTTATCTGACGATAACTAATCGAATCACTGCGGATTACAATAGTGCGGATGTTTATTAGTGTAGAAAAAAGTACTGGTTTCGAGTATATTTACCGCTAAGGGAAATGTTTTGCTGGTCCGGCTGGAATTCTAAGTGTCACAGATAAAGTGCATGGCTATTTTTTGTATCTGCTAGAAAATAGTCTGTGGTGCGTATAATTTTGCAGCAGCAGCATTTTAGCGATAAGAAAATCTAATTTCTATTACTAATTTTTAATAAGAAATGTGACTGGCTTGGATCCGGATGGACTCCACAGAGAGATTTTCTTGCAGCTGAATTGGACAAATAGTTCAGATAAAAATTCTGTTTCTGCCGCCTATTAGATATACAACACACATGTCACATTGAAGCGTTTCGCCAGGCATTTATCCATCTTAGCTAATTTCTCATATCCAGATAATCTTTGCTATGACTGCAAAACCATTTTTCTGAATGACTTCAACATTCTTTAGGAAATTTTTACTTGTAAAAATACCCCTTGGCAAGTTTTTACTTGTAAGAATTTGCTAAGGAATATCGAAGTAATTATTCGCTCGAATCTGGCGCTTTTTTGCGTATCAAACAAATTATCCTTTTTGAAGATATGAATCCGACAACTGACGCGATTTGCCTGACGACGATACTTCTCTCTCGAAATTATTCCGTCGAGGGTTGATTTTGATTTGATCTTAAAATGTATCTACGAAATTTCACAGTGTTCCTGTCAACCGGGGAGCAATCGTTCAATCTTCGAGTCGAGCGGTGTCGAAGAAGACGTCGCCCAAGAATGTGCACGCACGTACGCACGCACGCACACGCGTTCGCAAATTACGGCATTAGGATAATCAAATCTTGTCGCGGTGCAATCTGTCGGCCGGGCCGGGTTAAACGAGAGGAGAAAAATGACGGTCCGATACAAAATACACACCCGATATAAGCCACCCGCGCCGAGAGTAGCGCGCGCACGCAAAAGCAGGGGCGTCAAATTTCATTAGCATATCAATGCTGGCGGATGGCAAGGTGCCACCTGCGCCCTCGTATTATGGGATCATCGGGAAAAGTGAGAGGGGCTCGCGCTGCGAACGGAGGGGGAGGGGGGACCAGGGCTTGCGCTAGTCGGAAAGATAAAAAAAAGTGCAGCCGTTCTCTCTCTCTCTCTCTCTCGTTGCTAATTTCGGCCGATTGTTAACGTCGTCGTGTGCACGTACGTCGAAAGAGCGCTTTTTGCACTCCTCTTGCCTTTCCTCCGGAAGAAATGTTAAACCTATAATTGAGAACGATACCTTGGAGGACGTTAACGACGCGGGAACTATAACGGTTATCGCATTGGAGGACTCACATGGAAGAGCCTCTGTTAGAAATACAAGTCTCACGGGGAAGGGAAAAAGTTATTTTTTATATATGTATATATATATGTATATATATATTTATATCTTGCGCGCGCGTGTAAAAGGTAAGATAAAAAACGGCGATTAAATGAAATAAACAAACCTCGCTTTCGCGTCATCATCAATTGACACACGTTTCGCGCCGGGTTAATTTTGGACGGCTCGTCATTTATTCAGCGTGAGCCATTCACGTTTTTATGTTGCTATATTTATTAAATAACATGTGTCTTGTAATACTTATAAAAATATTTCGCGATTACGTTTTGTTTTAAAACCGAAATACCGCCGCACGAGAAGTTCGGTGTTTTTAATCAGTTAGCGACAGGAACAATGACGTTTAATAATGGCAAGATTAGTATTAAACGCAGCTATTTTTGGAGTATTTGTGCAAACCGTGAGTACACAGGTTGGGCGCAATGAATGCCGCGACAATCGTGCGAAGGAAGAAAACAGCAGAAGCTACACATGCTTTCCGCTTGTCTCAAGCTCGAAGCCGTGCGGCCAAAGTTTTAAGTCACAACACGCGCGAGTCGATAAACGAAAAAAATTTATTGATGACTGAGAAAGCCGGCGAGCAGAATTCGGCGCATCCGCCGGGTGCGTGCAAGGCAAATAAGACTGGATAAATATTCGCGATTCGAAGTTGAAGAACGATAAGAGCGACGATCGAACTATATCCGTGACTCGTAAAAATCGCCGATCGATGAGACAGACAGACGTTAACTGTTGAACGCATTTTCTGCCGGACTAATCTCCGTGTGGACCGCCCACGTTGTCCTGTTACGAGCCAAATTTCACCTGTCAAATAACACGTGTCTCATAATAATTGTCAAAATATATTTCATCAATATCAGGGATAACCGTATAAATAATGTCGCTTTTTAATACTTATATACTGAGAAAAAGACTTCTTCAAGTTTAATCAATTTTATTGCACTCAAACAAATTTCATCATTGGCATGCTCCGACAAAATTAATGTTTCGATTAATAAGCCACCACCAGATCAAATTTAATAGATCTTCCAGATTTTGGTCCGTTCGAAAGATCGAAATCACCGTTTAAACATTTTTTCAAGCAACGCTGACACGTTCTGATATCCAAGGCACTAGGATAAATAGGATTAATGGCACTAGTGGCATTGTTATTCTTTCGAAACTCGTAAAGCATCAAATGTCTGATATCCACACTTTGGTCTCCCATTCTTAACGGTACACTCAAATTCTTTTGAAATTTCCCAATAAGTACACTAAATGTCAATAAATCTAATTAGTATATAGGTTATATGTAATAACAAATCACGCCCACGAACAAGGTGGTAATATTTATTCAATCTTAAAAAAAGCGGCATTACTTTTGGACACCCCTAATACTTTCCATCTTAACAACAATCGAACAGGCTGAACGCTGAAGCTCAGCGCGGAAAAGTTCACCGGCACGTGCTGAACACGTCACGTTCGAACGATGCGTTTTGATTTCCTCGGCGATGTTCCAGCCAACGCAGCAACGAGAACTGAAAGTGTGACGACCTTATATCGTGACGCACATTTCTCGGAGGGCGATATCGAGAAGGCTCGAAGGAGGAACACGAAGAGTCGTTCCCGTCCGTCGGCACCGAATAGAGAAGAACGGACGGGACGGACGTAAATCCACCTCCGCGACGGACTTTTATACGAGTCGCAGACGTGGGGCGAGATAAGTGGAAAAAGAGGGTGGCACGCAGGCAACGACATTATGCCATTAGAATAATCAAATCTCGGCTGACCTGCCGTGCCGGGCGGGGAAAGGAGTTGCGCGTTGACGCAGGCTCACGCATTACATTACGCGTTACATTATGCGTGACGTTGCCACGCGAGAAAAATGTCGCGAGACGGCGTCGGACGTAAGGTAGTTAATGTCCACCTGGCTGGGATTAATCCCGCGTTCTCCCACGAGAGCGCACAAACGTTAATTACTTGCGTTTTACTTCATTCACGTCGCAATTTTCTCTTTCTGACGGCTGTAATTCCCTCCGACTTCACAGATCTCGTTTCGATGCATCCACGTTTTTATAACTTCATTATTTCGAGAGAGAGAGAGAGAGAGAGAGAGAGAGATCTTAAGCATCGCTCGATTTTATTCAGCGCGACCAAAATAAAATTCCCTATAAGTAGTTACCTCCAAGGTGCGATTTGAAGCTGTTTAAAGCGTTAAACTTCTTTCTCACGTCGAGAGAAATGAAACAGGCACGCGTTTGTAAAATATCGGGAAACGTCGCGTCGTAAATCCGCGAGAATTTTGCACTCGATGACTTCTTTCGCGTCACTTGCTTCACCGGTCTCTTCCGTAGGCAAAAATCCGGATGAGATTTCAGCGAGCGGCAATGGTGCGAAAATTTCGGATACTTCTTCGACGTGTGTCCCGCGAACGCTCGTATCGTTTCTTACGGGTCTGTGACTTTTCTCACCGCGAGACGGCTTTTACTCACCGTGCCTGACGCTCAACGGACTGGTAGGGCTCCGCGGATGTTCCGAATTCGTTTCATTCTGCGCCTGCTGATGCTGGTGCTGATGATCTTCGGTGGCCGTGACCGTAGCTGCCCCGTTCATTGTGCCTCCTCGATCATTCGTTATCAGGGCGACGTCGAACGTGCTGAAACCGGTACACACTTACTCAGGCCTTTCCTTTAATCGCAAATTCATGGGCGATCCATTGAATAGGCGCGTCGCGCGGCTGCGACAATTTCAATGCAGTCGGAATTATGTTAAACCTTTAATTCTACAACATAGTAGAAGGTAAGATGATAAAATAGGTTCAATTTCAATTCTAATAACGCAATATAACCCCTACTTGATGATGTCTTCTGTTTTAGCGTTAAAATAGAATGACGAAGGTGGCGTTAAAATTCAATCTGCAGAATTAAATGTTGAAAAGAGAAGTTAAAAAGTAGGTTTTTATTAATCTATAGAACGTCTAAGTAGGCGCAAACTATCTTTAAGAACGGAGGACGTCTCTCGTAAGGATCCGTTCCAATTATTATATAATATAAAGCAGCTCTGTAATTCGGTCCAATTTAATTATCGCGAAAGTTAATTACAAGCGACTTGAACAAATGAAAAAAATGAATATAGTTCTAATTTAAATACCAACACAGCTTCCACCTGGGAAGGTTCATCCCGATAATTCGTACATTGACGTACACCTCGGATTGAATTTAGCTTGTCGAAGGAAGAAAACCGATTTCAAGCAATTTTGGATTTCCAAGATAGTCTCTCTTTCTGCGACTGGTATATTATAACTTCAATAAGAATGACGTAACTATTCGATTGACCACCGGAGGCGATCGAGAACTCACCTAGGATAATTCCAGTTCCCGGCGTAGCCGCACTGTGGCACGTACGTCACTTCTCCCGCGATCACCGACTCCTCCACCCTTCACGACGCACGATCACCAAGTAGTCCTCCAAGCGCCGGCTCGATCTACGATCCGTAACCTGGTTCTTCACCCCAATATCGGCGAACACCACCTCGGTGGAAGCCGAAGATGTGGAGAGACCAGATCGCGCGATCCTTAACGCAAGAAAGAGGACGCCGCTCGTTGCTGCGAGCGAGAGAGACTGACTGATTGCGAGGAAGAGGATATACCACTTTCGCGTTATCAGGACCGACGTTCCGCTTTCGAGATCGACGCGCAGGCGGAACGTCGTCGATGTCGGATTGGCGTATGACGTCTGCGGCGTCCCGATCCGGGATCTCGACGGCGAGTCGCCGTTACCTGCGGATGACGTCGTCGTCGTCGCCGCCGCCGCCACCGCTGCTGCCGCCGTCGTCGTCGTGGCGGTTGCCGCCGTCGCAGGTAGCGGGCGAGCAACGCCGATTGGTCCGTCGGCACTTTTGAAGGCGGGATCAGGAGGCAACGCCGGAAAAACGACAAAAACGAGGAGCGGGAGGATTTAACCTATAGCCTCCACGTTTGATGCGGCGCCTCGCCGCGACGCCCGTCGTCGCGACGACGCGCTTGCGCCGACCCCTCCGACCCTACGATGACGTCTCCCACCCTGGGCGGCCTGGACCGAACTACCCCTACCGGGGGTAGCGCCTACCTGAGCTTCGTGCAATTGTTGATCGTTGGCTACGCGACGGCGAGGCTCTCTCTTTGCTGAGCCGGTTCGCCCGGATAAAAAGTGACGATGCGCTCTTTTTATCCCTCCTCCGAATTAATCGGAGGAGCTAACTGAAGGCCGATCGAACGACAGAAATTCGTTCAGCTTGGATCGTCTCGGCGATCTGCGCCCGATTACTCGGAGGGTGACTGGGAAAGTCGACCGGTAGATAATTATCGACGACATGATTACGACGAGTCAAAACGGAAGTTATTAAAATCGCATCGTTGGAATCGACGTAATCGCTCGTTCGATTTGAGGGAATTATGTGAAACTGAAAAAGGTAGAATTCTCCCCGTCGGCGTCGAAGAATCAACGCTCAAAAGGAGCCGCTAACGGAGCGATTAATCGGCCGATCGAACTTTCGACTCCTGAAGTGTTCCCCCGGACAAATCGAGCGGGATCCGTGCGAGCGCTCGACGTCGTTGCGGCGACGGTGGTGGTGGTGGTGGTGGTGGTAGCGGGGTCGCCGCCATGCTGGATTCCTGCCGTCGGTGCGCTTGCCTTCTGGTAATCGTTGCCAGGGTTGCGACAGCCCCTCCAGACCGACGTCGCCACGCCCGCGGATCGCGGACGGACCAATAACGCCGGGACGTCGCGACGCCGGCGTCCACCAATAGGATTACCCTCTGATACGGTCTTTCGCTTGTCGGTGACTGCTGCACACCCAGCCCCTCAGTTCACCCAGATGCCTTTCAATTTCGGGCCCGCGGCCTCATAAACGCAGCCAACCACCCGCGCCGCAGGGGTGTACGACGCACACAGCGACGTGTGCGCGCGTGGACACCCACACGGCCGGGGTACAAAGCCGCGTGGAAAGTCGGGGATGAAGCGGGGGTGCGCGTGCTGGTACGCGGGAATGCGCTCGGCGTTATAGAACGACGGCGATGCCGTGCGCGGAGGTAGGAATGGCACGGTGATCAATCATTCGGATACGTGTAAAAGAACAATTTATATCGTATAAAATTATGTGTTTACGATAAAGTGTTACGCTTAAAATTACATCGCTCTTTTGAGGGCGCGTCGCCGAGGGCGCGCACGAGTTGCGACGTCGCGCGTTATCGTGCGAACTCGAAAACTGTCGTGATTTATTTATCTGTCGTGTAACACGGAGAAAACGAATTTGCTAGAAGAGCGAATTATTTGTTAATATTGTGACAGAGCGAGACAAATTTGTCCGGACGGCGGAAAGATTTGTCAAGAGTATCAGTTGCTGTTTGCTGGATATATGGACGGCAAAATCATTTCGTTATGCCGGCTAAATTTTATCGCTGTCGCAACGACGTTTCGCTACAACAGCAAAATTATTTTTGCCGTGCGACAAATTTTTTTTTTGCCACTATATTAACAAAGTTTGTTAGAAAAAAATTGGTTCAGAGAGCGGAAAATTTGTTAGGACATCGCCAAGATTTGTTGAGAGTAAGAATTGTCCATATATTCAGCAAATAGCAATTAATACTTTTGACAAATCTTTCTGCTGTCCAAACAAATTTTTTGCTATCTAAACAAATTTTTCTTGCTGTCATTGACAAACATCTGGTGTTCTAGCAAAATTTGTTTTCTCCGTGCGTGTGGCTCGAGCTGGTTCTCATTTTTGCGCCTTGCCCCGGGTTTCTAGGTATGCCGTCGTCGAATATTTGAATTTCTGTGACCGAGGATTCTCGGTACCTTTAACATTACCTTGACGCGATTGGAAAGTTTATAACTACCAGGCAACGTACAACACTTTTAATTAGTTTCCCGTTTTCTTATCTTGTCAGTTTATCTATGACTTTATTTTCCATTCGTCGCAATAAGCAGCTGAAATGTAAAACTGGATTTCGCTCTCCGATCTGTCAAAATCGCGCTAAATACTTATACCGGTTTCAAATCGATCCTACCGTGGTGGTTTTACGTCATTCAGATTTGAATATAATAGTTTGAGCTTTAAAATTGCTGTAAATTCTCGCGGCATCTTCGAGACGTGGGACGCGTAATCGTGCATCCTGCGTAATCCTTACCGAAGAATTGAAGTTCTCGAGGAGCGCGCGATCAATTTCTTAGAAACCGAGTATTTGCGAGACATCCATCAAACTCTCGTTTGCCTCGTTTAATGCCACGGTAGAAAGTAGAACGAGCAACGAAGAGGAAGGCTTGCTCTTCCTCCCTCGGTGAATACCTCAAAGGGAATGCTCCGATCGGCGTACACATCTCAAGCGTCACCCCGCAAATTTACACGCCTGTGCTTTCTTAGCGCGTCTTTTGTGCAATGTTCCTTAGATGATCGTGATTTTCATGCATGTGTGGTAGAGGTGTGTGTCGTGCGCCATACAAGTTCTCAGAAAAAGAACCCGTTTTAGCACAAATGCTACCGCGACCCACGTAATGCAAAATTATGCCCCGAGAGTTATGCTTAATAAAAAAATCACATGACCTTCGGTATAATAATTATAATTAACAACGAGGCGCTTTTTATCTGAAGAAGATGAATTTCTAATTAATTTATTTACTTATTTTAAAGAAGTAATAGAAAAAAAAACATGTCTTTGTAGGTTCCCGTCGAGTGGGATTTCATTTAAAATTATCTCGACAATCTGGAAGTGTATATAATATATTGGAAATTACAACTATAATTTAATAATATTGTTTATAAAGGGAAGGGACGATGTATAAAAATTTTATGTTACGTATAAAAAAATAATACGAATATAAATAAACGTAGTCAAGTTTTCACGCGTGGGAATTTTTGTCATTTAATTTATTTATACATAATATATATTATCCATCACTGCATTGCTTTGAACATCTTACGCTCTCTCGCATGTATCGGAGAACGATAACTTATCGGTGATGAATACGAGCGCACACGGCGGACCTTCTTGGTTGGTAACAACACAACTTCGGTTATCCGGGCGTAGATAAATCGAAATTTAATCTAGGTAAATTTATAGAGACGAAATATATGTTATTGACAACCACTTGTAAGTAGATGTTAAATAATTACAAATAATATAAAAGCAACGAATCAAAATTACTTTTCTCCTCCCGCATTCTGTTTGCAATATTTCAGACAATGTCGATTATCACAATAACAAATAAATTACTTATATTCCGTGTATAATAATTATTTTAATACTGTGCGTATATAAGAAGGAACACGGTGAAATGTATTTTTGTAATCCGATGATCATAAAATTATCGGAAAGTGATCGTGAAATCACACGTTACCGCACAATTCATACCGCAGAATACCGATGTTGACCGAGTATCGCAAATGCGCGCGGTAAAAAAAAATATTAAAAACGATCCATTGAAATTTTGTGTTATTTTAACACCGGCGGTGTGTTGAAAAGTATACAGATGTCGGAAAGTACACAAATATAATGTAATGTTAAATCAACACATTCGCCTTGCCAACATGCCTTGTCAAGTTGAATGTATTAATTTAACATTATATTTGTGTATATTTCAACATATCCCCTATGTTGAAGTAACATAAGGTTTCAGCGGGCCGTTTTCATCACAGGATCTTTTACCGTCCGTTACAATTGTCGCGTATACGAACAGCCTCTACTTGATCTGCTTCGCCGAGGATGTACTCGGGACGTTCCTCAGGACGTCATCGATCGCGCGACAGATATCCTCGAAGACAACCGACTCCTCTTTCTCGCCGTCGATTACGCACAACTTTTTGCTGTAACGCCTGAGGATCGGTTTGTTCATCTTAACGAAGACCTTGATGCGTCTCTTGATCTCATCAAGGTTGCGGTCCTGCCGCTCGGTGGCGGTGATGATCCTCGCTAGGACCCTGTCCGTCATCACTGAGTTCCTGACGCACAGATACAGGACGAGATCCGGCGGCCGAATATGCCTGTCGAAGAGCTTGCTCTGCTCCTTCTCTCTGGGGAATCCGCTCAGCAGGAAACCGCGCGCGGTATCTAAGCCACTCAGCATTCTCGTCTTGATGAGCTCCACCAGGATATCCGAAGGCACCAATCGGCTCTCCGACATGAAACGCGCCAAAGTGACGGCTTGCTGTGTGCCAGCGATCATTTCGTCTCGTAGCAAGTCGCTGGTCACGATGCCGAGGAAGCCGTAGCGCTGTGCTATCTGCACGCTTTGTGTCCCTACAGAACGAAAATAAATAAAATGACCCCTATGTTCCAGAGAGGGAAGATTCTCCCTTCAAAATAATGTCAGACTTAATCACTTCGGTAGTTTCAATTTTTCGTTACATCAAACCACATAATTCAAGAGAAATATGCGAACTATAGAAATATGCAAATTCAGTGGACAGTTTTGTCTTTAGAATATTTGCGATCGTCAGAAGAATTTATGCCAGCGATTATGTCATAATGTTCAGATCGTCAATTAAATTTAGGTTACCGAAGATGAAGCAGGTTAATTGTGTTAATTTGCAATTTTATAGTTCCTATTTGTGAGAAAAATTCGTAAATGAAGGCTCAACGAACTTTTTCCCGCTCCTGGGCCTCCAATAAGAAAGATAATCGGCAATCCTGATTCCTTAACTGGCGTAATATCGACTCCGTCGCCTCTTGGAGGGGCAGAGATCGAAGAGTCAACGGGTCTTATAAGGTTGCCCATTTCTTTGCGGGTATTTTGTTAGAGAAAAAGTATCACAAATGATATTATATTTTATACGCGACGAATATAATACAGTTATGCACTTATTATGTGACATACTAAGCATCTTGAAGTTGAAGCTTTGAATTAAATGTAACGCTAAGGAAGAGTGTCAGATCGTTATTGATCCGGAAAATATCACGAACATAGGAACGTTATGATACATCTCGCGTAGAAGATTACATAATAAATCAATAATGTTCCTTCTTTTATTACGTTAAAATTTCTATTATCGTCTGCAGCGAAATTATAAACTTGCCTGATAGTGACTTCTGTCGCTGCTAAAGCAATCACCTGCTTTCTCAGTCGTTGATAACCTGTCTCGCTCAAGAAGAGAATATGGTAATTCCATTGCATGTCCGTTAACCCCCGTTTAAATTCAATAACATTTATTCTTATTCCTTGAAAATCTGATATATAACTGAATTTACTTTTATTTTCCATCATTTTGCATTTTGTGGAAAGAACATTAATTTAGGATTTATTGTAAAAGTTCAATTTCTTATTCTCGATGCTTACCAATCGCAAAATTTTCAACCCAATAATGATTCAATGATACTAATGACAATAATATCACTAACGTATCTTACGAAAAAAAAATGTATATTTGTTCGTGATACATATTTGAGTATATAAATATATTACAGCAGGAACGTTAAAATAATTCCTACATCAACTCACTTTCCTCCCCATTGTGGAATGTGCAATTCTATCAAACGGGTCCTCTTTACGAAGAGGATCGGAGGGCAAAGATGGATAACATTCAATCGATTCATATACATGAACAATTACCGTAACAGAGAGCATGATGAGCTGAGGTATATCAGAAGATGTTGTGTCGCCATCGTCGGTATCGGCAGAGTCGGTAAGTCCTTAGCACACTTGCTGAAGATGTATCCGGCTGGTCTTACGGAGTTACGACTTTGTAATCGGAGTGATCCCGAGGGAGTCGTAGAAGAGTTGAATCATATACCGACGAGGTTGCCCGTTCGAGGTTTCAAGGGCACTGAGAGGCTGCCTTTGGGCCTGCAAGGTGTCGATATAGTTGTATTGACCGCCGGAGTTCCCAGGAAGCCCGGCATGCTTAGAAGCCATTTGTTCATGGTGATTACAATAATTTTGAAGTATAGATATCTAATTATCACTGTTATAAACATCTAAAAATTATGAATTTCATAAGATTTGTGTCGCATAACAATTTTTGCACGTTATTACACACAATATAGCCTTGCGAATATTAAATGAAATTAACGGAGACTTAATCGATACTTACTTAAAAACCCTATAAGAACATAATATTCCTAGAGTATTATATGCATATTATTCGATATGAAAATCATATTCGAAGAATGTTATGTAATATTTTTTTAACCCTTTGCACTCGAAGTTTTTTTTCATTCATATTACCAGCAACTCGAAGCAATTTCAGTGGAAAGATCATATTCACATATAAGTAAATGATATGCGCATTAAAAGAAAAGTCATTGTTGTATGTTATTGTTTTTTTAATTTTGTTAATTTGTTAATAGTTGTTAATAGTTGTTAATAGTTTGTTTCAAGTTTGAAGACAAATTTTAAATGGCTCCGCTCCGGAGCCCTCGAGTGCAAAGGGTTAATATTATAGGGATGTTTTATTGATGTTATATATCCACATAATATTTTTGGCATATTATAAAAATGTTCTAAGAATATTAAAAAAACAAAATAATAATAATATAAAAAATAAATAAAACATACATATATATTTCGACTTTATTTATATAATAAAACGATTGGTATTGCGATACATTTGAAATAAAAAAACTACAATTATATATATTATATATGTACATAGAGTTGAATATTAAAACAATATATAACATTAAATAATATTGTTTTTTTTATATTATTAGGAGTGGACATATGACCATCTATTAATATTCCAGAAATATTACTTACAATTAAATAATATTACGCTCTTATAGGGAATGATCGGCACTTTTAAGGATAAGGACAGGAAGAGACAGAAAATGAGTTATCTTTAAATTATATCTGTGATAAAAACAGTTTTAATTTGTCGATGTGTTATATAAGATTATCTCTATGGTTTTCCTTATGAGATACAATGATTGCCCCCTCCGTAGAGTTAATTTGGGAGTTCGAGGAAATACCAAGTCTAATTTAAGACAACATGACCTCCCACGAAGACTTCGTTCAAGTACACTTATGTCGCCCGTCGCAGGTTAATGCCGTGATCTGCAGAGACGTGATTAACATCTGCGCGGGCATATGTCCCGATGCTCTGATAGCCATAGTAACAAATCCTGTGGACTCGTTGGTGCCAGTTGCAGCGGGAGTCTTAAAGAAACGCGGGGCTTATCGGCCTGAAAAGCTCTTCGGCATCTGTCAGATCGACCAGATGAGAGCGGAGCATTTCTACGCCGAGGCCACTGGTCAGGAACCGGAAAAGGTCTACGTGCCTGTCGTGGGTGGTCACTCGGAGGCCACCACGGTACCTTTGTTCTCCAAAGCAAGACCGAACGTCTCCTTGACGGCGGAGGAAACCATGACTTTGATCAATCTTGTGAGGAAGGCTGCGAGCAAAATCGTTCATCCTGTAAGATAAACATTATTTCGATTGCGAATAATTACGAGCAACAGATACGAGAATAGACTCTTACCACGACGTAAACACATTTTTTTGATGACTACAAACTTTCTTCTTAGCGTTTACTCGTCGTATTTTTGCACTTTTTAATATTGAATGTTTCGAATCTTTTGTAGCTAAAAATTCCTAGCTCAAAGTTATTTTAAAGTAAATCTGAGAATTTATTTAAAATACAATTTCCTCTTGTGTGAAAAAACACTTTACATAATAAAAAAGTTTTTGTTGAAAATGGTTCACTGAAATTTTGTGTTACTTTAACGAATATATTAAAAAGTAAGTATTGTTAAAATAAGTTGATAAATTATGCTAATTTAACATTATATTGTGTATTTTTTAACACATTTCCGTGTTAAAGTGACATGAAAATTGCAATAAACTATTATTAACATAAATTTTTTTCGCTGTGCATATTCGGAATAAAAGTGTTTAGAGTTACATAATTGGCACAAGGATATTCAGACGCATCTTATATTTGCTCTGTTGAGACAAAAACGGAATCCGTCGGGGCTACGTTTTCAATGGCGACAGCGGCGTTACACTTTGTTCATCATTTATGCCGCGCCGTTCACGACGAGCCACATGTGATCATTTCCGCTTACGTGGAGTCGACGGTAACCAAATCAGGTTTCTTCAGCAACGAATTATTGCTCGGGCCGCACGGTATCAAAGAGAATCTCGGCTACGGGAAGGTTACAAAGCTCGAGCAACAGCTGATTGACGAAGCAGTGGTGAAACTTCAAGGAGAGATCAAGATGGTTGAGGATTTCATCGCTAAAAACGTCAAATAATTTACAGGATTAAAGTTATCGTCTTTGCCGTTCAACGTGAACAAGGTGATAAATTTTTAACGTAGTCACGATTTCTGAGCATGCTTGCTGCGCTCTCTATTTATTTTTTTATCACTCTTCATATTCGTTAAGAACATCGTGACGTGTGGTCCCGCTTGTGCAATGACATCTAAAGTCAAATTAAATCCTAGCAGAGAAAAACATTATTGTATCGTGAAAAAAAAAGCAATTAGTTTAATTGTGTAACTTTAACCAGGTGAATATGTTAAAAATTCTTTATTATATGAAGAAAAACAATTATTTCAAAGCGATCAGTTTAATTTTCTTCTTTTAAAAGTATCTTGAACAAAGGATATTTTCTTGACTGAATAGCATTAAAATACACTATAATCACAAATATTATCTCGTTATTATTTACTCAAAAGAAGAAATTGTTCTCTTTTCAAGAATATTACAAACTTCGTCATAGAAATGTTAAATTTGGTTAATTGGAATATAAGTAAACCGAAGTTTTACTTCTAGTGTTTTAATTTAATCTTCTTGATAGAAGTATTAAGCTTATTACAATTCAGAATATATATTATATTTTGAATAAATTTGATGCTTATGATGAATTTATAATATACTTACGGATATATAAACTTATGAAATACTTGAAATAAGTAATACTTACTTGAACGCAGTTCATATTTACCTGCGTGTAGCTAATAATGTATATTATTCCTTGTAAACGTGCTTAAACATCGTCCTTATTTGTACGCCATTCGTGACTCCATAATACACTTTATAACACACACGTCGGTTAATACAAATTAAACGAATGTTTTCATTCAACGAAGAAAAGGTGAAGTCGTTTAATACGTTAATAATCAGGAATAAAAATTTACAGCTTCTTTGAACTTTTCCTAACGCACACTCGAAGAACTTCTCGAGTGTATCAGGATCTCGCTTATATCAGATATTGTATCTCACGATCCGCGAACTATCTAAAGTTCACAGTCTCACAACGTTACATGGTGCGCGCGAATATTTGCAATACCGTTACGCGAATATCGCAATTACCTTCCATTATTACGGTGGGATATCAGCGAGGCACGCGACTAACGAGATAATTGTCCGGTAATCGGGAGAGACCGGTCAGGGCGAAAATCAAGCGCGCTCTCGCGACGGAAAGCTCCGTGCGGCCCGGAAGGCTTCCGTATTCGACGCGCCGTAACAATACGCCGTCATTGTAAGATACGGACCGGATCCAGGCCGCGCGCGCGCGAGTAATTTTCCAAATAACACAGATCTTGATCCATTGATCGTTCGTGAGCATTGGTTCGGAAGGGCTGATATTATCTCCCGGAGCGGAAATTGCGCTGCCCGCGAAAGGTTCCGCCGCCAATTTCGTCGTATCGTCGATGACGCAATGACGCAATTCATTTGTCACCCGGGGCGGTGCTTCGGTAAGAAATTAAAAAAAAGAGAAGAGAGTATAAGAGCGAGACCTCACGGTTCTCGGGCAGCGCCCTCCAGCGGTAGAGGGTCGCATTGTGGAAAATGTAAACGTCGGTTTCCTTCGCGAGAATAATTTTCCAAATCATTTCCGGGGTTATATGAATGTACACACGGCTGTAATAATGCTGTTGTACACGGCATCATCGGGATAAATCTCTTTGATTCAATGACACGATAATTGAAACTAATGTTCGAGTTATCCAAACAATAATATGACATATTAGTTTTAATGTTATTAAATCAAGAAAATTCGTTCCAGACTACGAAAGAAAAAAAGAATATTCTTCTTTTAAGATAACCTGTATTCTCAACATGTATACGCTGAAATAAGATTCTTATAAACGCGTAATATTCCTAAAATATTATATGAATATAATTCAATATTAAAATAATATTCTTACGCTGAGAATGTTATGTAATATTTTTTAACATTATAGGGATGTTATATGCCTTCGCATAATATTCTTGGCATGTTATGAAAACGTTCTTGGAATATTAAAAAAAAAATAAAATAATAATATAGAAAAATATCTATAAATAAAATACACATAAACATTACATATATATAAGCAATGATCGCGTCTGTTAGAATATATAAGTCTTGAATTGTTACTTAATTTTTATCCTTCCGATATTGTTCATACAACAATATTTTTTTCCAGTTTACAGCTGCATTCTCTCCTTTTGTCGTAACGACCCCGAAAGAGCTAGCCGCGACCTAAATTCCGATAAACATAAAAATCAACTTGAATATTGGCGTGAAATATCACCGGCAATTGAACGATCCCCCCTACAGCAGTGCATCACCGCGCAATTCCACCAGTGACCTAGTTTAGACGAGATCCTATTTTTCCTGGAAAGGCAAATATGCTCACTCCGTCTGACATTAGCGAAGTGTGTGCGGAGCGCGCGGTTTTACCGCCGTCCGTTAATTGCGCGATCGCGATAATATCGGGGTCCCGCGATATTTTAGGAGAACCGCGGAAAGCGCTCGAGCATGCGCGCCTCATTAAAAATGCTTATTAGAGGGCTACATTAGCGTCGTACCGATCGGCGAACTGGATCGCGATTAGACAGCATTATGCGGACAGCACGGCGGATTAAGAGTGACGCACGGCCGAGCACGCTACCTCGTTAAAAGCGCGGAATTACACGCTGGAATTATGCGTAAATCTGTCCGTGATTGCCGTCTTTAAATATCGGCGCCGGTGGCACCGACTGCATAATTCACCGGGCGGGTCCCGCGGTAAGTTCCCGGAGCCGAATCTTTATGAGGGAGTTCGTGAATTAATAATAGATCCGCGCGAGGGATTAATTCATGCGGCTCGACAGATCGTGTTTCTCCCGCCGCGTTATTTTCACATTGCTCGTTTTATTTCGCCGTGCACAGTCGCTCGTGTCAACCGTGTGTCTCTTGTGTTGCGTTAAATTTACATTTTAGATCATTCCATACTTTTATATCTAGAAGGGATATGATCTTTTCTTCGGTTTTTTTTTTTTAAGCGCGCGCATGTCTGGTAGTCTATATTTTACTGTAAAGAGACAGCAATTACGCACTGCGCACGGCTTATTTTATTACGTCCGCTTTTCTTCGATTAGGTAACGTTCGGAATATGATAAGCGGACGAGTCGGGTAGACTAAATTTTTATACTATTTTGACTGATAATCGTTGATTACTATTCTCGTGTCATGAGAAACATTTTTCTTCTTTCCAAATAAAGTGACGAGAACTCGCATGAAGATTTCTCATCACCTGCCTGCAAAATGCGAAATTTACAGCTTAATCCTCAGCTTATTTAGCTCACATTATAGGTTCAGCTCACTTGAAAATATATCATTTGTAAGCTCATCAAGTTTTCAGCTTATGTTGTTATCAGTACAGTTCATTAATCAAGTTCATTAACTCAATCAGTTCCACTCATAAGCTCATTTTTAAGTTCAAACTCTCTACAATTTTATTTTTTCAAATCAAAAGTAAGTAGACTTTATTAATTATAATCGGTGACCTAAGAGATTATGTACTTAAATAAAAAATATTAAATTAAGACAAACTTCGGTTTGCTTATTCAAACTAATATTCGAATCAACCTTTTCTTTAATAAAATTTATAATATTCTTGAAAAGAGAATAGATTCTCTTTTTGAATACACACGATAATGAATTTTTCTCTGTGCAGGATCAATCAATTGAGTGGAAGAGAAGAGCAATGAAGACGCGGGCCACGTGTTCTGGTAGACTCGGTCGCATAAATTTCCCAAATAACCCTTTCGTATCGATTAGAAAGAGGGATTTGCCTCCGTTCGATTCTCCCCGAAAGAATGCAGTCTATACATTCCCGATCGTCCGCCGCCGCACTCGGCATCCGGCGGTTTCCCGTCTCCCGCCGATAGAAGCGTACGTCGCGCAAACGATAGGAGAACAGGTTCGGTAGCGGTATTTAAGAATCTGGAAAGGGACGAACTAGCGAGATAGCACGCTAACCACCGGCGTATCGCCGCATTAGCGATAACGTGAAATTACCGCACGAGGCATGATTCCCATGAATCCCCGACGGCTAACCGTCGGTGTTTATTGGAAGGCAATCTCCCGGGCCAGCGGAGGGGGAGGAAAAAGCGAGATCTTTGAGCGATTGAAACGCGGAAAGTAGACGACTCCGGTGTTCCGCGATGCCGAGCGGCGATTATGCATCGTGAGCACCCGCATAGATCCACCCGTTCGGCGATTCCCACGGCCGCATACCGCTGCCGCCGAGACCTTATTCTGCCACTGCCAATGATCGGCGAATGAAGACGTATCGCGCGAGTCGAGCCTCGATACGCGAATTATCGCAGATACCGCCACCGGGAGATCTCGCGCGCACTATTTATATCTAACACTCGTCAAAATTAATCGCCGTTTCTTTGCCGTAAGTCATTCGATCAATTGTCGTAGAAACGTAAAAACGACTATAAAATGTAAACTCGAATTTTGCCGGAAGAAAAGAATTATATACGGTTTCTTTGAATTTGATATACGTGTTCGTTTGACTTGGGTTTGCTTAATATAAACAACATGATTTAATATGAAATATCGTTCTGTTTGAATGAAAATGTTGCTCCGCTAGAGTAAATCATGTTGTTCGATGAGAAAAACGGTATTATTTGGAGGAAATAATATTTTGTTTTCAATCAGAAAAATTTATTTCATTGTATATTATATATTAAATTGTATATTAAATATTGTACATACATTGTATATTAAATATTGTTCCACTGAAACACAGAAAAGTTCTTCGACATTTTTCTAACATAGCGTTATTTCTTTCAAATAATTTATTGCTTGTGGCAAGCATTGCGATGTTCGAACGAACATACAAAGGAAATATGTTATATTTATTGTTTGAGGGACTGAACAATCCTATTTGTTGAATTAAATATTCGTTTGTTTGCTCCAAATCTCCAAAAGACATTTTGTTTCAATTGGAGCAATATTATTAAACTCAAAAGTCTTTTCTTCCATACTCTGCATACATTCTTTCTAAATATATAAAGAAAAAAATAATTGAAATTTTAAGTTTTTATTCAAAACTCTTAGACGTCTAAAACGAGTCAGTAATTAAACTAATAAGATATACAGTCACGCGCTCCGAACTCTCGCAAAACACTCATGAACGCGCGCGTAAACGTAAATATTCAGCCGAGTAATTATATGCATATATATATGTTAGCGTCAATGTTAATCCGCGCTTGTTACAGGTCAGACGAGAGGCGGCGTTAATTAGCCGACACGGATATCGCACTTTACTTCTGTAATTTCCCGACTAATGTAACGCGCGTTAACGAAATATCTTCGCACCGTGTGCAGTCGCGCCCGTTACCGCCGCAGCCTTCGGCGAGATTGCAACACCACCCGGCGTCCCGATGCATTAACCCTTTAGACCGTGTACGTCGTAAATATAGGCGCAGCGCCTAGACTCGCGAATTGAGAGAGGCCGGCGCTAATGTGGGCGAAATTTTTCGAAACAATCGATCCACCAGGTACGCCGTTTGATTTACGGCATCATTATTTCGCGCTGATTTACATACAAGTGCATCCGACCGATGCGTCGTAATCAGAATTCGGAGTACGCGCGTTTCTATCCCGCGAAAAGGAAGACGTCACGCCGTCGGTTGCGAAATTTTCGCTTTTCCGGTCAATGCGCGATAATCGCGTGCGAAAAAAAGTAAAGAAATTCAGCTCCTCGCGCGAATTGCGTAACGCACGGAGTGCACGGACGCGCAGATCACCGCCTAATATTAAACCGTTGCTCATTGCGCGGCAGCGAAGCGTATTTTGTCGATAAGTTCTGCGTGCACGTACCAGATCCCATTAGCGCGAATGAATTGCGCGCTTATTTCCGCGCTTTAATAAATAACAGTCTCCACTCGGGGGGATCTCGCAAAAATTGAAGCTCCACCGCGGCCGGATCGGGATGACGTATTTGTCAAAGTTACACAAACTCGAGAAAGAGAAGGAGAGAGAAAGTAAAATAGAGTTTATTTCTACTCTTGTAAAGGTTGGAACCCTTTAAGTTTATAAAAATTTTTACACAAGTATGGTTGATTGTCAAAATTGGAAAGACTATAGAGAAAGACTATAGGAATGACTATACCAGAATAAAGTAAATAGTAGGATATTGACAAAAATAATAATACAGCAATAATTACAATAGATGATGTTTGTTATTAGTAAAGAATTTGTTCAAATAGAAGAATATTAAGATAGTGTGAATATATTAATGAATAGAGCGTAATGTGTGTATTTAACTTGGTATATGTGAGAAATAATAGGAAAGACAATGTACAAAGGAGAGAGCGCAAACTTTACAAAAATGACAAAAACGTTTACAGAAAGAAAAAAAGGATAGCTGATATTGCAGATTATTAATAAATATGTATTTAGATGCCAATCGGCGATATTTATTTAAAGATTACCCTAGGAATCCTTTGCATTATGAAGATCACTTCGAAAAAATGCCACTTCACGCGAAAAGTGCGACTTCAAGCGTAAAATACGAACCCCCGAATTGCTCTTTCCTTCTTCTTCTTCTTCTTCTTTTTCTTCTTTTTCTTCTTAGGGTATCGAAGACGGTGGTGTTGACTCGCGAGCCACCGTATCGGCGATATCGAACCGACGAAAGCTCGTGTTTGCATAGCGACGGTTTATGGTCGCGGGCACGTTGTTCGACGTTGCCATCGATCTTTATCGCCTGAATCGAGCAATTATGACGCAACGTTAATGATCCTGATGAATGGTGTCATCGAGTCAATGACATCGCGAGCGGTGCCGGCAAAAAAGCAGGTAGCTAGCGAGTCGTGCAATTAGCTCCACTTGCTACGTTATAATCATCGTATTACATCGAAACATTGCGCGGCATTTAAATGCGCGTGACGGAATACCGATGTATATTTAAATTGCGTTAATTATCGTCATTACATGCTGTAATGGCTATAATCGCACAACTTTAAAGGATATTTCTGTCGTGAGCATTATTATCAATAAATTTACTCGCACTGACTTTCTCCCTCGGCTTATTTCTATTTGAATATCTCTAGAAATATTTCCAAGATATATATATATATATTTTTTTTTTTTTACTTATATTTTTTATTATTTATTTACTTGGATGCGCTTAAATTTTTATTGCTTCCTTTTATCTCTATATAGTGATTAACTTATTATTTGATTAATATTTATATAGAATATTTTAAAATTTAAATATGCACTTTTAAAACGCGGATTTTAATAATTAAAACAAAATATAAATGCTTGTCGGAAATATGTATCATTAATGTGTTTTAACGTAATGTTATGGAACATACATATAAAATAATAAAATAACGTGAGATAATATATTTGTGTAATTGTGTAATATGTATTAATATCAGTAAAAAAAACTGTTCAAAATAGAAGAGTATTGAGATGTAAGTATTAAGTATGAGTATATTAGTGAAGCTAAATAATGGAGCGTAGTGTGCATATTTAACTTGATTCGTATGAGAAATAATAAGAAACTCAACAAAGATGACACAAACGTAACCTTTACAGAAAGAAGGAGGATAGCTGATATCGCAGATTATTGATAAATATATATTTAGCATGCCAATCGGCAATATTTATCTAGAGACTCTAATATTACGTAACGTATATGTATCATTAATGAGATTTTCAGCACAGCTGAAGGTATCGAGTTCTGCTTTCGCTCAAAATCTCCTTGCATCTATTTGCACTTTGCCGGCGTCGTTTCGCAGAAGGAGATGGTATGTTATCGCGCGAAAATTATTTCTCATACTTTGACTGTGCGATCGAGAGGATGACTCGATATATTTATACACCTCGCGGGAGCGCGACGAGCAGAACGGAGGAGCTGATGCACGACGACGATACAACGAGCGAGATGCACTCCGGACGCCTCGTAGGAACGCGGCAATTTAGCGATATCAGCCAGACCGACACGGGGCTAATTCTATCTACGTAGCGCCACTCGATAATTTGCTCGTGGAAACGTATTAGATCGCCACCGGGGCGGCCGCTAATCACAAGCTGTCCCGCGCGTATAAGTTATGAACGAGATGTTAAACTATTCCGACGAAAGTCATCCTGCCTCGATTATCAGCAGCGTTAACAGCAGCCGTCACCGCTTCCTCTTAAAACTGCTAAGAGCAATGGGTCTCCACGATTGATTTCCTTCAACAGTTGAAAATCATTTCCCAGCGTTTTCCAGTCTTCATTTCGGAAAGTACGCTTCGGAAAGAACGGTATTTTAGCGAATCGACAAAACGACAGGAACGAACGCACATTTCACTGTAATATTACTAGTTAGTTTAGGAATTGATTCAAAACCGTCAAAATAATTGGAATTTTGCGAAAATCTGATTTTAAGTGAAAATATCGCATTAATACTTGGTGAAATATTTACATATTGAAAAATGTTAGAAATCACTAAAAAGACACTTTATAAATTTATTTATATTTTAATAAACGGTAAAACATAATAATTTCGTCATCGATTTTTTTATCATTGCTTGAATCTTACGCAAGATATTTATTGTTGGATTTAACTATCTAGAGTTGGGGACACTTCGACAGATGATCCACGCGGTCTGCGAATATTCATATGAAAAGAGCAGATAATTATGTGCTGCTTTTTCAATAACAATGCAGAGAAGAGCGAAGCGTACAAATGGTCGATCACGGCTAGTTGATATTGATGTTCCGCAGCAACGAGATAAGCGAGATCTGACTCACGACTGGGTTGCACGATGCAGCATGTTCTCCTTTTGCTCTCTTCTAGAGCTGAGATCGACCAGGTTCCACCTTCATTGGTTATGTTTTCACGTGTGGTTTCGTCATCGCTGATCAGCTGATGTCTTTCAGGAGAAGAATTTCGGGAAAAAATTTGCATTATGCTACTTAGCTAATTATAATGCCGCATAATTTTATAAAGCGTGTATCTCCTCCTGGTTCACCTCTAGATTCAACCTGTTAAACTTTAATCCATCGTTGAAACCTCTCGACTTTATCGAATTTACATATTATATATTGTACTAGGCGATTCAAAATTCGCACGTATGCTTCACGTAATCAAATCGATTTAAGCTGTATTTTTCTGGAGTTGGCTTTTGATACTTTTATTCGCGTACTATTACTATTATGATACTTTCGATCTCGTTAATGAATATTAAAAGTTAATCTTTCTATTCATTCCATGTTCGAAAGCAAAAATTATAAACAAATTATGATGATTGTATATGATTTCTGTAAAAAAAAAAAAGATTTTATATTTTCTGTAATAAAATAATTTTCCAATTATTATAAATTAAAATTATTATTATAATCTTAATCTTGAAATTATCTTATTTCTCAGTTACGGTTAACAGGTTAACATAAACGGGTACACTGCGACTTGCCTAAGAGGATTCCTTCCGATGTACCATCGTTTCTCCCACGGCGGTGTTTTCACTAAAGCAATAAAGTAACGCGCCTAATAATCAGCTGGTCGAAGTTTACTCGGCAAAGTATTTATAATCAAATATTTTCTAGAAAGTAATATAAGTAATGTCCTTTCATCGATGGAAAAATGTATATTCGATCGACAGGTCCCATGTGAAACGAAATATTCATCACCCGCGTATGCGTGATTATAAACAAACTGAATCTTTCATTATGGAATTGACAAGATTGCCGTTTGAGTTGGTCACGCGAACAGGTTTAATAAATATCTCCCCGTTAATTTCCCCTTGAACTTGCGGCCTCGCAAGTCCTGAACGACGATGAAAGGTGAATTAACGTCGCTGTTAAAATAACGTCTTCATACTACTTCGTTGCCAGGTGACGCGCATACGAGGCGCCCAAAGCTCGATCCGCGACTCTACGCGGACGTATAAAGTCGGTCCTCCGCCGACGGGAGCCGTCAGTACGAAACGACACCTCTGACAGAGGAACTCGGTTCTCGGTCTTTCCTCCAACATGCACCTCTCTCTCGCTACGCTCCGAACGCGTTGAAAATGTTCGTTTAACGCGCGCGCAGAACGAAATCCGGCGAGACGAGACACCACGAGTCCCCGAATAAATTCGCGACAGCAACGTCAAAGTGCGGCGCTGTTTTAATATCGTTGACTCCGGCCGGTGAACATCGAGCGGTCGGCCGAGCGATAAATTTGTCGCGAACCCTCTCCGCTCGCTCATGAGATAATTGTGTAATTAAAGTGCGGTTAATTAATCGAAATGGGCCTCCTCGACACGACGGAAGCGCAGCTCGCTCGGCAGATTCGCGAACAGCAGGCGGCGTATCGGCTGTGATCGATGTGCGAGTTGATTTTGGCCGCCGTGTCTGTTCGGTCCACGGTTGCACGTGCAGAACTCGATGCAACAGGTTAGTCAAGTGGTTGCAACGACCGCGATCGTGGGCGTGATCCTCTTTTTTAATTGCATGCCGCAGCATGAAAGGTTTCCCATTTCCAAACTGTAAACTCGAAGTCAACAAAACGAAACGCTCTTAAAGTTACATACATTCTTCAACGCGTCGTTATTTGCGTCAGCGTGACTACACCGCAATTCCATTCGCTAAAATGTAACTCGGGCGTGACGAGAGATTTAACGATGGTGATATTAACGACAATGTTGTCAACGGAACTTTGCATAAATATAAGATATATCTGAACTCCACCGGCAATCTTACAGTATAGATTCTATATGAAAAAGTAAATAAAGAGTTTCAGTAAATAGATGGACAAAAATGCTGTTAAATTAGAATTATAGCACGCGTAATTTCGAGTAAATCTTGATTCAGTAACGATATCACTGAAACTAATACTGTCATTATTGAAATAATACATAAGTAGTTTTAATAATATTTGCCATTGAAGAAGATTTATTCAAATTACACTATATTGGAAATATTTTATTGATTCAACAACACTTTTACAATCCCCCTGGCCATATTATTAGACGCACCTTAATTTTTTACAATTCATTGGGACCAGCATTATAATACGGTTCGTTTGTCGATCGAATTATTAAGGAACCATTATTCTATAAAAAGTTCTTTTTATGGCGTCGTTTCACTTGGCTGTTACTTGAACAAGTATGAACCCGCGCTAGTTGCATTGTTTATAATAACGAGACGTGTTTTGGATGTGTATCAATTGATATTTAATTGAATTTCTGTTTATTTGTGGAACTTCAAATTCCTTGCTTACTAACAAAAAAATGAATTTTGTGTGAAAAATGTTAATATTATTTACAAAAATTATGGGTGAAACAAATGATTTGACATCTCACAAGGTGAAAGCGTTGATTGTCAGTGAAATTTAATCAAGTAAACATAAAATTAGTAGCTTCTTTCTCCCTTCCATTGTAACAACGTTGTGTTAATAATTTCACGCTTACTTAAGTTACCGCTTATCGCGACATATTTTCTCTCATCGTCGTCATCTTCTGTCATCTCGGAAAGTAAGTTTTCGCTCGGACATATGTTCTGCCAAGACCCTTTTGCTTATGATATATGTTCTGCCAAGACCCTTTTACTTATTTTCCAACAGAAGCCGTCCTGTGAGTTCGTCGGTGGAGTTCAGATACACCCTCTGTATAAATAAGCCGACCGGAGCGCGCCGGTCGTTAAGAAGCCGCGCTTGCGACTTTCGCAATGATGAACGCGCGTTGTAAACATTACATACGGCAATCGGTTAAACAAAATCATCGATTGCATCCGATCCGAGGAGCGGGGCGACCGAAGCGAAGTAATAGCGTCTGGTTTCGTTTCTCGACAATTATCACAGTCTATATAATCGCTAAAGCGACGGTTAACGACGGTAAGCCGCGGCGAAAAGGAAGGGAAAAAGATACGTATGATCAATTCGCCGAGCTGTGATTACGCTACCTGTGTCGCGCGCGCGTTTGTCGCTCTCTCTCTCTCTCTCTCTCTCTCTCGTCGGCTCGGAAATTACTCGCTTGTTCGCGGGTTCGGCCTTTTACGAACGCGTATTAATAGTGCCGCCGCGATACTGGCAGTTCGATAATCGTAAAAATAAACGGGTACACTGCGACTTGCCTAAGAGGATTCCTTCCGATGTACCATCGTCTCTCCCTCGGCGGTGTTTTCACTAAAGCAATAAAGTAACGCGCCTAATAAACAGCTGATCGAAAAAACACACACACGCGCGCGCTTGGAAACGCGGCGAATCCTTTCCCGATCCGCCGGTCCCTTTCGCATGTACGCACACGCGCGATGAATGTCGGCGCGTAGTATTTCGTGTGCGTGCCCGAAAGCTCTCTCTCTCTCTCTCTCTCGTAAACGGCGCATGTCGTCGCGAGCCGCGAGAATTAATCTGTCCGATCTTCGTTTTATAATTACATTTTGTGATTTTTTAATAGAATACAAGTTGGGAGCGGAAGAAAAGCTATTAATTTTACGTTTACTCGATTAGAACAATTTTTGGGTGTCAACGCTTTTACTTCTGCAACTTTCTGAAGTGTCGAATCACTCGTTTTACCCATAATTTTTGTAAACAATATCAATATTCTTCACACGAAAATTTACTTTTCCGTCAGCAAGCGAGGAATTTAAAGTTTCAAGTCGCAAATAAAGAAAAATAAAGGTAAATTTCAATTGACGCACACGCTCACCATCTGTTCTCGTTATTATTAACAATGCAACTGGTTCGTACTTGTTCAAGGTCATTGCAAACAGCCGAAGTGAAATGAAAAGTACCTTTGATAAAATAATGGTTCCTTAACGTAATTCGATCGATACGATGAGCCGTATTATAAAGCCGGTGTTCGGAAGTCAATGAATTGCAAAAAAACATTAAGGTGCGTCTAATCGTAAAGACAAATATTGCACGATGCGAAGGGAGAAACTGTAAGGATCAACGTCCGTTCCTGTTCACAAAAGCGGAAGTTTCTCATTGATACTTACACTTATAAAAAAAAAAAAAATAGGACGATTAGGCTCGTGGAACGCTGAATGCTGATAGCGACTCGCCCAGATCATTTACGAATCTTGATTAAAGTTCCTCGCCAGGCAAATTATAAGGCGTGAACACATAGCGGGGAGGTTAACGAAACGCGTTGGTGTGGTCTTTCGCGAAATTGATTGCGACCGCCGCGGGACCGCCGTGAGATGCCGACGTGCGTGCACCGCGCGACGCTGATCGCGCGAAATTTGCCGTTTATGATGATAACCGCTCTCTCGATTTGTAATATATATATATGCCATGCGCGGAAAGTTAATAAAATTATTCCCCGAATAATTATGCGCGCGTGTCTATGATTTGCGGGCGCATTCGACATGCGCGATAATTGTAAGCCTAATGAGCAATTCGTATGCGTTTTGAGCGATCATATATCATGCCGGTTAATTTGCATTCATCACACGCGCGTTTCGTACGTGTAAATAACGTGCGCGTCACGACGCAGCGTTTCACTCTGTCGGATCTCGGCAATCTTTTTTCGACTTTATGAATATGTTTGTCACCGCGAAGTGTCGCGGGACGGCATTAAGTGATCGCCGATGCATTGAGATTATCGCGTTTCGCGTGTCTCTCTCTATCTCTCTCTCTCTCTCTCTCTCTCTCTCTCGGCTCTCTGGGAGTTCCATTTCTGCAAATTCCCCGGCGCGACTTATTCAAGCGGCGTGCTTTAAACGCGCGACTGCGCGGTGAATTTATCGTGCTCGATTATGCAAGCCCGCGCTCGCATAATTAGCGACGCGACTTTGCGCTCTCTTTGTCGGTGCAATTTATCTGGCGACATTCGCGCGTGATCGTGAGACTTACGCACGAGACAGGATTTCCACCCAGGTGAGCGATCGAAATCACTCGCGCCGTGATTTGTGGCGCGATCCGCGCAGCAACTGAAGCTTTCCGTAATCGACCGAGTGATTTTTACGCGAGAGAGCCCGTTTTGCTTTAAGACGGAAGCGGGTTTGCGCGAGGAAAGCTTAAGAGCTTATAGGCACTATGAAGGAAATAAGGAGCAAGGAATTAAATAGGGAATATTAAAAACCTCTCAGAATCTAATCATGATACGATAATTCGACCAATGGTATCAAGGATGTTAGAGCATAAATTTTAAATAAAAATACATAAATAATACATATATTTGCTTGTAGAGCCTGATTCTGAATCTGAAATTCGAAATTTCAAATTTTGATTTTAATTCCTGCCGATTTGGAATTTTGGAGCACAGACATGAACAACGAAATGCAAAGGACGGTGAAATCTATGCGTCGCGTAATTTGCCGATAATTCTAGCTCCGGGCTACTCCACCTTCGACAGGTCGACGTACGGGTAATATAGGTTCTTGTCTAACGCTCACTAGCAACTGGAGCATGAAAGCATTATACGTGCATGTGCGCTCACACGCGCGCCAGCCGATGACTTCTCTAATATCCAATTTCCTTCGCCTCGGATAGCCTCTCTAGCGTCACGCCATAACATTTCATCTGAATGTCAAACATCGTTTAAGTTCAAACGGGTAATAACGATAATTAAGTGGCGGGCTATTAATTAAATAAATGGCAAGCGAAACTTTAATATCAAATTAACATAATGTGTCACTTGTACCTTATTAATCTACGTCGCTTTTACCGGGGCACTCGTGACGCGATATTTGCATTTTCTCGTAGGTGAGTTATCTAAGTAGGTTCTAATCGTGTTCGAACGATCAATAATCGCGCGTACGTATGCTATTTGAAGAATAATTTCAAGAATCATTATAAAATACAGATTATTCTATTTTCAATCAAACTTTAATAACTACGTAGATATTTGACGGTGTTGTTACGGGAATATAGGACGAATTTCTATTTTCGCAAACATAAAAATCTTAACTCGCGCCAAAACTTGTGCGAAATCTGCATATGTGGAGGTATCGATATCTCATATCTTTTATTTCTGATTTATCCTACTTATCTTTTATTTATTACTTATCTCATTTTTCGATATCTTATTGTAAATCGTGACCGCCTCTCTTCTTTACAAATCGTGGCTTCATTGACATTCGCGTCACGAATGATGCACGCTGCGGTCGGGGAGAAAATACAAGGCGAGATTTAAAAATAGCGAAGCGGTTGGGATTTGCGGAGATAGCGGAGGAGGACGTTGACACTCGCGGCTAGACGCGTGTATTTTCTTCGTACATAGATTTATGCCGAAAGAAAGTTTATACAGCGTGTACGCATTTCGGTCTGATTCTAATGAAATCAGGACGGATTTCTCTTTCAGTTTGATTTTGACGTACAGGATGCTGTTCGAAGATAGTGTAGGAAAAGTACGTTTGACTGGAAGGGGCGTGCTGTAGGTAATAAACTCATCACGTTCGATAGACGTTTTGCGCGCGTCGGGCGGCAATATTTATGTAAAGTGTACAATTTGTCTGAGGGGTTCGATCAAACTCTCGCAGAAAATCACGGATCGTCGGGAAACGATGATGGGGACGATGATGTAATTGCATTCCTCGCGATTCCCGTCGTTCGTGTTTGCAATGCTTTATCTCTGGAATGCTACTATAGTAATGTTCTTATCGTTGATGTTCATGAAATATCGTGTGAATAACCTGGATACTGCCCGATAAAATCGTGAATTCCATGATGATTGCGCGTGAAAGTACGAAAGTACTGTAATGAAACTGTCGCGGCGGCTTATTCGTTACGAGAAAAAAAAAAAATATATATATATGTATATATATCCGTCTCTTCAAATATTAAGTTTTAAGAAATGGATAGATTTTTAACGAATAATTGCGATACTATCATTTAAATAAAAGTTTCATTTAATTACGAGAAACTAATTGTTATAATTGTACGCAAAAAACTTTTAATGAAAAAAAAAGAATAATCTTCATTAAAAAGTAAATAGTTAAAAAATTTGGATTTTTTAAATTATTAAAAATATCAAGTACAATATAACGATCTGAATATCCGCACCTGGTAATGGGAGGATTTGACGCTTCATGCTACATGGGAATATTTTTTTATACTTAAACAGGAGTTTGCAGAGGCCAATGAAGAAGCGGCTCATTCACGGTTCAACGTTGACTGCTGATCGAGGAGACATCTAATCGACGGGACAAGTCGACTGCAATTTGTCGCAACGCGCGGCGATTTGACGCGGTGAAAAATGACGTAGGCTCGGACGAAACGCGGGGAGACCGGCGCTCACCGGAAGCTGCAACGAGATGCGTCGACAGTGAGGCCGAGAGAGCGAAAATCCTCCGTCAAGATGCATCCTCTCGTCCTTCCCTTTTTGCTGCTATCTTTAACGGTAAGGCATAAGCAACGACTCGCATATTGACGCGTGATTTACCGCGCCATTAAGACGACTGGCCGACAGACCGACCGACCGACTGGCCGGCTGCAACCTCAATGTCAAACTCGCAGCCATTTATCAAACGTGGGCGAAATTGTTCGTAAATATGTTCCGGCACATGTCACGAGCATCGACCGCTCCGAACCGCTAAGGTCGAACTCGTAATTTTCCCCGAGGCGCGACCAAAAGGTACCAATTTTCGCACCGGTATGCCGACGATGAAATTCGCACGAAATTAGAAGCTCGCCCGAGTCGAAATTTTGATGTTACTCTGACGCTCTTAAGGATAATTTGCACCTTCCTAGACGGAAGATTATATATTAATAAAAACCTACTTTGACGATATTGATACTTTTTAACTTCTCTTGGGTACTTCTCTTTTTCAATTCTACAGATTAAATTGTAACTTCACCTTCGTTATCCTATTTTAACACTCAAATAACGAAAACGGAAATTTAAGATCATCATCAAAGTAGGGGTTATATTATATCATTAGAATTGAAATTGATCTATCTATCTTAGCTCTTACTATGTTGTAGAACTAAAGATTTAACACAGGGCCAAAATTTCGGCTCAGGTAGAGGCGAAACAATTGTTGCCAATTGCTGCGCGACTGATGATGTCTCAACTTTTTGCGCATATTGTTAACGAAAGTGCTTACTGTAACGGAGGTCACCAGTGAGCGCTTGTGATATCGTCGCATTTCTTTAATTCACACGCTAGACGTAACCGACTGTAAATAACAAGTTAAATATACGGCCAACAGGCAGCCGATGAAATGAACCAACGAATATATGCGTCATAAATCGTATTTCTTTACCGTATCCGCGGTTATTCTAACTTTAGTTAAGCTTGGAAATTATCAAGGGAAATCGGCGTCAAACAGAGAGTCAACTTGTTATTGCGTAACAGTTTTTGCCAGTGTCTTTTCAGCCTTCCGAAGAATTATATATTCTCTTTGCATAAGCCCGTATGTTAAACTTTCATCGGACACAGGAACGAATGTAGGCATTTTTTATCTGTGCAAATTTAATGAAAGTCGCTAAATTTCTTCGTTCACCTCGATATTAAAATAAAAACAGCCCTGTGTTACTTTTACACCCTATATGCAAATTTTTATTTTTAAAACCTGATCTAAGTGATCTGAATGTGCTCTTTGTTTCTTGCTTCTTGTTCTCTGTCTCTTCTCTATGGATAAATAGAAGTTCTTACAGAAGAAAGAGATAGAGAACAAGAAATAAGACGCAAAGAGCACATTGTAGGGCAAGCTTAAAAATCATGCACCAGATTTTATTCCGAACAGGATTTCGTTTTGGGGAAGGTGAATTTTGTACTTCCACTATCATCTGTCGATGATCAACTTCGATCAGTTTTGTTGGAAATATTACAATAGTAATTTAATCTCTCTGCAGAGAATTTACGTAGATGAATTTAAGGATTTATTCCGGACGTATTCGTCGAAACACCGATCAAATCGAACGATTCCGATGCTCTTTCGATCAGAGGAAAGGAAAGAGAAATAGAGAGAGATTCCCTCGTCGACTACTCTACGGTCTCTACGAGGTAATAAAAATGTGTTACACGACGACAGAATCTTCGTCCCACTACGATAAGAGTCTCCTTCGAGGGCGTCGCTTTATCTACATACGGCGGCGGAAATTCTCCGAAAATGCGCGTATATATTTTAGACGGAGGTTAATGCACCGACGCGTAGTTGATGTTGCTAGACCGTGGCGGTCAGAATATAAATTTCCGGGAAACTGTCAAGCGCGAATTTGCCCACACGACGCGAATAAAATAGAATATTAATTGGATAGAGATAAGGTAACACCGAAGGAGCGTCGGGATTAATTCGATTTTTAATCATAACAATGCCTCGTAAACACGATATTCACAGGAATTTCTTTCGCTCATTTTTTCCACCACAAATACTCTCCGATCGATTAATAAATCTTATACTCTGTATAAGATTGCGTTTTAATATCGCACATTAAGAAAATTCGTTCGTTATAGTCATCGTCTGTATATTGTCCTTTGCATAAGCGGACTTCCGGTCTTTCTAACATTAGATTCAGATCAAGGCGCGGTGGTACTAATAACGCGCATTAACATTAACCCGTTTGTGTCAATAACAAACATATCCGAGGAGCGAAGAGCGCAATTACGTGAGAAGAAAAAGGCGATCTAAATTATCGATTTGCTTCGCAAGAATGCGTGAGGATATCGTGGGATGTTAATTGGAACAAACGATCAGCCTTGTACAGTAATGTTATAATATCACCTCGATTGCTTCGGCCGGATCGACGCTGTTTTATTAGCATAAATTAAAAGGGGGGAGAGAAAGAGCGAACGAGCTACTGGCGCCTAATTACGGATAATTTAAGGACGCTCGAGGATCGTCCTTCCGCCGCATGAACGAGCGGCGCGCGGACGACGAAATGAATCATACTGCCGGGTAATCCAATACACGGGATTCGAGTTTTCGGTATTCGTAACGGTGGATTACGAGCACCAACCACGCCGAATGAGTTGAGTAGGAAGTCTCTCGCTCGACGCGGCATTCCTGCGGCTAAGTGTTGCCGGCGGTGCGTATTTTTAGAATGGCGGAATAATATAATCGGATCAGAATGTGCAACTTCCTGCCACGTGATTCGAAATCGGATCGCGAATTCTAACCGCCGAGTCCGTCTTCTTTTTTCTTTCTTCTCAAGCGGCGCCGTGAAAATTCCATGATTTCTCCGCAAATATTTCTCTCCAGAGCGCGACACACCAACGACACGTGCGGCGATATGGTACAAACGGGGGGAGGGGGGGGGGGGAAATTTTTTTCTCGCGTACAGAAGTATTTTTCTAAATCGCAAATTTCGTTCTCGCCTTGTCGAGAGTCTCGTATTGAGAAGTAAATGTTAACGGTCGACCTTATTTATTCTTATTTCATTTCGGCGCGTAACTCTGGCGCAAACTTTCGACGAGAGATTACGTTTTTACACGTTTTTACACCGTCACCCTGAATCCTTCGTGACATCGTGGGCGCGAAACGAAAGTCAAAGGTTGAATGCATATGTTACGCGTAGACACGAACATTGCAGCACGCCGAGTGAAGTTCACGGGTTGCTCAAGTTTTTTTTATTTCTTTCCTCAAGACAGCTGTTATAATTTTTACGTCCGGCCAGAAAGAGGGAGAGAGAGATTGCAGCTTTCACTTGCTTGAATGTATTTGACATCTTTATGTGGCGGCCATTCGTCTTCATTATTGTTGGAGCGTGGCGCCAGAAGTTTGCGCGTCCCCAACGTACGCCGCTCTCTCCTCCCTCAAAACCGCGACGACGTCTTTATTTTCCGTATATCCGTTTCGTTTAATGGCTCGTGAGATTTCTCGTCGGATCGAGAGCGGAACCGAATTTACCCGGCCACAGAGAAGACGCGCCACGACGTCGTCGTTCTAGCGCGTTCTCGCCGTGAACGCCGCTTCCTTTTTGTCGACAGATTTTGCACGTTAGACGCTCAAACACGTCTTCCATGGTTTGCAGCTTACGCTAATTTCACAGGAGGGACGAGCAAACGACGAGGTTTAATCGTCCGAAGTTTCTCATCGAGAAAGCGACTCGCGTGGTATCTGCAGAAGTATATCGCGAAAATAGAAGAGAATAAAATCATCTGTTTCGTCTTAAAAAGGGACACGCAGTAGTAACGCACGTTAGATGATAGTGCGGCCTGATTCAACATTTTATACGTTTTAATTTTCTACATCAAGTCTAGTTCTACGTAAAGGTCCATGTTCGGAATTCACTTTTGTTGGTAAATGTGTCTTAAATGCGGCCTTAAATTCTCAGTCAATCAGATGGCTTCTAAGCTTTTCGAGAGACTTCTAACTTTTCGAGAGACTTCTATCGATAAAAGTGAGTCTTCTATTGTGCTCTTTTGATGTTATAGATGACGTGATGTTATAATTACCGCCGTTTTCTCCACCTGGATGGTGGTCGCATATTTACCGCCAATACTGAGAATCTGTACATTCATGTTACATACATTATAAATGTTCAATATGGCGGTGAATATACGAACACAGCCTTAAAGACTGAACGTGGAACTCAACTCCCGTTTGCAGCATTAAAAGAGCGCCTATTGTGTTCTTTCGATGCTACAAATGAGAACTTACTTCCGTATTCTCCGCTTGAAGACTTAATATAGAATTCAAAATTTCGACTCGTGGGGAGGCGGCACATTACAAAAAGAGAGAGAGAGAGAGAGAAGAAAAAGACGGAAAAGTTTTAGCGTCTGACCCAATAGCGGATCTATAAAAAGAGCGGCACGATGTATAAAACGCAGCAGCAGGTTCGTCATTATGTGCCGCATTTAGGGCGATGGGGATTTAACGGCTTGAGTGGCCACGAAAATAACGCACCGAAAATAAGCGGGAGGAGAGGATCCGATGTTGCGTATCGCCGTGAGGCGATCGGCCCGACGCCGTCGATCTTGATTATCGTAAAAAGGGGATACGCGCGCGCGTTCCCCAGGTTCATTCAACTTCCCGACGTCGGCGACATTACGCATAATCCGGCCTGAGCCAGCGCTTAGGGACCTGACGAAGTGCATTCGATCCTCTACTCGCCCCGTGGACACACGCGCCCGGTCAATTGGAGGCAGACTCGTTAGCGTTGGGAACAAAAAAGTCGATCCTTCGTTCGCCGCTCGTTCACGAAGAGAGAAATTATTACACCTCGGAGTGTGTACGAGCAGATAGAGATCGCGCGACGCGACGTTGCGTTTCCCGCCGGCAGAATTTTTATTATTCCTGCACAACAGGACACACTTCATCCCGGGGCCAATTAAGCCGACGAAGAGGACGACGTTCGCGCGGCAATTGAACGTTTCTCGAAAGGACACGAAGATTCCCCTCGTTTCGTTGAAAATTTTACGTTAAAATATGTCGACATTGTTTTCATGCTTTTTTAATCATAAATAAAAATGAGATATCAAGATATTAATACAGAGAGAGAGGGAGAGAGAGAGAGAGAGAGAGAGAGTTGTAACATTTCGCGTTGCGAATTAATGAAACGTTAAATTAACGAGCTAAGCGAGTTACGCGAGACGGTTAATTAGGTAAGAGGAACGATACAACGCGGCATAATTTCCGCAGGAGGGGGACGAAAAAGATGGGTCCTCTCTTAATCATACGTTTCACCGGCGTTGCGCGGAATGTACATACGCGCGCGCGGGCGCGTTATTTTATCGCATTGTAAACACCTGGTGTGGCCGCAACGAGGAGCTGCACATACGCGGGCTCGACAGAATTATGGCTCATTCGTTATTATTTACGACGCACGATGCGAACCAATAAATTTTGATATTAGCTCACTAGGACGTTGAGGCTGTTTCACTTCGGAAACAACACTTTTAACGTGACCCCGGTTCCTCTGAAACGGAAACAATCGCCGCCGGTCGTAAATTTCGATATCCACGGTCAATTTCGAGATTTCAATGCCGATTTCTGACGGATCGTGCGCTTCAATTTGAAAGCACGATTTTGCATAATACGCACGGAAAAGGAGGAATTAGCTCCCGCTAAAAACTAGCTGTCCATGTGACTTAAATTTAATCACCGGATCTGGTTTTCGGCTGATATTATTTTTTTCATGTACAACTATAGTCATGAGAATTAGCTCCTACAGATAAAAACCAGGTCTGCTGATTAAAGAATGCAGCCAATTGTGTATGTGCTATGGTCTGTGGTATGAAATGGTTTTATTAAAGTATTATTAATATCATTTTATTTATAAAGGATTTCTTTTCAGCTCATCGAGATCTTTGATTTGATACCCATTTCAACCATCTATTTCACCGAATGAATTTGGGGCACATTTCGGCCGCACTCTTATAGTTGTATCACATGGACAGCTAATTTTCAGGGATAATCTTGTGAGAGCTAATTTCTTCCTTCCGTGTGATCTAACATTCGCATTTTAACTTATTACCACATTGAAAGTGCATCAGCACTTTCGCTCGGCCTTAATAAACGAAAGAAACAATTGAATTCCATTTCTATTCGTGATCGAATTGAAACGCACTCTCTACGCCACTGCGCGCACATTGTTCGCCGCCGATTTATAAATTCACTCATGCGATATTCATACAATTAACATCGCGCGATCTCGCGCGTATACAAACGGCACGCAAGTCGACATTCATCCCGAGTTAATCCAATTGAAGAGAGGAGTGTCGGTTTGGGCGCGGCTTGATGTGCAGTTCGCCGATTAGACCCGGTTGAAAACGAACGGCCAGCCTCGAACGAGGCTCTCCGTCGCTCTTTCGTCGGACGTCGCTTCGGGATGTCGCAAGGTTGCGATCATCGATTCTCCGGACTTCTTCTTCTACTTCAGAAATTTCTGCCGAAGAGCGAGCGCGGAATCTCCTGATAAGCGCCAGATAGCGGCGAGAGAGATCTCGGGATTAATAAAGAAGATTAATTATGACGCGTGGGAGTAGAAATGATTTATTGCCGCAGATACCGGCAATAGAGGAAGCTCGCGTGTAGATTAGACAGGGCTCACGTAGAGTTGCGACCGGTCGGGGCCACGTGGCACGCGAGACGTGATAATGCTTTGATCGCGATTTGGGTCGCGCATCTTGCATCTCCAGCCACCGTTTGATCGCTTAATTAACCTTGATGATCTGGCCGCGAAGCGAAAACATTCCATCGGCCTGATACGGTAGATCTTGCCTTCGAACTATTTTCGTGTCCGTGTTCATAGGATGCGCGGACGTTCCATAGACTCCCAATAAATCTTACAACTCGTGTAGTCACAAAAAAAGAGGACTGTTGTCTCAATTTCGTTTTAATATCTTTATTGTATTACATCTCTATTTATTCTCTACTTTTATATATTTTTATATATTATTTTATATATACATATTTCTATATTTGTTATCTTTTCATATGTATTTTTATAATATGTATCTTTTATTTCCCTTATTTATTATTCAGTTTTGTTAGACTTATACCCAAGATGTTTTTACGGTAGTTTTTTAATTAAAATTTGAAAAGTTCCTGTCCACTATTATGAATATATATATATATATATATATATATATATATATGTACGTTAGTCGTTGTTCCCGATCGATGTTTACTGTTAAAATATATTTATCTCTAAGAAAATGATTAAAAAAATGTTACACGTATACGTACGCACTAATTTCCAGACGCATGACTCCCGTTCATTTTATTTTTATGCATTGACGAAACAGTGGGTGCAGCCACCGCGCGAACGTAAAATGCCGGTTCGCGTGGTGGGACAGCAGAAGGGGTAATGCGAAATTACAGCTGTCACGGCGTAAATTTAGACGACGATTTTCCACCGTCCCGGCCGGCTTCCACCTCCGCTCTGTCACCTTGTCTAGCCTGAGTCACGACGGAGCCTGTTGATAATAAAAAGTCGCGATTAAATTACGACCGTTAAAAATCGCGAGATACGGCAGATAAGGATCTCGTCGTTGTTCGAAAGAACGAAGAATATTTCGCGATTTCTAGTGAATTCTCATTTCGACATTTTTGCGGCTTTCGCACCGCGTCACGTCCGGTACACGGAAATCGAGATTCTTATCGAGCATACGAGCGCATCGCCTGTGCGTCGGCTGCAAAGCGGGTGTGTCGTTTCCTATTAATTCATTTCATCGCAGATTTGCATCAGCGCGGCCGTGATTCGCGTTCTCGATTTCCCACTTTGACGAAAGTAGAAGCGCGGCCGAGAACCATCATTCGCGTCCGCCCGACGTGAACTCTCCTGATCCTGGGATATTCTGAAATTTAATTCACGTGCGGACACGTGCGCGACTTAGCATGCGAATAATTCCTCTGGTCTGGTCATCTTGTTGACGTATAGATGTGGGGCAACTGTTTCAGTGCGCTGCGAGATTTGGCAGCGGACATCTCATAGACGGGATTTTCACGGAGCCGACTTTGGAGCCGGGCTACAATCTGGTGACGGTGGTCCCGCGTGGCGCCTTGGCATTGAACGTGACCGAACTCCGTCACACGCAGAACTATCTCGGTAAGAAACAGGAATTTGTGGCAAAATGCGTCACGGATGACCGCGGCCTCCCGACTCTGCGTCTCTGTTTCCCGCGCTCAGCATTGCATCGCTCTCACACGCACGTTACAAACCTAACCCTCAGGCCTGGGTTTTCCTTTGCCGATTAACCATGAATTGAGAAACATAATTTTTACGTCAGGTTATATAAGACTGGGTCACAAGTTAGCGAGAAAGTGGAAAACCGGGCCTTAGACTGCCATGTCATCCATATATAAATGACGGTTTTAATAACTGAAATAGGAGTAATTTCATAAACTATTCGTGGAGATATTGAATGAAAACAATAAAATATCATTTGCACATGATCTGTATTAATATAAAAAACAAACATAACATTAGAGGCTATTCAACAATTACGCAACGCTAAATCTGGATATTTTTTCATCCCCTTTATCACCAGTTTCGTCACAAAATATTTGCCTTCTTCCAACATTATATGATACGTGGAATTATTCCCTCCCTCGCTAAAACAGAATTAAAAAAAATAGCTTATAACTATATTATGGGTAATAATTATTAGACTGCACGCTATTATCTTTTTCTAAAATACGAATAATTTCAGGCGTATAATATCAAGTTAATTAATTTATTTTATAATTTCGATTGGAGTAAAAGTTATGTTTAAAAAATTAATATTCAAAAATTAACTTTTTAATTATAAACACGATACCGTATCAGAACTTAAAAATTTTCACCAGATGTAACCAAATGTGTCACGAATGTAAATCAAGTGGATAACCACGCACGTACAAATTATGTCATTCAATGTAACGGTCTTTACTCCCCATCGTCCTGCTATCACAGACCGTCAGATAATAACTTCCCCTCCTTGTGGTGTGACGTAATTGTTGAATTACTTGTTTATTATAAAATAATGAAATTTGCGTGATGTATTTTACATCATGTACGGGAAGCAATTCATGCACAATTGTCGTTTGTCATTATATCAGTTTCTCAAGAGTATATTTACATCAGATAATATATGGAGGGGTACATCATCCTTTCATTGGACACCTGGTTTGTTTTGTATTCTGACTGTATATATGGCGCGTTGCGATCTTAGGCCTCGTGGGCTCGAAGCTAGCTGGTGAGTCTAAGTGTTAAATAAGATTTCTCCTTCACGGCACATCATGACTGGCGTTCGCGTCATCGATATCTCAACACCTCCAACAATTTTTTTTTTTAACCGCGACGTTGCAAAACACACAAACATGACGTTCGTGTAAAAGAGCGAAACAAGAAGGAAGAGTATGTTGACGGTAATTGCTTTATTACAGGATATAAATTGATGCCGGCGCATGCTGCAACTTTGTGTGTTTTGCAATGTAAATTGAACGTTGCATCGTGACTTTCCCCCCCCCCCCCCTCCCCCGCTGGTGTACAGATATTATCAATGCAAACATTAATCGAGCGATTGGCGCCAGGCAGAATAATTTAGCCGCGACATATGATCGGGGATTTCGTGGAAAACGCGGGCAACCGGTTGCCGAGGAATGCATTTCCACCTACCGCGATTTCTCACCGTTTTACGCACTGTTTGCGGTTGCGCGGCGTGGTCGTTAAATAGTGACCGCGCCCGGCGATTAAGATCATCGCCGGCCCGCCGATGATTACATGCAAAAATTAATTTGCGACAGGCATTTCTCTTACGAAAGCGAAAATCACCGGACGCTCACTCGAGGTTGATTGAAAATCTCGCTATACCGCTCGGCTCCGGGCGAATTATCGAGTCGCTGCTTAGGTTTATCATCGCAAAAACCGACAATGCGCAAAAAGTCCGCGGGGGATTATCGAGAATGAGTGCGAACTTTCCGACTATGTCGGAGAGGTTAATCGTTCTGTTAATTGCCGGCGCACCTAACCGCACCTCGAGCGCCTAAGTGGTATTCGAGAAAAAATCCCGCAGGAGGATAATAACTGCCTATTGTGAAACGAATAGACGTCGTTACGATTCGCGAATTCACGAAAACCAATTGATTCGTTACTTCACATCTCACACACACTCTTTCTTCGGGCGTGCCCGAAGCGATGAGATATCAACCAGCAAGTCTCTTGTTTCTTCATAAATTCGACAGTTATGTAAAATTGTGAATTTGATTAGAAATCGGGCCACGATTTCGTTACCACATTGTCGCTTTCAACATCGGCTGCATCTCATTCATTCGCCCGATCAGAACGACATAATGACTGCCTTTCACAGGATGCAAACAACAGATCATAATCAACGCGTCTCCCATGCAACGATCGCGCCGCCGATAAGCGGATGTATCGCCAACGGCGCGATTAGACGCGATCGTTAACAATACTGTCGGAACCTTCATTACCGCCGACACGATCGCGCCTTCCATTATCCACACCTAATCAGCTTAGAGATACATGATGCGTAAGGAATGAACGGGAAATTATTCCGTGCGAAATTACATATGTTATCCTTGCAAATACGGAAGAAAATGAAATGCAGACGTGGGAAAATTATTAAACTTGAAATAAAATTAATAAAAAATTACATTTTCTATTTAAAGTAGAATCAGATAAAATTTACTTAATCTAAGTAAACATTTTCTGAGGGATATTGGAGTAATTATTTACTTGAATTTTTTTCCTGTATACGCATAATTAATTTTCGATCAATTAAAATTCTCTAGAAATGTTGGCATGTGTGAAAATAAACGTCCTCTTATCTCTCTCCCGCGAGATATAAAGTGAAATATCTGAAATAACACGAAGAAATGCGACATTTTTATATTTCCAACGTCGGGAATTGAGTTTGACGGAATGTCTCTTGGCCATCACTGAGATGAAGTTATCACGATGATTGTGAAGTGTGTCCGGTAAGGCGACGTAATCTAATCAGCCGCGGCGTCGTAAGTGGGACGGGGCCCGCTGTCCCGCTAAATTAGATGCACCGGCCACGTGGATTACATAAATCGCGCGCGACCGTAAACTCGCTCATAAACGGCCGCCATTGTGCGAGTAAGCCTCGCTTAAACGACGGTGATTGCCAGCTTTGGCGTGATCCGTGTCAATCGACATGTCGAAGACCATCGCTGCTCTATGAATAGCAGCATTAGTAGTTCATTTGCGAGTAAACGCGGTCATCGCGATGTTTTCGTATTCAACTCTGTTCAGACACGTTCTTCGCGACGTTCTTAAGATTCACAAAGTAGCTGCGTCTACATTTTGTTAGCGGGGGTTACCGCGCTAAAAATACATCCTAACGTAATGCGCGAACGTTGCTTACTTTGCCGGTTTCCCTGGAAGAAAATCGCTAATACATTTCATGACCCGTTAAGTAAATTAAAGACGCATCTCCGGAATTAACACGGTTTTAATCCTGATGTAGAAACGCGATGCGTTGAAATGAACGAATTTGTAGCTATCAGACTGCAAGATGGCAGTTACTTGTTGAACGGGAATTACAATATCAACTGGTCCGGCGAATACAAGGCAGCTGGAACAACGTTCGCCTATCTTCGTCAAAGTCCTCATAATTTAGAGAGCTTTTCCGCCGTGGGTCCGTTGCAAGAACCGATAGACGTTATGGTGAGTAATGCAATAGAATATTCATAAATCACGCGAAGTGACTTTTATGCCATCGTTCGGCGTTTACACGAAGGCACTTTAACTATTTACGCGTATGTGTGCGCTGTATACATTACATATGTATGCGTGACAAATATATAATTTAATTAACAGCGAATACACATATTTAAACGTCCCACGTGTACGGAGAGAACAAGATTTGCCAGAACAGCAAATTGTTTGTTAATATAGTGAGAGCAAAAAAATTTGTTACATGGAAAATATAATTCCGCTGTCGTAGCAAAAAGGTCGGTTGCGACAGCAAGAAAATTTAACTGGCGCAACCAAATTACTTTGCTGTCCATATATCCAAGAGATATAGCAGTTAATATTCTTAACAAATTTTCCTGTCGTCCTAATTTGTTGCGCTGTCACTATATTAATAAACCATTTACCTAGCAAATTTGTTCTAGCAAATTTGTTTTCTCCGTGTATACGATTTTAATCGTGTTATATAGTCACGTGATATTTCACGTCTCCGCCGATCACATGGTGGATATTGTTGTAACATGATCGTAACAATGGCGACTTGCGAATAGTGATATGGAATATTGTTGTGCGCGGACAATCGTGGGCGTTAATGGGTTCAACCGAGTTCCACTTAACCCTTTCACCGCTGATTTTCCATGACACATCGAGATACATTGCGTAGGCAGTACATCTAGAGTGAAGTTGAACTGCATATATTCCTACTTCCGGATGACTAACGCTTAAAATTCTCTTTCTATTATTATCTCATTATATCTTATAGGTATTGTACCAGGAGCCGAACCCCGGGATTGTTTACCGATACGTGATCCCCGGAAACGCAAATTTACAGCGAAACAGTCATCTCGCGCATAACGCAGGTATTATTCGCAGGATGACGATATGAATGACTTCGCGATTTCAAGTGATTCTCGAAAATTTCCAACAACGAACGTTTCTTCTTTCTTTATTATTTCATTTCGGTGTCTATCATTAAGCTCATTTTAAATAAAGCGAGTAAAATTTTTATGTACATGCATAAAATTGAATTACTTCTTTTCTCTTTAAATATAACAGCTAATAACTAAAATATGGCATTATTTAATATTTCTACAATGTGTAACTGCAGATTTATGAAGAGTTGTTTATTTGCAGTCCCCAATAAAGACGTTGAATCAGGCTTGCAAAATAGAAGGTAAAGATAATTCTCAATCAATAAAGATATGTTAGTTATTTGAGATAATTGGAACACTTCATAAAAGCATAGTATCTTTTATCGTAACTATAAGCATGTATTAATTCGATATCCAACTGAAAGTACACTGTACTTTGTTCGAGCGATTACAAGCGGGTATTCGATTTTAGGATTGAAAATGGACCCGCGATAAATGCAACGACGGCGCCGTACCTGCCACGGCGTTATAGGAAAAGAAAATTCACCTGGAGGGCGATCGGCTATAGCGAATGCAACAAGTCGTGCGGCGGAGGTAAACGAGAACTTAGCCGATGCTTAGTTTACGGAATTTTGTAGCTATTTAAATGCGAGTCAGCGAGCCTCAAAAGGGCTTCTGTGTATTACGTAAGGTGTTCAGGTGCTCAGACACGCGTGTATCAAAGAGCACACGCAGCAGCAGGTACCGGAGAAGAGGTGCCACGCGCTGGAGAAGCCGCGGGAGATTCGCCTTAGATGCAATATAAGGCCGTGTCCGCCCAGGTAATTCGATTGTAATAAGTATGTAGCATAAGTAGTCTTATCGGATAAATAATTTTTTCGGATTCTTTCGAGTTCGTAATATACAATCCCAGTAAGCGAGAAACGTTAAATCAATCCTTTGAAACATTGATTTTATATGGATTTTATAAACATTTTGATATATTTTACAAATGTTTTTAAACTGTTACTTGGTAATATTATGTTCTTAAATATTAAAATCGCAGTGTAGAAACATTATTTCTAACCTTTTCGGTCAAATATCGTTAACAGTGACGTTGTGTAAAACATTAAGAATTACATATTTTAAAACGTTACATGCTGTAATAACGTTGCGTTAATGATTTCTTGCTTACTGGGAATACATGGGAACGAATGCCTTCGACATATGACAGCAATATTTTTAAAGCGCGCTCTTAATCTTGAAACGTATACAAGTTTTTTACAATATTCTATTTCTATAAGTATCATTTCTATAATTCATTCCTTATTAACTCTCACGGACTTCTTATTATAAACATTGAGAATATTCTAACATATTCTAATTTTAACACAAATAATTGATTGAAGTTTCAACAAATGAAATTGCTCAAAATAAAAATAAAGATCACATTTGTGTGATCACCGCATTCGAGATGTATAGTTAAAGTTCAGCTTATCTGAATATATAGCTGTATCATTATGTTGCTAAATTCTAAGCATGATGAAGCGTCTCGAAACTATCGTTTCGCTACAACAGCAAAATTATCTTTCTCCGTGGATAATAAGAAACTACCGGTGGTAGTAGAAACGGTGCTTACTGGTCAGACCGTTCGCCGTGCGGAAACAAAGCGTGATTCTCACAGACCTGACACCGGTGTGTCATCGTAGAACGATGATTAACCACCCGAAACTGCGACACCCTTTGCCCTCCCCCTCCCCCGTAAAAATGACCGTGTGCGGACTCAAAGGTGGCGCGAAGGGCCGTGGAGCGAGTGCTCCGCTTCCTGCGGCACAGGAGTCCGCACGCGGGAATTCGAGTGCGTACAAGAGGTGAAACCGTCGCTGACGACGCGGCTCGCCGACGACGCCTGCACGGAACCGAAGGATCTGCCGACGAGCGAAGTGTGCGAGATGCCGGCGTGCCGCGAGGAGACGTCATCGCCGCCGGCACCGCGATGGACAGTGGGCGTCTGGTCGCAGGTGATTTTACGCAGCCGTATATCTCGGCGGAACGAATCGTATCGTTTACGCCGTTACGTAAGCGGCAAAGTAGCCGACGTCTGTTGCATGAGTCTCGGTGTCTGATAAATCGCGATGCAGAACGATAATTTAGCCCTCGAGGCGATATTTTTCGGAAAGCCGAGGAGGTTTTGCTCGATCTCCTATGGGGATTTGCTATGAACATAACCATCTCAATTATGCATGCGTGAAAAACGAGAGACGTTATCTGCGATATTTCGTTGCCGATCCCGTTTCCTAAAAGTGCTCCACGTCCTGCGGCGTGGGAAAGAGGTCGAGGGTCGTAACTTGCGTCACTCTAGGCGCGCCCTGCGAGCTCTCGAAGAAGCCTGAAGCATACGAAACCTGCGACTTAGGACCGTGCCTGGCGAAATCGACGCCGCTGAACATTGTCTCCGCGAAGCTGCAGAGCCCGCAGTGGTTGTTCACCGAATGGTCTGACAAGGTAGGCGCGATGCTACTCCTTGTTTTGTACCCTTTCACGGGTACTATCATCTATCTTGACTGAAGCGCATATATATTAGGTTGGGGAAAAAGAAATCCATTATTTTTTCGGTAGGTGGCTGTAGTGATCGATATCTCGTAAAGTATCGATCAAACAATTTCAGATTTATGCTCGTTGGAAAGGTGACATTTCGCACTAAAAAAATTCTTTTGTTGTTTTTTGTTTGGTCCATTCAGTTGTGAGTTACAGGGTGTTAAAAATGGAAGTCAACAAAGAGAAAATTCGGTACATTTTATAGTTTTTCTTTGATAAAGGCGAAAATGCAAGCCAGGCGGCTGTAATTGTGATTGGTGTTTATGGTGCCGATACTGTAACAGCCAATTACGTGCAATTTTGATTTCGTCGATTCCGTTCAGGTATTTTTGATGTTAAAGATGCACAGGTAGGCCCGTCGTCGAAAATGTCGATAAAATCACAGAAATAATCGACCGGCATGTTAGCAGTCGTAGCATCGCCCAGGAGAGCTAAAGATCGATCATAAAACAGTTTTAAACCATTTGCACAAAGCTAGATTCAAAAAGAAGCTCGATGCTTGGGTGCCACACCAATTAACACAAAGAAACATGATGGATCGAATTTCCATCTGCGAAGCCTTGGCCAAACGGAATGAAATCGACCCATTTCTTAAACGGAAAAGTTTTTTAATTTTCGCTCGAAGATCGCTCGAAACTTCAACCGCATGAATTAATCGTTTCAGTGTTCAGCGGAATGTGGGGTTGGAGTTCAGACCAGAAGAGTTCTATGCGAGACAAACTCCGATCAGGAGCATTGCGATGAATCGAGTCGACCTGAGACTTCCAGAGACTGTTCGAGTAACAGGACGTGCAGCGGTCAATGGTTCACGGGACCTTGGGCGGAGGTCCGTTTTAAATTTAATCGTCTAATACGAACTCTTGAAAAGAAGAGTCATATTATATATAAAATTTACAATTTCTATTTGAAATCTCCATGTTACAAATTAAGGCTTTAACGATCTTTGATAAAACACGGTGAAAACTTTTATGTTAAATTTAACACATTTCACGTGTCTCTAATGGTCCACACAAATTTTTGTCTTAATTTAACACAAAATGAATATGTTGAAAAGTAACGCAAATATTATGTCAAACATTAACATGAAATTAATATTCGTAATATGTTAATTGACTGAAATATTAAATGTGATATTTTAACATTTACATTGATTTACATTGAATATCGATTCAACACAAAATCTTGAGATAACATGCCGAGATAATACGAGAAATAACATAAACATAATATGTTAAATTAACACGCAGATATGTTAAGAATTTAACAGAATAATCTTAACAAGGACCGATTTCAACGCTAAATATAAAATCTTTTTTTACTAGGAAAAATGTGTGTGCGAGAAATTTTACATTTCTCTTATATTCTTTAGTGTTCCTCGAGCTGTGATTTGGGCGAGCAAGTCAGAGATGTGGTATGCGTGACGACTCTTCGAGGCTCTCTCCGTGTCGTCCTAGATATGAACTGTCCTGCGAACAAACCGGAAATCAGGAAACCGTGCAGAGAGCGTCCTTGCGTGTCCACTTGGTTCGTGTCGGATTGGACGTCGGTAAGTATCGTTTATCTACTATCGTCCCACCGCTTCGAGAGAAAATTTACAGGCCAGCGTGGAGAACATTTAACGAAGCAGACCCGCTTGTGGCGATCTGTCCGCAGTGTTCGCGATCCTGCGGCAAAGGTGTCCAAAAACGCGAGGTCCGATGTTTGAATCCGGACGGTCAATTGCCGGAATCTCATCAGGTTCACTGCCGGGAGGAGGATCATCCGCCATCTAGGAGAATATGCAACGATTATCCCTGCAAAGACGACTTACGCGCGCCCGAAAGCTCTCACAGGGTCTTGCAAATCCAGGACGAGCCTGAAATAACGAATGGTAAGAAGCGGGATTCGATGAAATCACGGGGGTAGGACACGAATATGGTTTAACAAACAGATATTATATTGCTTGTATCACGTGAACATTCTGCACAGTGTGTGACATTCTTCGCGAGGTGATTCTCGATACAACAAGATAAAAAGTGGCCCGTTCTCTCGCCGTGTCATTACTACACAATACGTTTCAGGTGTCGAGGACAAACCGCTCTGCAAGGACAAGATACCCAACTGCCACTTAGTCACGCAGGCTCGGCTCTGCTCTTATCAATTTTACCAGGAGTCTTGCTGTCTGTCCTGCTCCCGCAAGCACGACCTGGAGTAGAAAAGCAGCGACGATCGTGCGCACTATGACCTTGATGCAAGAACCCGCCTTAGCACTTCCGATTAATAATATCGCCGATTAAACCTCCGATTTTCGCCGTTTACCGTTAATTTCTCATAATTTAATACACAGCGGATCTTTCTTTCCTCTTCGTACGCATTCTGCGTGTGTAGAAACGTAGATATACGCATGCTGCAATGTAATTCCATACGAGGCTTCCGGACCTCGTGCGATATTTTCGATAGAGAAAATTTAACGGAGAGACTGATCGCGCGCGCGCGCGATCCGGCGTCCGAGCTCCTCTCACATAACCGTATATTGAGCATTAATAAACGTTACGCTTTTTCATCTCCCCGTTTCTGTTTGCCTCCGTGTCTCCTTCGTCACACCTTGCGCCGATTTCGAGAGGGGAGGACTTCCTTACGCGAAAACGTAACACGTGTTATTATTCAACAACCATTCGAACCAAGAATTCGTACTATTTACAACGTTTCTAAATTAAAAAGGTCTACTTTCTTACTGCATCGCCTGCAAGTAAAATAAATTATATATATATATATATATAAAAGATAATCGTATATATATATATATATATACAGTCTCTTGTCGTATTGGTGACAAGAGCGTTCAACGCGTTCTTAAACTAAATGAGAAGTCGCACTTGGGGACGAGACGGGATCCTCAGACTAATATCTGAGTTTAACGAGTAGGATCCTAATAAATTTTTGATTTGATTTGCTCGCAAATCATGAACTGCCTTCTTCGCTTCCCTCGTGTGCGTTGCTCGTACTATTGTCGTGATTTTTGTACGCCGAGAAGAACGCCAAGGCCTTCATCAGCTGGTAGCTCTTGCTGATGGGTATATTACTGTCGTACAAGCTCTTCGAGGCTTTGCAGTCCACGTAGAACCACCAGTTACACTTTAGGATCGTTTGATCGAACAATGTCGATTCGGGACAGAGGAAGCTCTTCATGATCAGGCCGTCGTCCGTCAGTGCACAAATGTGGAATACCTGGCAACACACGAGAAGTAATAATAATTATCTCGAGTTTCAAATTATCTTGCTTTATTTTATCTTACACTTTTGAAATTACTTTCGAAATAATGAGATTTTTACATCGAGGTTTTTTGTATCGAGAGTACTCCATAAGCATGTAATATTCCTAGAATATTATTAAGTGTTAAAATAATATTTTTGTAATATTCTAAGAATGTTATATAATATTTTTTAATATTATAAGAATATTCTATTGATATTATATGTCCACTTCTTGGCATATTACAAAAATGTTCTTAGAATATTAAAAGATTTTTTTAAATATAAAACGTATTTTTACACAAAATTATTTCGACTTTATTTATATAATAAAATGATTGGTATTGCAATATATTTGAAATAAAAAACTACAATTATACATATATATATATATATATAGAGTTGAATATTTTTTTAAAAATATATAATATTACAATAACATTAAATCATTTTATTTTTTATTAGGGGTGAACATATAACTATCTATTTATTAATATTCCAGAAATATTAAATATGAAATAATATTACGCGCTTATAAGGAATTTTCTAAATTTATACAATCCACGCGTTAAAATATTTTACGACATATCTAAATGTACATATATTGGAATTCGCTGTAAAGTTGGTTGAATGAATTTTTCATGAATTATTCATAAAATGTCTAATAGGCTCACCATACATCCAAGATCCTCGTCGGAATAAAGACCTGGGAAGTGCTTTTGATCGCCGCAGTAGAAGCTCGTGTCGGGCAGATCGACGCGACTCGCGAAATTGTCGTCGAAGTTTTTGTCGTATCCCACGGGATAGTACTCTCGCGGTGCGTTCATCACTTTCGTAGCTCCGGTGTTGTACTTGCTGAAAACAGAACGAAACGTTTACTTCCGTTTACTCAATTTTACTCTCCTGCGAAGTGAATTTTTATATAATTTAGTGAGCCATTCGCTTAAAAATCAAGTTAATCGGGCGTGCGAAGATCGGAAATGTGGACGAGAGATTTACTTTTTAAGAGGCGCCATTGTAGTCGTCGTGGTGGTCGTGGTCGTCGATCCTTGCTGCTTCTTAAGGATTTGCTGTTGTCTCAGAAGAATCGCCGCCTCCAACGCCTCCAGAGTAATGTTGCTCGCGTCTGCGAGAGCTTTCAGAGAGGTTTCCATACCGTGGATGGGAGCCAAGGAAGGCACGTTGATGGGCAACGATTGTCGTTTCTCGTTCTGCTGAAGAACGAACGATTGACCGTTCTCGCCTGCAGGCTGCTGCAGCGAGAGCAGAGTCATCTCGTTCACCGAAGCGGCCATTTCGTCGCTCGGCAAAGGTAGCTGTATGGAAAAAGAAAAATAATAACAGATAATTGTCAAACGTTAGAGATCTTAATTATATCACGGCGCAGACGACAGACATTATCGCAATTTACTTTTTAATAATATCTTTTTCGCTCATTCAATTTTCAAGTTTTCGAGACATTGTATATGTACATTGTACAAACAGAGAGAGAGAGAGAGAGAGAGAGAGAGAGAGAGAGAGAGAGAGAATTGATTAAGAAGATAGATTATTAATGTATTAAATATAACGAAGTGTAATTAAAAATAGATTAAATATAAATGTGTAATTTGACAGTGAAATAATTTGTGTAATCGTATTGGTGCAATAATTACACTCGATAATGATAGGAATAACCATAATAATTTCGCGAGAGTGGGACTGAATTAAATAAAGTGTGTAATCACCTGGCTGTAATCATCTTTCGATACCTCGTTGTCAGAGTCTTGTAATAAAGCGCCGCTATTACTGATTCTGTTCGTGATCTTCGCCGACGACTGCGGCATTGCGATGAAAGGTGGCAAGGCCATATTAGTCGCCGTCTTCGACGACGAGAGGGCATCGACCTCGACACCTGACGGGATCGCGGCTACAAGATTGGGTAGTTTCGGCATCGTCCCGGCAACTGTTATCACTTGGGGTTGCTGGAAAGTATGCACACAAACTGAGTTTTAGAAACATGAAAGATCAAAGAATTCCAGAAATCATTACTGATCGTTATTTTCTCTTAATATTCTAAGAACATTTTTATAATATACCAGGAATATTATGTGAAGTGTAACATCAATGGGACATTTCTATGATATTAACAAATATTACATAACATTCTTAGAATATTACGCTCTTATAAGATAATATCAAGACAATGTATCAAGGTAAACGAAATTAAAAGGAAAAAAATTACCACTTGATCCTTTTTGTTTTGCATCACTATGATCGGCTTCTGCTGTTGCTGCAGCTTCTGCATCTGCTGCTGCCTCATCGCTTCCTGTTGCTGGAGCCGTTGCTGCTTCAGCATTTGCAACGCCAATGCCTCCTGCTGCATCCTCTGTTGCTGCTTCAGCTTGACCTCCTGGTGCACCCGTTGTTGTTGTTGGCGCAGGATTTCTTGCTGCACCAATGGCATCACTTGTGCGACCTGCTTGGCAAAGGTCGTCGCGTTCTGCTGCACCACCAGCTTCTGACGTTCAGGTTGCTGAGCCATCGGACGAGCCGCGCCGACCGGCAGGGGCTTGAAAGGCGGCACTATCGGACGGTTATTCAGCGACGACGTTGTACGCGCGTCGTCGCGATTGCCCGCCTGTGGAAACGACGGATCGACATTTGAGGAGAAAATTCCCTCCGCTTTCTTCCACGCTCACGAATGGCTGAATTTAGAAATTATCTTTGAATTATCGCAGCATTTAGAAATCGTCTCCTCGCTCTGCGTACAAACGTCTAGCCGGTTAAGCGTAACACACAGACACACGTCGTGTAAATACAACGCAACGTGAACGCAATCGGAGCAACATTCATGCACTAATTACGACAAGGCCGATATCTATCGGCAGTCAATCTATATTTTCTTGCAACCGTGAAATACCGATCCATCTTGTTCGAGCCTCGATCTAGATATTCCTCCCGAGATGACGCGAACAATACGCCCACATTTTACAGACGTCTTCGCAATCTCTTTCCCGTTCCCGGAGAAACGTAAAAAGTAAAAGTGAGCACGCTGCAAACACGCTGTATTCTTGTCGCGATCGAACGCGATCACGGGATTGATCCCAGGCATCTCTCCTTGACCGTATGAAAGTTGTGACGGGCGCAGAAGCTGCTAACATTTATTGTGTATTCCTACTACGTTTTATACATATTTTTATATACACTTTTTATTTTAGAAATCTTATTTTTTAATTTCGTATATATATATATATATATATTCACCGACGAGTGACATCTTGAAATATTGGTTACAAGATATTGGACTACTGTTTGATATTTCTCCGATGAAGCCGGCACGAAGTGAAAAGTTAACGACAATTTTATGGATTGTGAGTCTATCATTAGCATCCTCCGTTATCGTCACACATATTCGCGAGATTGCGACGAGGAGACAGAAAGCTGCAATTAGATTGCACATCGGAGAATGGCCATTCAATGTGGTCTTTCTAGAAAGGATATATCGACGTTATAAAGAATGAACGCGAACGCTTTCACAGTTTCGCGCTGGTCCCTTTCTGCCTTGGACTTTCCATGAACTGTTTTGAGCGCGGTTATCATTTACACGACGATACGTATTACCGTATACAGGCCGTTCAGTCCGAAAGTATCGAGCGTGAATGTCTTGAGACCAAGTATCGGCTCAAAGAGCCCCGACAGGAAAGCAGAAATAACAGGAAACGTCTCGCGCGCTGAACGAAAATAAATCTGCCGCTTCAATCGTTCGATTTATTTTCATCGATTTTTTGCGCATCCTGCCTGCAATTTCTACGATATTTATTTTACAATTATAATCAATCAAGCGTGGTTGTTATACATGACGCGTAAAAATCGTACGCTTTGCACAAATTTTTATTCGGGCGAATAATCGGGCGAGCGCATAAATGGCGATCGATACGAGTGAAGATTTGCCGGGCCGTTTAGTCGATTTCTACTTACCGTATTCGCGGGATTAAACGCGAGCCCGTTAGCTCTGTTCGCTTGCACGCTTCTTCTTTTCGCGCTTTCCAAGTTGGAGATCGACTGGCTGAAGCCCAGCTCGTCACCAACGGAGAATCCTGTGGAAATCAGGAAACTTTTAAATCATATGGTCTTAATTGGTTGTATCACCTTTACGGGGACGAGTTGTTGTGAATACAACGCGGGAGAAACAAGTTGCGAATTCTATTAAGTTTCTATTAATCTACAAAGAGAAGAAGGCAGCTTAAACGGAGAAGCTTTCTAGAAATTTGTCGGGAGACGTGCGGTACGAAGTATAAATGCGAACAGGGCCAGTTAGTCCACAGAAATTGCAAGCTTTAGAATCATTCCTGTTGTACCGACTTTCTTCTCTGCACTTCCACTCTATCTCGTTTTATTTTTGTCTTTATGTTTCACGTTTTTTTTACAGTTTTTCTAACATCTATATACATACACACGCATTTCTTCTTATATCTTCTATCTTGATTTTTTTTGTATAAAATCTACTCTCTTTGCACTTGTACGAAATTTGTCTCTCAATCAACTCTGTTGGCTTGCTTTTATGAGTCAATAGAATTTCCTGACAGATACACACATAATAGTGTATAAACATGATTGTTTCCTTGAAAAGAAGGCGATAAAACAGCAACTACACGTCGAACCGCCTTAAAGTCAACAGGTATTGTGCAAAAGACGTTGCGTCACTCGAACGCCCCTTTATGTGTTTTTACAACACCAATATCTTTGCTCTTTCGTTGCACACGTGAAATGTAAATTGTGTCCTCGTTGAAGGGGTTTTATGATGTGATGCTGGATGAACGTCCGATGAACGACAGAGCCAGGTGAAGGTGATAAATAAATCATTAACGTCTCGTCACTGCACACTTAAACGCGTGAAACAAAAAAATTAACGTGACTGAAATCAAAGAGAGCTACGTTACAAGCAAAGCACAGGTCAAACGAACACGTATCGTCATCATCGTATCCTCTTGTCGAGGCAATGTATATGCTCATGTGCTAATAATTGTTTAGATTACGTAATTCCGACTTTTTTATTAATTTAACAATGCACAACTAATTGAGAAAAATATGCAATATTAAAGAAATGTAAGAATATACACAGAGAAAAATATTATTCCACCGCTAAGAAAAGCGATTTCTCAGGTTACTTCCCTTCTTTTAAATAATAGTTGTCTTCAACAAACATTATTTTCTTTTTTTTTATAATAATCTTAAAATATACTCATCACAAATTTAAGGAAATCTCACTATCACATATTCGAAAAAAAGAATTGATTTCCTTTTCCAGAATATTATAAATTTTATCGAAAAAAAAGTTAGATTCAATTAATTTTAATAAGCAAACCAAAATTTGTTTTAATTTAATATTCTCACGGTCAAGAAGCTAAATTTAGTTGCACTCAAGATATATTTAAAATAAATTTGATGCTTATGATGAACTTATGATACATTTGCGGATATATAAACTATATAAGATATTTGAAACAAAAGTAATACACTATATTACATACTATATATATACATAATATGTACGTATATATACAATAATAATTTACATAAACGCGGTATATATTTTTCTGTGTATGAAAATTAACAGACAAGGATATTTCCGTTCTCCCTTAAAGCAGTGAATTTTGATCGTTTGTCGAGAGAAACGCAGCAGAACAGCATCGCGTGTCTTCTCCTCTTTCTCTCTCTTTCTTTCTTTAGTATTTCTTTCTAGATTATTCAAATCGTCTTATTTCTCAATTTTCACCGAACATACGCGCTCACGCATTCTCGAGGACGCATCGGTGGAAGCGTGAAATATTACTCGCGCAAATGTTAAAAGTTGCGCATAAAGTTATGTACAAAGCGGGTTACGAATAATTTAGAAATCGCTACTGGCACTGACTATATACAGAGCGTTCTGTAATTCTGTGAAAAGTGCGTGTGCGTGTGTGTGTGTGTGTGTGTGTACATATTCGAGCAAAGCCCATATGATATAATATATAAGAACGAGAGAGCATCGGTTCAATTAACTCATTACTAAATGATAGTAATCTTGATCTCTTCTCGAGACAAAACAGACCTCTTGGGAAATCTTCATCGCGAATAAACAAGTTGTACAAGAGAAATGGGTCAGTACGTTACTAAGCACACAATGTAATTTTCTTATAGCAAATCACTCGGACAATTCGTCCAATGTGTTCAATCCCACAGACAATGTGTACAAACAATCAGGTATAATTAATATTTCTAGAGAAGAACGTATTAATGGAGAGCACGTGTGAAGGTGAAAACATTTCGACCAAGAGAGAGAGTCATTAATTTACTATTAATTACGAGAATTATGTGCTGAATTATAAAGGAAGCCGTGTGTATTAATAAATTTAATTAAATCAACTCAACTATTTAGTACCTCAAAGACTGCGGCCAATTGTGTACGCGCTATGATCCCCAAATCCATTCGGCTCACCGAGATCTTTCATTTGACACCCATTTCAACCATCTATTTCACTGAATGGATTCGGGGAACATTTTGGCCGCACTCTTTTACACTTCTTCATTTTCTACACGGTTTCAATTAAAACGTCGTGACTTGTCTTTGATACATCACAGTTTCCTAAATACGATTTTAACCAGAGACATACATTTACGTGATAACTTGAACCAGTCTAAAAAGGCGAGCGATTTATCCACCACGATCGGTCCACGCGCGAAATCGCTGTAAATCCTCGTTGTAACTCCTCGGTCGCCAGTTCGCTCCTGGATCTTCGATGTGAAATCGGTCGACCTGTGAACGCGCGATCGCGCCCGTAATTCAACTCACCCAGGCCGACGTAGCCCTTTACACCACCGAGGTTTCGCACTCGGAAGAGGCCCGACTTTTTGAAAGCGCAGTTTAGCATAAATCCGAAATCCGACTGAAACACGCATGTGCCTAGCGCCTCCCGCCACGTGCATCCTGCAAGCAGAACCGGAAGAAACAGAGCCATGGATCGTTCCTTTGATCCACTGAATCCACCGAAATGGACAACGTGATCCGCGATTTGGATGATGATGCTCGTGTCATGCGTACGTCGAGAGGTTGCGACACCTTGTGAGCCCGATCAGACATCTATCGGACTCGTCTCAAGCTCTGTGTGTGTGTGTGTGTGTGTGGTGTGTGTGTGTGTGTTACATTAATGATGACTGTCAAGGAAGCTCCGATTTTTCTCACATGCATTTTCAGCTGAGACGGCGTACGGCCTTTGACTCGCCGCTTTTTTTTTTCGCCAGTTGGCCGTGAGTAAAAAAATAAAAGATACCAAGGATCTATGTCGATTAAGTATGGATATATATGTAATGTTAAATAACTGAAATTGCACTCGCGCGCGCTCATAAACTCATTGGAAATCAGTAGACTTGAACAGTCAAGGCACTCGTGAGCAATTAGTATTCTGTGCTATTGATCTTTCGTCGTCTTTTGACGTCACGTTTCTAAGAACTGTACTTTCACGAGTTTGTATCTTTGTGCGGAGAAACATAATACCGAAGATGCAAGATTAATATCAATCCTTGTAGAAAGAGATTTATGTGATGAGATGTTAAGTATAATTTCTTTCTAATTCCAAAATTCTTCTTTTAATCGTTTCCTTTTCTTTTATTAATATTTTCACCGTCGAAATTCAATATACCTAAGTCGATTTACTCTTCATTAACTTATGATACTTATTTTAATGATCACGGCACTAAAAGATGTTTTCACATTATGTTTTATTTATATATTATTAAGAATTTAATATATGTATTATAAATGAATTATCAATTATCGGAGATATATCGCAATCATTAGACGATCGTTTGTTTGACGGCTGATTATTAGCGACGTAAACCTTAAATAAAAGGCACAAATCAGAGTATTTATATTAATGAAAACTTTTCAACCTCCTTTCGAGAAGTTTGCTCGAAAATGAGAGTTAAAAGATGAATAGTTGCAATAAGGCCGTAACGACGAGAAAATAATAGCGATTTATGTCTAAGCGTTTTCTCTTTGTCTAAGCAACATGGCAATAAGTGGTTGTAGGCCAAATGTCGCTAAATCGTCTATCAAATAGGTCTCCTGCTGTGTAGCTCTACTACACCTTGCCAGCGACGATTTCCACGACGTCAATATTCTTTCCAGTCGCGTATCGGTAGTAAAATCTTCAGCAATCTTGTGTCGTGTCGCAAACACATAAAAAAGATACAAGTTCATTCTCATTTATACTTATCCACTCGTTTGTACTTTTTATCTGTGCACTGAGAAAAATGTCCATCGGATAAATCGATTAAATGACGTATTCGATTGTTCTTTTTATTATCCGATCAAGTAATGGACACCCTTATCCGATGAAATGTCCGATGAAATGAAATGAATCACTGATAAAATCACCGATGAAAATTAGTCGGCTCTCGTATATCCTTTAATGTAATTTTCATCGCATTAAAGATACGACCCGATCGGATATATCCGTTTGTTACTTTTTAATTGGATTATCCGATATGATCGGACATTTTTTCTCAGTGTGCGCTCACCTCTCTTATTGATTTTATATCGCATTCTATATTTTATACGGATATCTAATTTTTATATTCGTGCTTGTGCATCGATGGATTAAGACGAAACAATCAATAAGTATTAATTGCGCGGATTGGACCTGCCCGTACGTACGGTTGTTCCAAACTTCATGAACCGGGACTTCTGGAATTTGTCGTGAGGAACACGGATTCGCCGGATCAGAGGCGTGCCAATGGGCCACAGCCTAGTGACCCACTTGAAACCTGACTAAACGCCCTGTCGAGCGCGCGACGTCGCTCCCGGACAGCTTTCTTGCCGGAATCACGCGAGAATTCCCTTTAATTCACCCTGTGACATTTAACCGGTAGGTCGAGTGAAATATCCAATAACGATTGATTCTGGCCACTTCGGCGCCGTTGTGAAAGCTGCGATACGTCGCGCCGTCCAAACACAACCGGGCTATCGACCAATTGTGAAAAAGGGATACCGCGGAAATAATAATTAACCGTCCGTAAATCGTATATTCGCGCGAAACAGAGGGTCGACAGTCGAGATCGTTTTTCTCCCTTCTCAATTAGCGGCAGCCCCGGACGGGGATTAATAAAACTCCGTGAAAGAGGGATTATGCAGACGGCGTACGGCGGAGGGCACAAATTGCCGTATAGCGCGCAAATGAGATTAATAATTACGGCGGGAACGGATTATTAATACTGTTTCGTTCTCCGCTGACGAACTTTGTTATTACCGTGAATATTTCGTGGTCAAAAAAGAGAAAGAGAGGCGGATAGAAACCGAAACGATCGGTTCTCTCCCCGTTCCAGATTCATTATACAATCGTGCCGTACTGTGTGACACACAAAACCTCGCGAAACGAGCGGACGTTTCGTAATGTACGAAATTATCTCCGAGTAGAAATTTCGTCGTTCTGGTTCGATGACGAGGCGAACTGTTTTTTTCTTTTTATTCCTTTTTCGAAATGCCGCCGGTAATAACGCATCGCGTGTGCGTCACTCATGACGGTGAAATGTGAAAGAAATCGAACCGGCAGAATTTCACTGTGTCACGTCAATTGGTCGCTGTGTATATAAATATCCGATCGCATTGCTCGCACTATCCGCCGTAACGTTCGGGCGATCAAAAGCATTTGTAATTATTCAACTTGTGTATTCGTGTCGCGAGATATATAATGGAATATATAAAAAATAATTCTCCCAACCCCCTCGAAATATGTGAGGAGAAATATTTTTATATATTAATTTTATACACTACGAACTTCTTGTTCAAGATATTAATGCGAGTGGCTGATTCGATGGATATAAAGTTCTGACTTTAGATTCGTAATCTTGAAAATACTTAGATACCACATTTCAAGAAATTCCATCGAAAAATAAAATGTACGGTTCAAGAGTTGAGCACTCCAAAAACACTAACTTTAAATCACCATATCTTTTAAACGATTGATTTCAGACATTTTTGTTACAGGTGACTTTTTCATCAGCACCACTCAAAGTATAATGTTAAATCAATTTCAGCCCGTTTGACCAAGGCCACTTTTTTTCTATAAAATGTGTGCGGGGTCTTTCGCGTAATATGGTAATTTTCATATCGATCATGTTTTCATCAGCGATCTATCGGATGAAGAAACATCAGACGGATAAATTATTTATCCCACAGATAAAGAATCTCCCAATTAAGCGATCGGTACTTTCGGTAGATCGTTCGTTAGGCCAAGGCGGAAGCGTCATTTAACGTAAATTTTAATTAAATTGTCAAAATGGAAACGACTTTTGGACGATACAGAAAAATCTCGATCGATGTACTTTCACTGTCCGCTCTTCTCGACTGATGTAACCCAGACGCGGTCCTCCGCAGTTACCGAGGGTCCTACGAGCGAAATTCACTTTTCTCACTTTAGACAAGGTCCTCGCGGCCGACGCAACGTAACAATGGTCGTAGACGAGCGAATCGTGCGCCACTACTTTCCCACAACTGACCTTCACCTTGACTGCCATCGTTGGCTGACATTGTCGCTCCATTATCCTTACTCCGTTATCAAAACGGCCCGTTTACGGATAACGGAGCGAGAGGAAATTCACCGGCGATCAACGTATAGAAAGTAACACTAACTTTTCCACGCGCACTTGAACACCGATCGTTCCCGGGCTGTGGAACGTCCTCGGAGTCCTCGATTTCATTAAAACGTATATGGTAATTTACCGCTCGCGGCCGTTAATCAAGCTGGAATTGTTGATTTACCGAAGGAAAGTGGAACGATTCATCCTTCGGAAAGCTTTATTTTTTCGTTGCCTTTACCACTGCCTCGATGCGTAACTTCTTTCTTGTGATATCTTTCCCTGAGAGCGATGAGAAACATGTACTTCTTGCAAATTATATAAATGTCTCTAACGAATGCGTACGTGAATATAACGAGTGTCTGAAACGCAATCGGCGCGTACGACATTGTTAGACGTCGTTAAATAGAAAGTATGCGTGTAGATGAAACATTTACAGACCCCATGGCCTAATTTCCTAAATACACATTTAACGAATCTTGCAAAAAGAATTATCGGCCGAAACGACGGGTTATTCTTTCGAGGAAACCTGAATTCGACGCGATACCACGTCGTCCGTCGAAATTGCATCCGCGAAACGGTACATTCCCCTATTTTTGTGTCACGCGCCACTTAATGAATTCTAAACGGGAGATCGGCTGCGTAAAACCGGATGGGAAATGGACAGTGATCGATCGATTTTGAACGGGACTATAGATTGAAATGGAACGTCGCTTATATAAATAGCTCGAACATCTTAGATAATTTGTACTTAATTCGTTAGAAACGCCAATGATGGACATTTGCGATAAATGAAAATCGTCGGACAATCACACTGTTTTCACGTATCCTGAAACTCTCACGATGCGAAGTGTTACATCATACGAGTAAATTATTTCTATTCATCTTATCAAGAAGTTTATGTGCTCGAACAGGCATTGACTGTATCTCGCGTCGATCGTACATCATTGTCGCTTCACTCGCAACAGTGGCAGTTTGGAACTCGGTGTCGTTTTAAATAGATGTTTCTTCACTATTTATCCAGTCAGCGGCACTATATTCCAGAAAGCGACAGTGAATCGATAGCACATAAATAATTGACCGATATAATCTAATTATCGAAGAAACCATACGGAAAAAAAAAGTTTGGTTGAATTTACCAGACGATGAACAAATCAAATGTGTTTCGGTCGGAAGAAAACAGAATTTTTGATTATAAGAACCGAATTTAGATCATAAGAACCAGAAATTCTCCTTCCTTCAATTAGAACGTGTTTGGTTTTTGTTACCGTCTGATAAATTTAACCCAACTTTCCTTTTTTCGTACAACATATCGCTTCTGCGTCAAAATTTTACGAGTGAGGAACCTGTAGTCTTCTTTCGACGATTCGTCCCGATATCACATAGTACGTGCATAAATAAAGAAATAAATAAATAAGTATATATATATATATATAAACATAATATAAAATAACTTCATCCGATAATTACGGTGAAAGTTCGCGCGCTTTTAATTTTGCGATGCGTTATATCTAGTCTAAGTCAACTTTGCGTCACGTGAAAAAAAAAAATGTACATGCAGCTCGGTCTTTCGCACAAATGTCTCGACAGACGGATCTACCGGTCTCTTTTGCTCTCTCTTTCTCTTCCTCCGTCTTCTTTTTACTTTTTCAAGAACGATATATCAATGATATATTACAGTTAGTAAAAGAGCGAAGTCGACCCCTTTCTCTGAGATCGCTTTCAATCGCGATAATCCCCGTACAGCGATCGAAATTGCGTACTTTCGTCTCGACGCGGACGCCCTACATCTTTTTCTTTGCCATTTTACATTCCGCGGCGCGCGTGCACGATATTTTCGCACTTTCTATCCTGCATCACTGAGCGAATCAATGACAATATTTTCATACAACTCAGCAATTTCCGACAACCGGCCGACCGCGCGTTATGTGTTTTGTTACGCGCGTACATCGCGTAAGGAACGTTCTGTTACGTGAACTTCTTTCGAAACATTTGATACTGCGATACCAATGGGATATTATGTTGCACGGTGATTGAGTATTTTCTTCGTCGATTTCCTTAAAGAACTCACCAACTTTCCCGGATAATTTTAACAATAATTAAAGCCGATAAGCAAGATAACTATATTCACGCGAATAAAATCAACGGAAAAATCAAAGAGCTGCGCAAATGAAATCTCGCGCAATATTCGGAGATTGTTTGAATTGAATATTTCGTCTCCCTGAAATTTTTTTCTCGCTGGTAACGAGCTGGCGCGAAAACTCGTCGAATTATAATTTGTCGCATTTTTCTTTGAACGACGGCATAATCGGTCAGCAAAACGAACTTTACACACTGGCGCGATGTTATTAACACGTTCATTGCCAATCACGCGATATCGCATGATGCGAGTTCTCACCAAACGGCCGATCACGCGTTATCGCGTAATAGATATTTAGAGTACATAAATCCTATGTACGTAATAATAAAAGCATATAAATAATATATTAACTTATTTTTAGCACAATAAAAACTAAATCAAACATTCGGCCACCACACGAAATTCCATTTTTCAGCTTGGCAATGAACGTGTTAAGCTCCTCTCTGCGATGTATATGTGAAAAAGGGTGAAACTTAATAAGTTAATCGGGACGAAAAAGGAGTGTCCGATACGGATGATTATAGATTCGTTATCATTATTTACATTATGTACACTTGTTAGATATATAATATGTACATCGACTGATCCCCATCATTCTCGTTCTACTTTACGGCTTGGGCGGATGCACAATTTTCGCGACGTCACGCATTTAGCCAGAGAATGTATCGAACTTATCTCTGGGAAGATAGATATATATACGAAGGGTTATATATGTTATCTCACATATCTGTACCTTACAAGATTTCCCGAAGATATTGTACAAAAACTACCGCATTGTTAACGTTATTATTTACAAATATTTTAAATCAGTCAATTGCGTTATGAACAAGCCGAATCCTCGCTATACAATATTCACAGAAAATTTGGTCCCTATTCTTTCGTTCGCGCGACTTAACTACGCGTTGTCCGGAAGTGTTCTTTTTCCTTTTTCCTTTTTCTCTTCAGTCGCAACTTAATTTACCGCGTTTCTCCAAAAGTCAATTCAAGAAAATATCCTTGCAACGGTGAATTAATATCATTAAGATCCGTTCGACGCGATCTCGCCCGTGGCGCGATGATCGAGAGTGCAACGTACTGCAGTATCGACCTTTAAGAAAGCGCGGCTGTGCTCTTCACGATGCGTAACCGCGCTATATCGTGGTCACGCTCAGATCATTCCGAACAGCACCGTGAAATTACAGAAAATGACTTTTTTTTTTACATGGCACACGTCGTAACGTAAGTATGACGCGAATTTTCCGCGGGGTATGTCCGCCCGGTCGGGAGACACGAAGACCCACATATTTACACAAACGCAGACGACACTGTCGTCCGAGCGAGAGATTTCCTCGCCCGGCTCCTGGGGAACGAGGCTATTAGTACAGTAAGAAAGAAGTATCGCCGATTAATCCCGTCGAAGAGCAGCAGTGAGTAAGTGCATAGTCAGTCGAGGATGTAGAAAGACGTCGGAGTCGATAGCACAGAATAAAATTATGCGATTCATACAAGGCGCAGTATAAAAAAAAAACAAAAGGAAGAATAAAAAACGAGAGAAAGGCCCAGCAACCCACAACCGCCCGGTGAAAACGTCGACGGTTTTTTCGAACGGCGGTCGGTTTCCAAATACGATCTTACGGCACGAATCGCGGTCTCTTTCGACAAAACTTGTTCAACGATGTAGAATGAAGTAATTAAACGAGGATTGAGTAATTCTTAGTATATTTGTGCGTTAAATTTTGCGCAATTTCTTAGCGATCTTTTGGTAAAGTTGTAATTATAAACGGTACGATCAAGACAGAAATCCACTGATGCATTTTTAATTTATTCCATTTTTGATCCGTTTAAATAAAAGAATGCAATTACAGTCGTTGAGACGCAATCATGCGCGCACGTTTGAAAACCGATTTATATTCAAGGGAATATTTAATGAAGATCTACATTCTCCTGTGTATCGAGCGATTAAGCAACGCTTATCGCAACTGTCGTGCAAAGATGCAAGGTCTAATTTTCGTATGAAATTATATAATACAGATGTACACTCACTGAATACACCTTGTGTTTTAATTTGATAAATAAATATAAATATTTGAGTAAATTTCGTTGCGATCACTCGATAGACGCGAATTGCATACCCAAAATTGTAATCAATGTTAAAACGTTTTGCCGACATATAGATATCAGTGCGACATATTGATCATTTTTATGCATTTCATACATCGATATCTATCGTCAGCTGTGCGTTTAACATCCCTTCGCGGTAAAAGTGGCGACGTAGCTGAATGAAGAATTTTTTCACGTCGATGAAACTTACAGCGACAAAGACGAAACCTAAATTTTTGCGTAGCGTTTGAAGCTAATTCAGAATTATATTGTTAAAATTATAATAAAAGACATAGTTTATATATCATAATATAGATATATAAATAAGCAGCATAAAAAAGTTCGCGTTTCTGAGGAACATCGACTTGAAGTTTCTCAAGATTTGACGATTCAAGATTCGACAGAATAATCTCGCGAAAAGATTCTACTTTGCACATATTTCGTCCGAATGTGTATTATTCACTGAAATATCAACACCGGAGTGTTCTTGAATTGCAAATTTCTACACAGGATGAACCGTCAGCCACGTCAGTCACTTTTGGCCACGAGACGAGTCACTCACCGACAACCACGAAGAGGAACAATGTGATGGCGATCTTCATCTTTGTCGATCCAGTTTTAATTGTCACGAAGGACTCGAGAAAAGAGATATACTCGATGATCCTCGCCGGTTGCCGCAGAAGCGACGGATCGTGCGGCGAACGCAATGAATCGGAGCGACTATCGGACTTGTCCGCACCGATTGAGTCCTGATCGCGAGTGATCGACAATCGTCGATGGGAAACGTGCGGCAAGTTACACGATCCCGCGGATACTAATAGTGAGCACGGACATGCTCGACGAAGGCGAGCACGCGGGGCACTTTCAGACTTCATCTGGCTCTCCAGGGCTGGTTACAGGTCAGGGCCTTACGCACCTGTTTCCATTTCATAGCACGTCGCTACGCGTTATTTACTTGATATTTTGCCGATTAACTTAATAATACCGAGGTAAAACGTATGAATTTTATGCACTCGACAACGTGATATAATGTGACTTCTCTCAGATTCGTCTCGGATCTTCTGTGATAATTTCTTGATTTGTCGCTTCGAAAAGTCATATCGCTGCAGAGACTCGGAGAAACTAATTAGATAACGCTTCTTCGTGAAAAAAAGATTACTCGATCATTAAATTTATGTATTTTTAATTGAATATGAGGAAAGAAATGTAGGTTTATCTGCTAATTCATACTGTTCGAAGGATATCGTGGAGACATCGTAGGGATATTCGAATATTCTGGGACATCTCTTGGATGTCTTTTGAACATTTGTGTTGTATGAAAAGTATCGTGAATTTTCGTCAACTAACTTTTAATTAAAATATCGTGCATGATAAATAGAAAGAGAGAAAGGGAGGAAAATCCGCCGTAAGAACGAGCCGTCCCTGCATACCCCACCTGGGGTCTCACCGAGAACGGCCCGTTCACGGAACAGGTCCGACGTACGCGCAGCACGGAGTTAAATCCTGGCAAAGTGCCGGTGACCCACTCGGACGAAACGATAACGGGACCGACGTGCATCCACTTAAACACGGCCAAATCGATCGCGAAATGCTCAGATTTTCCTTCGGGAAATCGAATGAAACCTTGTTGTTTGAGCATTAATCGTATCCTATTAGGACATAAAAATTTTGTTAATATTATATATCTCAATACATCTAAAAAAGATCACAAGAAACATCTCAAACATATGATAATCACACAATAGTCAACACAACACATCTTTAAAAGAATGTATTCCTTCCGATTGTAAATAAAAAAAAAAATTAATATAAAAAGAGATCGGAGAGTGTATTCGGCGTTATTTCGATTCTTGCAACTACGCATAACGCAACACTTGACCACACGAAGGTCAACAGTGGGTTCAAGATTTAAACGCTTAGTTATTTATGGAAACACATAAAATAACCTTCCCTATAAGAGATTTCCCGTAAGATTTTGATTAGTTCATCAATCTTCGCTGGATGTGAGTCCGTAAAATCGTCATTTATTGAATATCGATCTGATAAAATATGTTTCGTAAAGCGTTAAAAAAAGAACGAAAGAATATATTTGTTCCATAATTCGTGTAATTCGTGATGCCTGTGAAGTAAGAGAAATGACTCTTCAAAAATTTTCGGATATATTTTATAAAAATGAATATACAGGTCGCTTGTACAAAGAAAATATGATCGAGTTTTCTGTTAGGTTTAAGTTTCGTACGAACTCGCGTTTCTTTATTTCTCTTCAATTACTCACAAAAGATATAATTATGTTGCGCTTTTCCTTTGTATTCACGTGTTTATACATATCAAATATCTACATTAACGTATCCAAAAGAGTTAATCTCATATAAATCTTCATGCGCAGCTCTGTATGATTGTATATAAATAAAATAATATTATTACATCCGCGCGTATACGCAAGAAAATCAAATCTCTTATATTTTATTTCATTAATTCTTTCGCGCGCGTATTAATATATAATCTGGGCGAGTGATTTAGCAATTTATCGTTTTGGTAATAGTTGAAATTCCTTCCTTTCTCCATCTTGTAACATTAGCATATGCGTGATATCTATATGACTGATAAAATATACAGAAATTTGTATGTCGAAATACATTCGGGTAAACTAATACAGGTGGGAGGAACAGTGAAACAATGAATGAAGGAGCGAATGAAACAATTCCAATAACTTCATTCCTAATAGGAATAAGATTAGGTGTTCAATGTGTATGTACTAGAGGACTAGTGGGTGTGTAAATGACATCGATTTAATGTAGGAATCTTTAAATATTTACGCACATGTGCAAAGCGTGAAAAATTCCTAATAAAGTCTTTAAATGTTTCCGTATCTTTGCGTCGTCTCTCACTACTCATCGCTGGATGTTCTATTACGAAACAAGAAAAGATCTAGTTTGATTGATTTTCAGCTATACACATTCTTCGTGTCTCTATGTCACATCCTGATTGTGTGGCAAGGAACGAAATTGCGCCGATGCCTGTCTTCATTTCCTTCTTCTCTTCTGAAACAAAAAGAAATTGTCACTCGTAAATATACACACAGGTTGTTACACGACAAATTAAAAGCGAGCATTGCTTCCTGATGTAAAGTGAAGTAGAAAAACGTCCAATAAGCGAGAGTCCAATTCGGTTATCCATCGACAAATATTTCAAGTTTATAAATAATAGCATAATTTATTGAAGCATTTTTTTTTTCAAAGATGGAAAATACGAAGGAAAACATAAAGATTGAAAGTTTAGTGCACGAAAGGAAGGTCAATACTCGAGCTGAATTATGGCTTATTTTAATGATGTGTGTGAACGAATAAAGAATTGGTAGATCCATTTTAGGTCGCACCATGCTCAAAGTCGAAGAACGTTAATTGGAACAATTTTATCTTTTCTTCGCCTGTTCCTTTCTCTGTCTCTTCACGTTCAGTTTAAGCTTAGAATCGTTACCTTTATCGGTGCCGGTTTGCTGAGCTTCTCCTCCACGCAATCGCTCTCCGACGTTTTCGCCGGCGCTTCCTTCGGCGAAGCGACGCTCTCGATCGCAGGTATACAAGTAGCCTCTGTTGCGAGTTTCGAAATATCTTCTTCCGCTGACGGTGCATCTTTAGTCAGACGATTGTCGACAGTATCGTCGGCTGGCTCGGAACTACTTTGAACTACTTCACTGGCAGTTTCAGCTACGATTTCGGACTTTCCTTGGACCAGCAGAGTCGCATCTTCAGCCGCGGCTGCATCAGAAGTCTCGGAGACCTCGGAAGTTTTGCTCGCAGTTAGCATGCTGGCAGGCTCAGTCGTGGATTCGCCACCACTCGTAGTTCCGGCCGCGGCGGACTCAATATTGCTCTCGGCTATTGCAGCTTGCTGAATATTTTGCACGCAATCCTCCGATAAGGTTTCTTTAAAAACGACAGTTGAATTCTCACGCGCAACCTCTATACTCTCGTCCTCCTCTGCAGTCCCGCTGCTCGCGTTATCGACGGTTTGACGTTCCAGTTGCTCGTTTAAATGATTATTCGCGCTATCTCGTGATAAATCCATTTCCTCTTCTTGCGTTAAATCCGCCGCCTGTAAAATTATATTCTCCACAATATCGAGAACTTCAAATTCCAATCCCGAGAATTCAGGGTCTCGCTCGGGAACTTCGTTCAGCTTCCCAATTTCCTCCGCCTCGTCGTTGGTTTCCTTTTGGGTTTCGTCCGATTTGTCGTTCGTGATTTCGCCAGCCTCTTCGCTCGTTAATTTGTCTTCGTTCGCATCTTCAAGTTTCGAGGACTCGGCCGATCGGCCGGAGGACCCCTCTGCTTCCTCGTTGACAGTTATCGTTGACGATTCCTTTTCATTCGCATCCTGCGTCTCTAACGCGTAATCGACGAAATCGTCGTAGAAGATCGGCTTGATCGTATCCCCGTTAAGTTTCGAGGCGTCGCTCGAGTCTCCGGCGGCGTTTTCGACGGGCGCGGTTTGCAATCTCTTATCGTCCGACTGCTCGGCTGCTCCCGGCGTGCCGTCGGAACTCTTCCTCATCGCTTCGGAAAGCGAGGCCTGCAGCTGCTCGAAAGTGTTCTCCAGGCTCGGTAACTCGTCCATCTGCTTCATGTACTTGACAACCTCCTGAGATTCCAGCGCCGGCGTGCTGGCCGGCTGCTCCGGCACCTTGGCGCTCTGCGTCTTAAGCTGCGCCAGAAGTTTCGTCCTCTCGCACTGGAACATCTTGCACAGGTCCTGAAGCAGGGTCAACTTCTTGCTGAGCATCGCGATCTCTCCGTCTCTCGACTGCTTGTCGGCCGCCATCGCCAACAACGCGTCGTGACTGTTGGCCCAGCGCTGCTTCCACAGACTGGTCTCCTTCTCCAGCGCGTACAACTTCTTCGTCATCTTCTCCATCTCCACGTTGAACTCACCGTAGATCTTGTTGCTGCGATTGAGCGCGTTCTGGAATTCGTCGTACTTGTCGGTGTACATGCTGATCTCGCTGCGCAGTCCCACCTCGGTGGCTTGGAGCTCTCTGATCTGGGTCTGATACTCCGTCATTTTCAGCAGAAGCTGCTGCTTCTCCTTCAGCAGCGCCTCCTTCTCAGCGGTGGCCTCCATCTTCACCTTGGCCAGCTTGGCGTCCGCCACCTGCAGGTCCAACTTCATCTGCTGATGCACCTTCAGCAACTGCTGCTCCTTCTGCTCCACCTGCTCGTAGACCGCCTTGAACTTTTTATTTATCTCGAGATTCTCCTCGTACATCTTGGCGTTCTTCTCGATGTTCTGGTTCATCAGAGTGGTTATCTGCGCCAGGCCGCCTTGAAACTTCTCCGACAGGTCTTTCCTGATCTCCTCCTGCTCCTTGACCCTCTGCAGACTCTCGTTCTTCACTATCTTATTCTGCTTCTGTAATTCACGACATAGGTTCTCCAGTCTTTTCCTAGTCATGATACTTTTGCTACGCTCGATCTGAAGCTGTTCCCTCTCGCGCAGGAGCAGCTCCACTTTCTTTTCCGAATGTTTCAGCGCCAGTGACAGCCTTCGATTCTCGTCAACCGCCTGTGAATACTTCTTACACATTACATCTAACTTGTCCTCTGGACTCGAGACGTGACTGAGGATTTTCGAATACTGTTCCGCTGGTCTCTTGTCATCCTTCTTCTTCGATCTATCTTCTTTTGTACGTTTCCTGGTGCTACACTCCCCCTGAAAGTCATAGAGATCTCAAATAGTTATCCACATTTATCCTATTAGATTTTTCTTACAGCAGGAGGGGAAATCAGCCTGGGACAAAGCGATTGATTTTACACAGAGGTTAGATGTTTAGCGTTCGGAAGAGAAATAATTTTACGGTCATGATTATTGAATATGCGGTGATATCAATTTTTCGACGCGTTATCAGTCGAACTTGATCATGAATCGGACGACCCTGTTGACGATTCAAGTAGAGGTTATGGTGGCCCGGTGCACGAGAAAACTTACGCTCACCTCGTTCTCTTTCCTCTCCATTTCAGGTCCTTCGACCTTAACGTTGTCGTTGTTCTTCTCATTCATTATTGTGGCATGTGAGGACAACAGGGAGCCCCTAACAGCGAGTGCCTTCTGTGTATCTTAATAGTTAAACACGACCGATGCAACGGCTCGACCGCTACTGAAAACAAACATGTCGCAATGACAACACCGGCATCGACTATCGATATCGTCACTTGAAACGACCCCGGTTTAAACTCAAATGCAGTGCGTTAATCTACATATTCGCGTAGATTCGAGATCAATTTAAACAAGCTAATGATAAATATGCATCTCATATATGTAACCACATTTAGAAGTGGCACGTGGGATTAAAAATAAGTACACGCACGCTTGTCATTAATTACGCTAGGAGATTACGCTTTGGGAATAACATTAATTGAATATAAGATTATTGCATATGCGCAAGGCAACGATTAATTACAGAACGAATTACTTCACGATTTCGATAAAAACAAATCTATTGCATTCTACGGAAAACGATTTTTAAACATTTTTTAACATTAATTAATAAATGTTATATAATAATTCTAATAAACTAACTCTACATTTGTTTTGACGATAAAAAATTTATCATAACTTTAATTAACTATCAGAGTTTATATCGAATATGTAACAATCTCGCAAATATTATAGGTATATTTTTATGGAACGTTAACAATATAACATATTTTCTATTTTTATTAAATGAGTCATATTGTACGAAATTTCCTTCGATTTTCAAGTCATGTCTTCTGTTTTTCATGAAATTAAAATGATTGTCGAGTGATCGATGTAACGTTCAAACAAAATCGTGTCAAGTCACAATCAATCTTCTTCAATAACATATTTACACTTTTGATGCTTGTAGAGTTCTACTTATAAGACACTCGACCGATATAATATCGACGCGTCCTCTACTCATGCGTAATCAATCTTTGATGTTAAACAATCACACATTTCTCATAATAGATTAAAACGTTTCTAAAAATATTGAATAATTATTTAATAGTTTTCTTCAGTTATGCAACATATTTATGTAAAGATTATTTGATTTTAATGGAAAATAAGTCATTATCGATGGTTAGTAATCACTTTGCTGGTTAGTAATCACTAGTAGTCATATTTATCGAATATCAAATCAATTTTCAAATACCAATTTTAAAGATTAATTGTATTAACTATCAGATCTTAACCGATAAGTTAATTTTGTCAAATATTTTACTACATGTGTGAAAATTAAGCACTTTTATGCTGTTATATGCGATCCAATTCCTGCTTAATTTTTTCAATTTATCGCGAATCGGTAAATCGTCGTGAAACAAGCTATATATATATATATATAAACCGTCTATCTATTTATCTATTTATCTGTTCACCGTTCTATCTATACACGGACACCAAATTTATTTTTACACCTGCGTTTCTCTCTCTCTCTCTCTCTCTCTCTCTCTCTCTCTCTCTCTCTCTCTTTCTCTCTCTCTCCCCCCACCGTTCTTATTAGGCACACAACACTGCTTGTAGATCTTTTTTTCGCTATTATTTTTTACCTCGATACCAAAGCCATAAGAAAAATAATAACAGGTCGAATAAATTAAAGTAAGATCACTTTATTTTTTACGACGTAAAATAAAATTTCTGTTTTAAATGCACAACAAGTCTCATTGTTATTAGAACTCTTTTAATTGGAAATGCATTCATAACGAGAATACTCTAATTAAACGATTAATAAAACAACTCGAGATTTTTATTTAATACATTTTTCTTATAACCGACTAATTACACATGAGAAACATTGGAGAAATCATGACTTTTTTATGCGTTCTGTACTAAAAGTACTTCCCTTGAATATATCGCAACTGCAGAAATCGACGGTGGAAAACTTTCAATCTCCGAGATAATATGAAAGCCACGCGAACGTAGATCATTATTTCGCGAAAATCGTCACGATAACCGTGAAAGGCGATAGATCCGCGTACGCGAGGATTTTGCGTCTGATTATTCGGGTGTCGTCGATCGCGATCGAGAGAGACACCGCGGAAAAGAGGAGGGCGAGGCGCTGTTACGCCGTAACGGGGGGAGGGTGATCGAAATACTTACCTGCGAGTATACGGTAGACTTGCGATGTAATTCGGGGAAAAAAATGTCACCGCGTCCTTCCTCTGTACGGCGTGCTGGCGGAAAGGGAGCTGCCGACGCACTCAGTGGTTATTTCGAGAATACTTCTAAAGTTAGACCCGCAGAGAGAGGCTACCTCTCGAGCAAATTGGCCACCGGCAAGAATCAAGCGAGTTAGGTGGGATTTGCTGTAACTGTAATGCCGATCGCCCGACTCTCCCTAGGTCGGTATCCAAGCGCGGAGCGTCCTCTGGGATTTCCCCGAATGTCACGAAATTCGAGTCTCACGGTTATCCGAGAACTTCGTGTAAAACGAATGACGTTTTAGTCCAACAGAGGTCTAATTAAGAAAGTTCCGATAATCATAATTTTCTAAGATGACAATTGAGAAGTTACATTAGGCGGATATAAATTAAGTTGATCGAATTCAAATCTCTTTCTCTCCTTCAATCAGTGAGACGTAAAGAATTTTGTAAGAAAAAAATCTCGTGCTGGTCTGAGCGTATCACATGGGGAATTATCGTTCGATCGTCCATTAATTAATTATTATAATTCACGTTATCCGTGAAGATTAAAGAAGGCAATTTTCTGACATAATAATTGAACATTTCAGATAACTTCGATTTCTATTTTTATATATATACTTGAATAAATCTGCCTATGATGCGATGATGTTTAATTTGGAATGCTGCCTCAGCGAGAATGCAGAAACCATCTCGTTGGATCGTCAGTCGAGTTGTGCATCGTAATTAGAGTGATCGTTATGCAAGAATGGCGCCGCGACCGCGACTGCATTATTTAAATCAATTTCCTCGTTAGCCGCGGTATTGGCCATTGTATGTTTATGGCTCACCATGTAGAGATGAACCTTCATTTTAAGCGATGCATCCTGGCTCGCAGGAATACAGATGATCAATTCGCGCTGGAGAATGCGTCACTGTGGTGCCGATGTACAAGCACAAACATTCAAAAAAAATCCTAGATACGTTCCAGGACATTTGAATATCCCCTGGGATGTCTCTAGAATTAATCTTTTGAACATTTGCGGGTATTTATAATAAAAAAAAAGAAGAAGCGCACGATATACGGAAGCCGCGAAAAGCTCAGTATTTTTACAAAAATCGACAAGTAACTTATGACTTATGAAGCTTAATTCGTTGGTATGATAAAGATGTGGCGTGCCAAGTTTTGGTTTAATGCGAAATCCGCGCGGCCTCCCTCACCCAAAAGTAACTTAACAAAGTTTATTTTGCTCACTGTTACTGGAATCTTGTCAAGCAACGCAATCGAAGCTAAACAGCTTTCTATCGTTTCTCCAATCGTTGGATCGTGTCCAATTCTTGACAAATCCGCTCAAAGTTTGTCGCGATTCCTTTCTGGGATCGCATCATTGTGTTTCGGATCCTTGAACAGGCAGAGCTTGTTTAACGCATTATCCCCCTCGTGCTTGAAATTATTTATCGACCGGTATGCTCTCTTGTATACAGAAAGTACATGTTACATGCATTATTCATAATCACCCGCATACCAACGAAATGGAGTTTGTGCGAATCGTAGCGGAGCGCCGCCGGGCAAACCTTTGTTTGTACTGTCTTATCTTTATACGGATAAAATATGAGATGTCAATGGCAAAACTACCGTTTTGTTATTTACATTTATCTCTTTACGGTAGAGAGAGAGAGAGAGAGAGAGAGAGAGAGAGAGAGAGAGAGAGAGAGAGAGAGTTAATTTAATCATAGTAATCTGACGTGACTATAGTAATGAAAAGTTACAAACGTGTGATTGCAAATACAAATTAGGTTGTGTTTAATTCTACATGAGAACTTTAATTTTTCCCAACTTTCTCGGAGGTTTTAATTTAAAGATAAAAAAATATGAAAAAGCGAAATCTCACTTTGTAATTAATTTTCGACGATAGCAAAAAAATGAAAAGACGTTCCCAACTTTAAACTACTCATAAACAGACGGACAGGTTTTGCTGAAACAGCAAATTGTTCGTTAATATAGTAACAGAAAAAAAATGTCACTTAGAAAAGTAATTTTGTCGTAGCGGCAAACATCGTTGCGACAGCAATAAAATTTAATCGGCACAACCGAATTATTTTGCTGTCCATATATGTCCGGCAAATAGCAGTTAACGCTCCTAACAAATCTTTCCGCTGTCTAAAGAAATCTTTTCGTCATCCAAACAAATTTTGTTGCTGTCGCTACATTAACAATTTGCCGTTCCAGAAAAATTTGCTTCCCCCGTGCATGAGATAATGAATGCGCAAACAATTTCGCGGAAGTGGACGTGTAAAAATAAAATTTCATTGTATCAACGTCAATATTTAACGCTTCCGTCGCCGTTATCATCGATGAATTTTAACAACAAAATGATCGATGATTTCTCGTAATAATTGCTCCTGAAGAATTCGCGCAGGCGCAATCGGCGTCGGACGATCGGGCCGTCCTACGGGAATAAACAAAACTGGATCCGACCGCGTGGTTCCAATCAGTCAGGCGGTGACGGCGCTCGTCGAAGGAATCGGTTCCCTCCGAGGCCCGGTTCACCCCGTATCCTCGATCAGGAGACTCGCAGGTTCGCGTCGTCGGTCGCTGGCTGTCCAGGCTCCCTGCGACGAGAAGAGCACGACGAGTGATCGGCGTTGTCCGTTGTACCGAGGACCGGTTCGATGACTTGATCGATAAATCATTCAAATCGAGCCGCCCCGAAGAATCCCAGACAGACGAATGACTGGACGAGCTTCGTAGGTCAATATTGCGGGGACTTTCTGAATCCACGATTTCCGTTAAAGTAGAAAATATTATCTCGAGACAAGACAAAACACAATCTTCCTCTTCGACTTCAACCTTGGCTCCGTTAAATGCCGATTAGGATCTGTCGCAAATAGAAGACAAAATTGAAAGAGACGAAAGCGATGAAAGAGAAACGATAATAGCAAGATCGTAGAAGATCGATGCCCCTTAAGGGGAAGTGACGTCCACGTCGTATCACAACAATTGGTGCGAGTTGTCGGGAAGCAATGAGGTCAGGGCGCCGTTGCATTGCGCGTTAGCGGGATAAGCTTCGACTGAAGTTGAGCGAGTAAACGGCAGGAAGAATTAATACATTTTGAGAAACTAGTCATCCCGGAAAGTGTCGTGAAAGCTGCACTCACAATGACGGAGAACTGGCTCAACAGCACTGTGATGTTTAACATGACGACGGTGATGCCTCACGTAATGAGCAGCGTTGCGCCGAAGAGACACGTGTCTTTCGTTCCTCAGCTCGTGCTGACCCTCGTCTACATAACCGGCGTCATCGGCAACGTGTCCGCTCTTGTCATTCTCTTTCATCGAGATAAGGTGAGCCCATCGAGACGAAATCATGTATTAGCTCGCATTAATCAGTCACATTCGCCTTCGTATCGCTGAAGCAGATGTCTTCGTTATCCAAGAAAAAACCGCTGTTACATATAAATTACAATTTCATGTTTGTAAGTTCTATTTAAAGTAGGTTAGATTATATCTGAAATTATAACATTTGCCTCCGGAGCTTCATACGCGTTAGTGCTCTAACGATTTGGAGTTCGCTCAGAGTTTTATTAGAAACCCTGTCGCTCGATCCTGCGAACTTGATTCCGTCGGCGAGAAGTAAACTTTTCCATCATTAATCATCTCGTAGGTAATTCGCCGAAAAGCTCAACGAGTGCCAAATTTATCTCAACGAATACAAATATAGCAGGGATCTCGCATGAATATAATCATAAAAGTGTTCCCACTCACGCGTGGATCTAATAATAATTTAACACGACAGCAGAAATACGTATTCTTTAGACGCACACTTTAGACGCGCTCCCTTGATCTTACTTAGGGGTGATTTCGTTTCCCCTCTCGGCAATAAAAAGCGACGGAACGATATAGCACGTCATATCCCCGTTAATATCGCTTCCTTTCAGAGGAGGAACCGCAAGCACCTGCTGATGTTGCGTTGTTTGGCGACCAATGATCTCGTCGCTTTACTGGGAATGCTGGTACAGATGTATGTCACGATTTATGTCGGCAACGTGGCGTCCACCCGAATATTTTGCTCCTTGCGAGTGGTCTGGCGACTTTTCGGCCTCTTCAGCGGCTGCGTGGCTATTGTTATGGCGGCGGAGAGATGGCTGGCTCTGACTAGGCCTTTCGTTTATCAGAAGGTAAGCCTAGCTTTAAGATAACCTCTCAAAACTCCGGAGCTTCTCTAAGTGGTAATTAATCATGCGAAAGTTTGCACAGGGAACTTTACGTCTTACAGAATAGATGACACGGTTCTGTTGTTTCTGCATTAACTGGAATAGTAATTAGCTAAGAACCTGTTGACATTCATATTGCATAGCTACGAACGCTCGCGTTTATCCTTGGCACATCATTGAGGCGTTAATTAAATTGATTACAAACCTCTAAGAACAAATATGTTATAAAATATTAATCCTTATAAGCGCGAGGTATTATTTAATATTAAATAATATTTCTGGAATATTAATAGATGTTTCTATGCCCACTCCTAATAATATTTAGAAAATAAAATTATTTAATGTTATTATAATACATATTTTCTAAATAGACTGAATCCCAATGGTGTACTGAGCGTAAAATATAAGGTTATAAGTTTCTAAATTTGTTTCCTTCAAAATACCAATGTTACATATATGTTAACCTTTTTAAGACTCTTTAATTTTCGGCCTCGGCCTCAGCGATTCATCACATGAGTACTTCACGAAAGAGAAGGTCACCCGTGAAGTGACGAAAGTGTCAACTACACGCGGAAAAGGGATTAATCGAATTAGCTGAAAAGAAACCAAATTAAAATTAACCAAATTTGGTTTTTTGAAACCAGATATTCCGTCAACCTTCAACCAAAACGCGTTCGGTTCGTTCATTGTCACACTAACTTAACCAATCGTTTTCTCTCCGTATAGTAGATCGCGATATTACGTAATATCTTATTAAATCTGAACTAACCTTCGCATTGAGATTCTTAGGAATTCTTACTCATCGATACTGTGCGGATCTGACGATGCGAACGGTGAATATTCGAAGCACGAGAAAGACATAGAGATATCGCACTTGGCATTTCGCGCGCACACGCATTTGCGTACTGAACGTTGATCCATCAATTCGATGGCGCCGGTATCAGGCAAATCGAGCGGGAAAAGAGTGGATGTGTCGTTGTTTACCGGGTGACTGTTCTCGAGTTAATCAATTATTTTTTATCACTGCGATGAAAAACATTTCGGGGGTGTCGTCCAATGTTAAAAGAAATTATTTCCACGACGAAGAACGTATTCTTCGAAATTTATGAGATCCGAGCCGCTACGATGTTTTCGCTTAAATATAACTGGGATTAAAAATAAACGGTGTTATTAACATCGGCGAGATTTTTCGTGCCATACTCATCACAATCGATTTATATATAATCCGAGTCGCGGAAGACCCGACGGTCTAAGATCGTGAATTCCCACATTTCAACGCGCGTGCATGCGAAACGGACAAGAAGTTTAGCGAACGTCGGGATATTCGGGTCGTGTCGTCTTCCTCATTCTTAGTCTTGTTGCCTGGAAGATTCGGGAACAGCTTAGACGTGTGTAAACAGGACTTTTCTATCCAAACGATAGAGAGACGCAACTGGCATTCCTAAGGTTAAAAATGAAGGAAGTGACTAAGAGATAAATGAGATTTAACTTCATTTTTCTCGCGTACTAAATAAAGAAGAGAATTGAAAGAAATTATGCTATCATTTATCGAGGAAACTGGATTGTCCCTGCTGAGAGACAACGGACTAAGCACATTGCCAAAGTAAACCGTACCTTATAATTCACGGCATGGTTTCGCTTCATGCGGTCGAGCTGGCGCGTGCGAGAAAATTTATTCGCGTACGCTATAAAGGCACTCCAGAGCTTCGACGTTTATAGAGCGGCGGGCCACATTTTATAATGAAGGTGAAAGAGAACGGAGAGCCTCGATGATTGATCGACGAGTTGAAAATTTTTTGTTTTTGCGAGTTACATTAACGCATCGTTATCGAAATATTGAAACTCGAAGTTTCGATGAATTAATAAATCGGAGCCTTTCTTCTTCGAAGGAGTCACAAATCACGCGTTACTTCCTTCGAGGAAGTATCGATTGCGGCAAAGAAAGATGACGTTGTTCTATAATGAAGCGTCAATTTACGCTGCGGTCACTTTCACACGCAGCACGCACGAGTGCAATTAATTGGAGATGATTAATGCTATTGCGTCGCAATTCATCAAATATTGTCTTTTCCCGGGAAGACCTACCTAATCCTTCTTAACACTCGATAGGATCATACACTAAAATAAAATTAAAGATCAATATTAATTTGCGCATGTTATTTCACGTCATCGAGGTATAATCGTCAGAACATCAGAACTGTCGAAATTAGTTTTATTCATGAATGATAGCTACGGGGTAGCAATCAATATAAAACAATCCGATAAAATTAAAGAAAATTAAAACAATTTAAATTTGTAATAAAGCTTCTATTATACGCCATCAAAGTATAATTGTAACGAACATTTAATCTTAGTTTAATTGATGAATGGCAGCTATAAAAAATTGCACATAATCGATATAAAACGATTCAATAGAATTAAAAAATTTAAAGAGTTTATACTAAAGCTTGTAATTTACTTTAAATTTATTCTAAATTTATTATGAAGCTTATAATTTATTCTAAATTTATTATAAAGCTGGCGAAGAGTCAGTACTCTTTTTAGTATAACTTTAGGATTTAAATTTTCAGTATGACATATTATTATTATTTTTCGTTCAATAGATGTAAACACATAAATCCCAACTCAGCTCTTATTGCTAGATTCGCGATCAGCGATTCTAAATTTATAGAGTAAACGTTACGTGTAGTGTTCCAAGAGTAGAACGAAATCAAATCGTAACCGAAAGTCTCCTCTCGACATTAATCGATATTACTCGTACAAGTAAACACTCGATAACGCCGAAAAATCCATTACGATACTTCCCGCCGCACGGTGATATGAATTGTGACACGTACGTTTCCTGTAATTGATATCCGATACACATTAAACCTCTTTTCCCGGGCGGTCGGGGGAAATTCACGACATTGTGTCGCCCGAGTCTGTAGATAACTGCACGTTCACGAAAATAAGACTATATCCGGGAACAACACTAAAATGAGATCTGTCACGCAACTAATCTTCAAAATATTTTACGTGTTGACTTTGTGGACAATATATATAATCGAAACTACATAGAATATACATCTTACAACGCTTTTACATTATTACAGATAAAATATTTTTCTTCCGGTCGTGTGTATAATTAATTTTATGTAGCCAGCAGGTTCATAGCAAAGTGATGCTTTTTAATCGCGGTTCATCACTTTCAACTTTTGCAAATCATTGCAGTTTACGCCGATGAAAAATCGATTGATTTATTGGCGTTGGCCCAATTCTTGGCCTGATCTCAAGTGCGAATTTCACCGTCGCCCTTGAAAATCCCGCGAAGATTCCGGGGGGGATGAACGTTCGGCGATGCTCCCGAAACGTCCGTAACGACGTAGCTCGTCAAAGCAAGACGTCAGCGCGAACGTATGTTACGTTTCGCGCGTCAAAGTTGGCCTATTTAACGAGGTAGCGGACACCGTCGTCATTTTTTCGCGAACGTATGAAATGAAGAAGACCAGGTCGTTTACCTTCTTATTTATCAAATCATCACCGAGACCGGCCGGTTTCTTCCTTTCGCCGATGTACCGGCCGACGCGTCCCCGTGGATCGAAAGCCGGAGGAATGCATAAATCCAAGTCAAGAATCGCGCGTAATGCGAAAAGAGGGATGATTTACGCGAGTATCGGGAGGTAATAAATTCAGTGGCGGATCGCCGAAGCCTCTCAGGAGTCTCGAAACGTTATTCTTGAAGAAAATACCAATAATAATTACCGGAGGAAAAAGAAAACTGCAACGTGAGACTGCCGGTTTCTCGTGCAAAACGCGAGCGTGTAGCATAAATCGCGTATATCGCGTTTACCATTTCCGACAAAATACGAAGCTACCGAAACGTCAGACTTGTGTGGAGGGAGACAGGAGATCTCCTTCGTCGCGCGTAACGGGTGAAAATCAATGGGTGACACGCATGTATCTTCCAGCAGGTGACGTATCCGATAATTGTGCGGTGTATGTTGGTACTTTGGTTGGCCGCGTTGGCGATGACCAGCCTTCCAGTTCTGGGTTTCGGACTGTACTACAAAGGCGAACGTTGCGTTCGTTACAGGGAGGCTACCGAGTTGAGCGACGTCGCTTACGCTTACGTGTGGTTCGTTTTCGGTGAGTGGATCAGCCACACGGCTACCGATATCTGAAAAACGTCAAATCGCTCTGACAGACTATTCTACCACATAGAATGATATATACAAATACATATGGTGTATATTAAAAAAAATAATAAAAGATAGAAACTATCTTTTAATCCAATGGATTTTGATTAGAAATTCATATTATTTCGAAAGGGACTGCCTTAATTGCAACACGTAAATCGTTTAAAATATGTAGGCCGGCAGTAGAAAAAATTGAAGAATATCAGGATAATCATTTTATTGTTACTGATTATTGAATTTTTTCATTACAGGTACACTTCTATGTTTGTCCATCGTCTGGTGCAATCTGGCGGTCTCCAGAGCTCTGAATAGATTAAGTCGTCGCACAGGTGCCCTCAGACGAATCTGCAGAGCTTCATCGAAGGCGAAACCATTGCTGAAGGTAGCCGGGCCACCGGGTCGGCCGGAAGTCGTCGCTACGGTTGAAGAGAGAGCATTCGCAAGGCTTATGGCTGTATTGTCCATATCGTTCGTAATTTGCTGGATGCCGCAAATGGTAAGTCTATCGGTTTAATTAGCTTTGGCCTATAACGAAAACAATAACGATAACTACTGTTAAATAATTAATGAACCGAGGAAACATAACGTCATGTTTATATTAATCATTGTGTCAATATCATTTCTCATTCGGAAGAAAACATCTGGGAACGAAGGGACGATGTTACGAGAAATAAGATTTTGTTCGCGAGACTTCCATATCTTCCTAGTATCTATTATGAATACAAAAAAAAGGAAATGTCACGCACGCACGTATGTCACCCGAAAAATGTATGAACTCCCCCATCTGACGGACAATTACCTTTCGTCGAACAGCCCGATGAGCGAGCGTCCAGAGGGGTGAGGTGAGATAAGTGCGTAGAATGACCCACGCGAAAAAATGCGACCCGATCGATCTTCCCCGTTTACGCAACGTACAAGAAGAAGAGCATGTTGATGGTTTTTCACCCTCTCGTGACGGAGAAGACGCAGAAGACCGCGGTAGACGGCAAATAAAGGTCTATTTATAGCACGTGGAATGCACGTGGGACATGTTTTACCGGAGGGTGATTTCTACCTACTTAAGGTTTAATTGAGAGAGACCCTCCGTCGGGACATCGAGCTCCCTCACTTTTCCAGTTAGATATCTCCTCATTATCCGTCGTCAACGTTAAAAGATAGGACCTTGCTGATTTTTCGTTAGGGAGCCGCTTCGCTTCCGGCAGTTTTAGATACTCGCTCGCTTAGTTCTGGTTTAGCAGCCGACAATACGACCCACGTGATTCGCCTGCGAAGTGATGTTTTAGCGTTCGCGCTGCTGCCTACGTCTTCGACATTCGCGATATTATATCCTCGATATTTATTTTCTGATATTCTCTCTTGCTTTGAACGGAAGAAATGATAGCCGTATGCAAAATTGATTCTCAACGGTTCAATTTATGCTTTTCTACTTTTGGTAGGTTTTTACGACACAGTAATGTAATATAATACTCAGCTATCTTTTTAAAATACATCTCGGCATATTTTAAGATAGAGAAAATAAGAACAACCGATAAAGTCAATAATTAAATTGTCTTGCTAAAATGGTTATATTTAAATAGTTAGTTTTTATATTTTTGAAATTTTTATATTTAAATAGTTAAATCTCTCTTTTAGTAAAATATAATAAGAACACATGAATACTGTCGTAATAAATAATCGAATATTTAATAGCAAATCGACTTATTCAAGGCAAACATTTTCACGCTGAAAATAACGATTATAATTATTTATTCTTATGTCTAGCTGCGAAACACAGAAATATCATGTGTTACCGCTACAAGCGGAGGAGGTTGAGAAGGATAAACGAGTATTTGGAAATAGTCTCACGTACGATAGCCATCGAGACATTCGCGAGCTAATATTCTAGGCGTTACTGAATTGATCTCATCCTGTTGACCGTTTTGCCGGACGAAAACTATGATGTTGGAAGATTTCGCTCGTGAAAACCGATTCGATCGTCGCGAAAAGGATATGAGTCAACAAATGAATCTTTTATAAGCGCGACAAGGAATTTAATTAACTTTTTTTGTCAAGAGTGTTGTATGGAAATAAAGCACGCGAGAACATGCAAATTTCGGTTTATTTTTAGTGATTTATGCTAAGCGGAAATTCGATTGTAATGCTTCCGTCGACTTTCGAAATATTTTCTTCTTCATGACACATATTCTTTTCGCAAGAAATGATTTATGTGTCGATCAACGTTTAAGAATTGTCATCTTACTTATTTCTTGATTTATTCTTGCAGATTTCTATTCCACTGGCTCAATTTGCAATAAGACTGCCTCAAACGGCTGTCACCGCACGGAAATGCATTCGTATCTTCCACATTACAGCTGATATTCTTTTGTGCATTCACTTTACACTGGACCCGTATATCTACGTGCTGCTACGAATGCCACGTCCGAGATTTAGATTGTTGAAGCCGCTCTGCAGGATTTGCTGGCCGGACCGAAGCCGCTCCGGCTCGTTTACAGGTGAGACGCAGATGCAGAACAATCGACGTTTAAATATCGGAAAAAAGGACCTTTCGTATTTTCTTTTTTCTCTACACAAGAGTCATAAATCGTAGCAACCGTGGTCAAATATATCGGCGAAAAATAATTATATATATTAATAATCATGTAGTTAAAGTTTGCAGTATCATGCAGAATGATTGCATTATCTACTCGGACAAACGCGTTCGCACAATCGTGGTCACCCTGCAGTCCGTTTGATCACACGATTATTTTGCATCCTAGGAACGACGGATCAACAGTGTAGTAGTGGTGGTGATCCGCCCACGCCGATCACCGAGGCCCCATCGACACCTGTCAGCGAGGAACATGAATCGCATCTGATCACAGCGTCCGTCTGAGACTGGCTTCTGCGGGTGGTCTTCTCAAAGCGAATGAAAGATCGCGACGCACGTGTACGTTTTGATCGCGTCGTTGGAAGACCCTCGCTCGATTTTCGATCAACTTCGTCAGAGACTCCGTTCATTTGCGCCAGGCAAGTGATAGCGACGTTGAATTTTCGCGCGCGGTGTTGAAATATTACTTAAAGGGATTAATTTGAAAAAAAAAGAGAAAGTAAATAAGAGAAATGAATGTATATTCTCGGACATACGTGTATAAGCTTCTAGTCAGTAAACAGTGCAAGAATGACGGATTGACGGGACGTGTAGTTAATCACACGAGCAATCAAAGCGTTTACGCAATTAGAACTTGGTGAAGTAGCGCAAAAATGTATTCCAAATATGAATTACGAGAGACAAGACATGGATATAAATCACGTTATGTCTTGAACAACGTATATTTTTGAGAGATGGAAGTGAGGCTTGAAGTGTAAAATATACAAAAATATTCTTGAAGTTTTTCGACTTAATATAATATTTCGACTAAAAAATATAATATAAAATAGAAAATAATATCAAGTATATATTTGGAGTAATGTTCTATCTTTTTAGACGCAGCATATTGCAAAGCTATTTCATACATGTTTTAGTATTATAAAATTTATCTATCAATCTATATAGAATTTACACGGAAGAAACCAATAGGTTTCAATAGCTATTCGCAAACTAATCGTTTTCAAGATATTTAATTTTCTATCGTGTAAGTTAAATTTTTTGTACGATTATACAAACTGACACATAATCGATATTTCGAAGATTGATTTTACAATATCAAGTCACGTGGAGTTTAGTATGTACATTTTAATACATACTGCAAATCTTTGATATCTTCTTTCTACACAATCCGTAAAACAAAAATTAAATTAATCTCCATATGTATCAAAATAAAAAGAAAAAAAGTATTTCTTTCATCTTAATCGCATTTTACATCTATTAAAATCTCCACGTTGCCTTAATTTGCACTTCAAATATATTTTAAAATTATTTTATTCTTGCGATACTTTCTGAGAATTACTTCCGTTCACTCTTTTTCAAAAGATATTAACTCGTTAATAAATGAAAACGGAATGAAATAAAATGAAGAAAACGCTTCGCAGCATTAACGGCTCGATATTTCGCGCACCTGATAGATTGCTTCGCGCTTTAACTTATTTCTCGCTCGACGACAATCAGTATTTCCTGCTACGATAATTTAACTTTTCACTAATTAATCCTCACTTCAAAGAATAATAACTGTACCCCCGTCAGAAGCGCGATCGCTTCGGCTTTACTTAGCGGTTTTAATTTCACATCGCTACCACTTCTAGAAGCGAAGTTCTCGGCGATTGTACGCTGCTGCCCTCTCGATCGATTCGGCCAAAGCGCAGCCGACTACCTGCTACGCTGAGTGAATGCGTGGTGGGGGAGCGGCCGCATTCCGCGTTTCCGGGAAACCTTATCTTACACGTGGCGTAGCCCATTCAACTGCGGCAGCGGCCTTGTCCCCCCACTCGTGCCCGGCCGCCCAAACAAGAGGTTCATTGATCCGGTCGCGGTATACGGCGTGCAGCGTTTGTCGAGCGCGCTGAAACTCAAAAGGCCGTAACTCGCGAATGAATCAATACAGAGACACGAAACGAAAGCCAATCTTCTCGGCAGGCAATCCCCCATGCGTCTGTATTGTTTTTTTTTTTACCGATAATAAAGAATACGACCGTATCCAAGCGATAGTTATGAGCCGAGAAATTGCCTGCACGCGGCCTCGCCTTCTTTCACTCGCGACAGAACTGTTGTTTTTTACACGTTTGTACGTGCGTAAAATCATTCTCGTTATTTTAATACTCAATTACGAATGCGAAGGCATTCTCAATTAACGGCAGAATTTAGGAAATTTGACGAAACTATTTGAACTGTCTGAAAATTGTCCGAACGAGATTGATGTATATATAGATGGTCTAAATTTTCTGCGACGTTGATTACTCCCCAATCGTTCAAACAGCATAACTTGCGAAATAAAAAATGGAATATTTCGTGAACGATTAGTGCGTCGATCTAAGTTTTTACGGCCTTTTCTTTCGCCCTTTTTTTCAGGATTTCTATTAGCCGGTTATGTTTTATCGATAATTCTGAAATATCACGTACGTCTCACTCTGTCGTATATGTATTTCGCGACACGATTGCGACACAGCGAGAGATGTCGGTATATAATTGTAAACGACTTTATTTTAAACGAACATCGTTATTTGTACATAATATCATACATATATACGTTAATGAATGTGCGTGTAGCGCGCAGAGTAGTGTGTTCGCACGTTTAACAATTCTCAAATAACAAACGTTAATCCTTAAAAATTATCTCTAGATCATGCTTCGTCCGTCGGTCATTCTTGCGAGACAAACACACACCCGCAAATACTTGCACGTACAAAAGGGATAGAATGCAAACATACACTCCTTGTCCGGGTTCTACCGAAGTATTGTCGCGTATTTTGTCAGTTGCATTGATTGAAGCGCAGCGAGGTAAACCCAAATCGAGCGAAATCATACAGTACAAATATATAATGCGATCGCATCGGCAGATAGCTCGCCGCAAGACATCAACGGTGTGAAAGATATAACTTGTATACTCTCATCGTCGAGAGGAGAGCGAAGTCGCTCGAAAAAAAAATGTATACACGAATACTCGTACGCGAGTCCTCAATGAAAATTTCTACAAAATCGTCCACGTATACAAGATGTAACATCGGTCACTTCTTAGGGAAGACGTCATTGTGATTGCGCGTTTGCACTTTCTGTCATTTTATAATTTATTCGTGACATATAAGGAGATACAATATGCGTGTGTATTAGTACGTTCTCGTAGAAATGTTACATTAAAATTATGACTTGAGTAAAACAGACGTGTGTAACTGCTCTTAATTAAGAATTTTTTGTTATATATGTATATTTAATATTATCAATATATATGTATTATATATATCCAAGAAAATCTCTCACATCTCGTATCCAATATAACTTACTTTCGATCGACAATCGATTCAAATTACAACTGAAACCGCAATCACCACAACAGTTTTCTCACATCGCGCAATTCTTGTTACACCGTGTATATTTGTATCTGAGAATCTTCTTTGTTTGGAGATCGAAATTATGCTCGATACATATCACTCGCATGTCCGCGCGCGCACACACACACACACGCACACACACACACACACACACACATACTGCACGCACGCACGCACACACTCACGCGCATACATATATTTTTCTCTTGTTTAGTTTGACAAAGATTTATATAATTCGATGACAATATATATGTATATATATGGATATATATATATATATATATCGTTCTCTTTCTTTGAAAAAATATCATTTTCATGGGATAAACCGGTGCTTTCTCCGAATTCCCGACTTAATTGTTATAACTGACGTTATAATACACACATTATATAGAGAATTGCAGAATAGCAGGATGGAAAGGCCAAGAAGTATAGTATAAAAGAACGAATGTTTCTCCGCCTAAAAACGCGTCCGCTTGTTTCGACTATGAACTCGAATAATAACGATGAACAATGAAATTGTGTGATACGCTAATCGGAGAGATCCCTTCTTCCAGCGATCCAGCAAGTTTCGTGCGACAGTGCGAGTACACCTCGCTCGCGGATCCGTCGCGGATTCTTCTTTCTCGATCGAATCGTAATCAACTCACTTTATCTCACATCGCGATAATTAATTCAATTACTAACTAAATTCAATAGCACGTAAGTCACCGCCTGATCGGAATAATCGTCCGGCCGTTTCGTCAAAACGGGTTTTCACCGATAGAACGTAGCGGACGTCAACTCTACTCACAGCGACTTCGGTTGGTCTCGTGTACAATTACCTCGACGTATATTACCATTTAATTATTGTCAAACGTACTGTATGTTTACACGGTCAATTAACTATTAAATTATTCGCAGCTGCGTCGACCTGAGGCTGCGATCAGTGTTTTCAGCGATTTCCGGTGCGTTCCTCGCACACCTGTATCTCGCAAGCAACGGAGACGCGCGATTGTCGTATGGTTTCGCCGCGTTAACGCTCCGGAGTAGTTGCCGTATTGGATTCGTGACGTTTCATAGGCAAGAAATGACACGTTGAGGAATATTGCGTCCCATTTGCGAATAAAAAGATATTTGGACAAAACAACACTCGAGATCGTTTGAAGACACTTGTGAAAATGGACGTAAACTCTCCTTTTCCCTCCTGACGGTCAAAATAGCAGTAAAAGTGAAATAAGGCCCCATTCATTCATAAGAAAACACACGGTTTTACAGCTGTTGAAAGGAATGGAAAATATGCTCCTACGTATAAAATTCCGAACTAATCTCGCTTTTTGTCCATTTCTACGGGTTTAACAAATATTTCACAACTCTATAAACGCGTAATATTATTTAACATTAAGTAATATTTTGAGCATATTCTTAGAATATTAGACGTAATATTCTAATAATATTCTGGTAATATTATTTAATATTATCGTAATATTTTTATATATTTTTTCAATATTCAACTCTATATATATATATATATATATATATATAGTTGTAGTTTTTTTACTTCAAATGTATTGCAATTGTTTTATTATATAAATAAAGTCGAAATAATTTTGTATAAAAATATATTTTATATTAGAAAATTATATATATATATATATATATATATATATATATATATATAATGTATGTGTATATATTTTTTATTTATATATGTATTTGTATATTATTATTTTTTTATTCTAAGAATATTTTATAATATGCCAAGAATATTACGTGAAGTGGACAGTATAACATCAATAGAACATTCCTATAATATTCTAGGAATATTACGCGCTTATAGGGAAGTCACACCTGCACAATTAAACAAATAACAATTAAACAAATAATAGTGAAATAGCACGCAACACAAATTTTCGTTGTCAACATGTCACACATATAAGTACGGTCGAGTAAGCGCTATAAATGTTTCGAAGCGTTTCTCCTTTTATTTCTTCTTTTATTCAGACTCAAAAAATATATGAAGAAAGAGAAATGCTTTGAAGCATTTGTAGCGCTTGCTGCACGCACTCTATTAGTTCATTTTTTGGTCATTCTGAATTTTGTCGCTACTATTAACGCATAGTTCTTGGCCGACTATTCCGGAGCCTTAAGCGTTAAATTTCGACCCTTATCGCCGGATTCACCATCGGAAACGAAGGAAAATGAAACTTGAAGAAAAACACACGTATATGAGAGGGAGTATTGACGATAGAAGAATTGTTGGCACTTTCCTGTTGTACTTTAGTTAGAGAATAATGAAGTCCGAATGTTGAATACGAGCAGTCATCTAACACGAATGACGTACGAGCGAAGTGGCGTGCAGATTCGTTTTCACATTCGACATTTGGCACTTCAATAGTAGTAAGAAATATAGATCTTTACATTCGCTAATCGAATTAGGCCACTGATTGATATATATATACACATAGATAAGCTCGATTTAACGCCCTGCCAGGTATCATATTTCTCATTCAGCGCCGATTCCTCGGCGTCAATTCGCTCGATCGTAATCGGACCCAAGATAGGAGATCCGTTTTAAGGCTCCTGGTCCTTCGCTGCAACTGTCCCTGTTTCATGACATCAGAAGCGAGAAAACGCATGCCGAGAAATTCTTGCGTTATACGTTCAAATAAAAAGATATACTTACGAAATAACGATCGATTCAGCACACTCGTAAAATTGTCCGAACACTTTTCTTTTACTCGAAACAATCAATGAACAGTCGTAAAATTAACATTGACAAAATCACGAGAAAAGAGATCGGAAAAGCATGTTCCATGTCAGGTTAATTTTGAGACCATTTATCGATCGTTCGAATAAAGGAAAAGTGTTCGGACAATTTTATAAGTGTGTTAAATCGATCACAAGTGTCATTTTGTAGGAATATTTTCTTATTTGAACGTATAACGCAAAAATTCTTGGCATGTGTTTTCTCGCTTCCGACGTCATCCAACAAAGATAGTTGCAGCGAGGGACCAGGAGCCTTACGTTAGTCATACTTTCTACACTCTCGACAATCCTTCGCGTTTTCCTCCTACCGAGAGTCCGATTACTTTACTCGTTCCATGGCAGGCGCGTATAAGGTACAAAAAGGTGCAGGTAAGAGAAAATTTTTTGTGCGCGTAACAAATTCCCAACGACGCGAATGTCTCAAGAGCGTCTCATCTAAAAGTGATATCTAAAAGCGATATCTAGAAAATAGTATATCAGTTTTTCGGACGCTCCTCGGGCTTTCGTGTCGTTTGGGAATATGCTGGTTTTATAAGAATTCACGGGCCGTTTAGACATCACATTTTCATCATATGATATGATAAGTACATATCGACATTGAGAGTTACATCGAGAATCAAATTCCATCAAAATCCAATGTGAAATTCAATTCCGCGATTCGTTCGGTGTCAACGATTTACCAAAGACGCGTGCTCGATTCGTTGAAGGATCGAGCACGCGTCTTTCGCGTAAATCATCGGCACCGAACGAATCGCGGGATTGAGGCACCGGTCGATGTAAATGAATGCATGTAACGTATTTTGTTCTTAACGTAACGTTCCTTTGTTAATACGTTTCTAATGAACAGTGAGCGACGGCTGCGACTTTTTGCATGTTCAAACTCAGAAATGTGTCCTCGACAACACGTGTCAAGGTCAAATTAATCGGAGCTTTTTTTCCCCTATTGTAACACTTTTACCATGTATCGAATTAAGTAGAATATAAAATTTCCGATTGTCGACTCCCCCGCTTAACGCGTGAATGATATAAATTGCCGCGACGTAAGAAAAAGAGAGAATGACAAGCTTCTCGATGTTGAAGTTTAAATATTATAAAACAATTGCATTCTTCTGTGCGGTGACGTCATGAACGTACAATCCCAAGCGTATATATTCCCGAGATACAGGGAAGAGAACACGCCCAGCCGCCGTCGTCGATCACTCGTCGTTGGTAAATCGCATCCATTGAACTGAAGAATACACTGGAACGAGCACTGACGCGGTGGGGATCGTGGTTTGTGTCCGCGTCTAAACGGTATCTCGCTCTCTGTCTTACTAACATGCTAGATAGGCTAAGATAAGACAAACAGACAAAGACGGAGATACTTTCTATCTCGGTCTCGGCGCGAGGTAATCCGCCACAAACAAAGGCAGTGGTGGTCCCGGTATGTTCTTCAGTTCAATGATCGGACTGGCACGACCGGTGGCCAGACAATTGGTGGAACCGTTCACAGATCGCATATCGACAGACAGAGAGAAAGCGTCCTCGCTCGGTCAGACTCCTGCGCGAACCGATACTTCTTGACGTCCTGCGAGCAGTACAGTCTCCGCATTGTGCCCTTGATCCGCTCGGCTAGTACCAGCTAGAGAACCCTCCCGCGTTCCCTGAAAACCCCCGGCGCGCCCTGATCGGCCACGATCAGACGACGGTGGTGGCGTTCGCCCGCGTGCACAACAACGATTCCCTCGGCGTGTCATGCCGGCTTTCGTTTACCGCGACCCTTGCCTGCAATCGGCAATTACCGTCTCGTCAGACAACGCAGACTCACGCCCCTCGACAATCGTCTACACGGTAACTGCGGATACATCGAGGCGGGATATACTTGAAAACCTTCGAGGGGCAGGGGGGAAGATGGAATCCCCCAACTATAGCAATCGGTTTACAAGGTGTTCAAGTGAATGAAAAACTAGAAGGTAAAACAGTCAGAATCGGGAAGAGAGTGATTCTGTCGTTGAAAAATGACATCGGGCAACTGTTGCGTTTCAATTTGGACACATTGAGGAGGAGCATGCTTCCGAAAATAAAATACATGTACAGATCTCGGAAAATATGAATATCTTATTTTCCCAAGGAGCAAATCTTTGATGTAATAATATTAGAGAGAAAACTTTCTCGTAGAGAAACCAATGTAACGAAATAACCACCAGGAAATACGTGCGTGACAAACCATAAAGACTCTTTAAAAAACGAACTCTAAGTCGCAAGGTGTTCCACATTGACAGACGGACGTTTAAGAGATTTCATTAAAATCGATGCAATACTTACTATATACAAAATAATTACCGCATCATCCTGAATGTCGTTCAGTATAATGAAAAATTTTATTTAGCATATACAGCGTCGAACAAGTCAGCGACAGGTTTTGTTCTATAGTAATGCAATGTTTGACAAGCAACAACTCAACAAAACCGCTACGCGATAAGAAGGGAACGCATTTAAAATCAACGAAGTTTACGCGAGAAAAGTAGCTCTATAATAACAATTATATTGTCCAGTATATCTTGACTTTTTGTAAATGGCGATTTTATATGCAAGATCGATACGTCTGACCATTCTCGAGTGAAATTCCCCCGCGAGAAATCTTCTATTGTTTACCTGGGGTCGTGCTAAATCGCATCACACTTTCCACAGCAGCAGGTGGTTCGTGGAGTCCTCACGACCTGCCTGCAACTCGGCGGACGCCTGAGGCCCGCGGAAGTCCTCGTAACCATCCCCGCCGGATATTACTAGGAATTTGCAGCGGCTGATGTTGCTCGGCTGTGTCTTGCTGGACTTCAACGAGTACCGATTCACTTTCGGACGCGGGTCCGCTTTCGGGGGGCTCGTCGTCTCTACGCAGGTGAGGAAGCGCACGTGCCCCGTGTGCCCGTGGGGAATTCCTGCGCAATGTTTCTCTCATTATATTTCATATAGACGAGTTCAACAGAACTCTCTTATAATGTATTACTATAAATATGAAAAAGAACGATTTGGCGCGCAACATTTTCTATAATTTTACAAATCATACTGTCACAATTTCATTTAACCAAATTCACACGGAAAAAATTATTGCGCACAAATATATTTTTTTTTTATCAAACGAAGAAATATTTTATATTGTATACGTTTTATATCTTTAATTCGTGCATGACAAAATAGCCGGCTTGATTCCCAAAGAGGAAAGAGATCTTATTCTTAATTATAATTAATTACGCATATCCTTCATAAAATGTTACAATTATACAAGTCATTTTCAATCTTCGTAACGCCAATTGTATTTTTTCACGCAACGTATCAGAGAGCAAGAGTGTCAACGTAAGAATATTATAACGCGCGCGCGACGTTTCATGCCAGGAGCGAGACACCGGCTCGGTTTTACGCGAATAACGGACGTATATGACTGCCAGGATTAATACGTTCGCGCGCGCGACTCATGGCATCCTGTGTCGAGAAGACTGATCGATCGCCCGCTCCTGCGTCCTTCCACGTGGAGCGGCGGGCGGTTGCGCGGCGTTTTGGGGTGTCGGCCAGTTTCTAATTATACCACCGGGCAATAATAACGCCAGCCGATGTATAGGCGACGAAACGAAACGTGACGTCAATACGCACCAGTCACGATCGGCGGCTGCGACATCCTCTGAGTGGATGGCTTTATATGGGGAATTGGCACGGTGAGCAGCACGCCGGCGCTCGTGCCGATCCAAAGCAACTCGTTGCAAGCCAATAGCGCGGTGACCCTGAGACACGCGGCCTTGTGCTGCCGAATTATGTCATCGCAACCTGCAGCAAGTTTAACGCTTCCGTTAAAATAAGTGCCGGCCCACTTGCTCCTCGACGAGATCCTTTTTACTGACGCGATGGACGGCTCCGAAGTTTCGGATTAACGGCGAATTACGTATATTTGTGTAAAATTCCAAGACAATAATCCAATCAATCGCGAAGCCTAAAAATCAATCGAAATGACGCTGTTGCCATTTCAAATTCCGTTTCGCTCTTCAAATTGTTGATTTTAATCTTTGCCCCGCCCTCACAGGGCTGCGCACGATAAAATATCTCCAATTTTGCTGTTAATTCAACGCAAGGTGAGTATGTTGAAAAATAACATAATTATATTAACATGCATATTATATTAATCGACACTGAAGTAGAAAATGTGTTATTTTAAGACACGTTGAACATCAGCTCGTTATCAAAATGATATATTTGTAAAATATGGGACGATGAAAAAAACCGCGAGAACTGTTCGAGATTTGAGACTTACTGGCAAGCATCTTAGTGACGGCCGGCGCGATGTTAATGTCCGCCAGGCACTCGTAACTACCGGAATGAAAGAGCCTGAGTACCGCGCTGTTATGCAGAGAGATCCAGACGCCGGAGCCTCCGGAGTTCGCCATGCAAGAAACGGCGCGGCTCGTGTCGCTGCTCACGGCGAACATGTGCTCGATGTCCAACGAGTGAATGTTCAAGACCTTCACGCTGTTGTGGCAGCCGCACCAGATCTTCCCGGAGACGGACAGCATTTTCGTCACCGGCGACGCCGCCGTACCGACGGACACCGTCGTTGGATCCGGAGTGTTCCATCCACCGGCTACGAGAAGGGAATGAAGTAGAATAGAAATTCGAACGATATTATTGAGACGGTTGGATTTGATATTTCACCGGTAAAGAAATGCGAGGGTTATTTGACGACTTCGAAGTGAAGACATTTTTCTTCCATTGATGTGACTTATCTTTTTCAACATAGTCTGCTTTTAGCTCGATACATTTTGCCCGACGATATTTCAACTTTCTTTGAGCCTTCCGAAAAGTACGATTTCTCGAACTTTGCAAAATAGACGTTTGTATCAACTACGCCACCGTAGAGCATGGCCGTCGGGGAATGATTGAAAATTAAGCCGAAGTCATTTTGTTACATCAGCCGCGAGAGGCGGGATAATTCAATGTCGCAACTTACTGTGATCCCGAGCGTAAACCGTGATGTCTCCGTTGGCGAGAGAGACGAACACTTTGTTGTCCAGGTATCTGAAAGCGCGGATCGATATTACAAACTCTATTACGTGCACGAGTGTAATAAACGGGCGGCGGCTCTCACATGATGCAGTGCACGCCGCTGCCGTGTTGGATCTTCACTTTGTTCTTCTTGATCCGGATATTGTCGTTGCAGTTGTACACGTGGATGTAGCCGTCCTCGGTTCCCAGCCACATAGTGGGCTGATTGATGTCCTCCTCCGTCGCGGTATTGTCGGTGCTCGATACATCGCCGCACGGTGTCACGCTGCCCGTGTCCGCGCATGGAATGTCGTCCGAGTCCGACTCGTCGGAGCTCGAGCTACTGTAAAGCGCGCGGGACATCGAATAAAAACGGGATCAGTTTGAAGAGTTGGCGAGCCCGCTAGTGTGAGAGATACGTAATTACCAGATATCTCAATAAACGAGCCCTGTTTCGAAAAAAACCTCTTTGAAAATTAGCGAAGGAAACGTTCGTACGCGATAACTTTCCGCATCCCTTTCTACTTTTTCCTCGTCGTTGCTTATCTCGAGAGAGAAAAATTCGCGATTCGCCCATATCGTCATAGGTAGGTGCAGTTCAGATTAGGTCATCTCGGAATGAGACAGATTCGCTGAATCGTAAAAACATAGTTTGCGTCTGATGGTATCAGCAATATTCCCTTATCAAGAACCGCATTACCGTGACCTGCATTATCGATTATTTCTGTTCCTTTTGAGGTCGCATCGCCTTAATGTTCTATATTTGGTCTTTCGTTTGGCGATTCTTTACACCGGGTGTCCTCGGTTTAGCGACTATGTTCTGTCCAGTTGCGCTTGAGGAGAGGCGTTTTTAGCTCCCGGTGGAATCCGCCCCTCTCGAGAACGGTTTCTCGCAGCTTGGTCGAGCTTTAAGCATTCGGCCTGCCGTCGGTAAGGGAGACACGCTTCGCTCGAGACGGACGCCTTTTGAGACCCGAAGCTTGCGTCCGCTCTGTCGACACGAGGAACGACTCCAACGTCGTCCTCGACAGATTTAAATCTATGCCGCAAGTTTTCCGCGCATCAAATAAATTTGATCGGCTCGCCGAGCGAGGAGCCCGAGTATGCACCGGTCATTGTTAATTCGTTATTATCAATACGCCATATATGTCCGATTGTGAAGCACTCGACGAATCGCGGATTTGTTACCTGTCTAACTGTATGTTACCGCCGCTGGCATCCATGTCTTGCACCGATATGCTTATACCGCTCTTGCTGTTAATGAACGGGCTGTTGTTCGTCGTGCAGGAGCTCGAGCTGAAAAGGCACAACGTTCGCGTATCCTGTCCATCCTGACTCAATTTTCGTTCGAATCGTTCTGTCTCTTTTGATCGGAACTTACCCAGGCGTGCAAGCGGGTATCCCGGCGACGCAGAGTATCCTGGCGTTGCAGACTCCGTTGCACGAGGTGACCTGCGGCGGTTCCGGGCTCAGACTCAGCACGCATACTTGACCTACGTAGCCGTCACTGTTGCACACCCAAACGTCCCTCGTGCCCTGTCCGCTCGCCAATGTCGGCGCCGCGCAGGTGAACTGGAGGCCCGCTCGCGTCTTCCTGATCGGCAACGGCCCCACGAATTCTGGACACGGCCTTCGGTCGGCCGACAGTGCTACGAGCGAAAAGAATGGTGCTCGAAATATTCAAACAAACTCTCACGTACTGTAGCGTGACACGTTTAACGCTATAACTGGAGAAAATTACAATTTAAATGTGAAACGTACTTTTCTTCCGCGTACAGAGGGATCCTCCACTCTGAATCGTCGAGTGAATATTTCCCCTCGAAAGTGAAGAGCGAATCTGACGTATTTCACGGGAACAAATTCGCTCTAATCGACTGAAAGATTCGCTCATCGAGGGAATAAAGATCCACTCCAAGTTCGAGTGAAACATTCGCTCTCGCGATTCCCAGTGGCAGTGTTTTCACTATCGCCCCGAATGAAAATGCCGTCTTTCGTTTCGAGCGAGATTCTACTCCAAAAAATGTAGAGGGCGAATTAAAGCTCGTATGCGCGCTTTGTATGTGTTTCTTCGAAAGAAAGCTCTTCTATCGGAGAAACGAACGTCACATCTTTTTCTGAAATATCCTTTTTGAGACGCGAAACATTCCGAACGCTCGTCGAGAGAGCAACGTTACTCACCGAGCTTCTGCTTGGCTTCGTTGAAGCTCTCTTCCCAACTGGCACGCTTGTCAGGCTTCGTGAACATGACGGATATATTCTCGATCCCGGATCTGCAAACATCGTGAGTCACGTTGCGACCACGGTCGAAATATCGTCGAGATTTAAGTATCCACAGAACGGCGCGATCGGTATCAGGAACGTGATCGAGAATTCTTTACGACGAGATGTCGGAAGGATTTCTCTCGATGAGATAATTTCGCGGGAATGCTCTCTTCTCCGCTGTTAATTTTTCAAGGGACTAAATTTTCTCGCTACCGTGAATTTTTTTCATTTCTTTCGCGCCATTTTGTGCCTTCGCTTCGAATAAAGAACGCGCAGATTCGTTCGGTAAAAAAAATGTCGCTTCGCGTTGTCGCGTCTCAGGGTAAGAAACGAAGCCTAGCTGGTGATGAGAATCAAGACGATGTATTGTGGAAATTGATCCTAACTGGCCTGTTTGTTCACATGTCTAATTTGATTTCAGGAAGAAAGAGGAATTCGCACACACACACACACTTACTGAGTATTGAGCGTGAGTTCCAGGCAGGCCAATTGTGAATCCGCCGCATTCCTCTCCGCCAATTGCCGCTGGGCTTGACCCAGCATATCCTTGATAAGTTCTTCCAATTGCTGCTTCGGACCATGCAGAGTCGCCGCGACTTCCTGAAGATTAGTCAACGTCAAGCAGTTTTCTCGCAGATGGTCCACTTCGCGCGCCATTCGCCTTAAATTCTCATCTTTGGCTGAAAACGGATGCCGGAATAGTTTCACGAGTTCGATTGCAGTAGTAAGTGAATTCGTGAGATCGACGTGTCTCTCGATATACATTACCTTTCATCACTTCGAGATCGTCCAGTGGTATCCGCATCAGCATTTTGTACTTGTTCGCTTCAAGCAGGCCGACCAGACTGCTCGGGCATGAGCTCCTGCGTGTATAGTAAAATGTATGCTATAGTGTGAGAATAAATATATCAAGGGTAGTACTATTCGACGTATTAGAAGCTTCGAAGAGCCGAAGCTTTGATTCTAATTTTTAGCCTTGATAAATATTCTCTTATTATAGTTAATGTATTGCAATAAGATAATACTGTAGTAAAATTAGCATTATAATATATTATAGAGAGAAAAAATGAAAGAATAAATATTATAATATATTATAATATATTATAGAAAGAGAGAGAATATATATATATATATATATATATATCTTTAATTATAATGTATTATTATCAGTCTCATTCCTCCCTCGGTTAGTAAATTCCTCTTATTAAATTTCCAAAGAAAACATGCTAAATTTAAAGACATGAATGAAAGAAGACGCGTCTATCGTCGCGTATAAAACACTTTTTGCGATTCTCTAAGTTTTCAAAGCGCAGAAATACACTTGAATTTCCACGCGCAATACGTTCCACGGCGAGGCACTCACGTTGACGGTTTCCTTATCGTGCCGCTCCTGCGTTTGATGCTGGTGATGACGAGGAGATCGGAGAACAGAAATAAAGCCCGCTCCTTCCGCGTGCCCTGATTCGACGCTATGGTGACCAGATCGTGCCGGACGAAAGCTCTGAAAACGCGGAGAAAAAGTGTCACACAATTCGATGGATCTTTTTGTCGCGTGTCGCGGCCAGTTTCCACCACAGCACGCATCATTATCGGTAATCGATACCCCGATTCTGACGGCTAAATAAGTCCGGCGGAAAAACGATGTAACGCGTACGCCACGATTGGCACAGATTGAAAGGCGCGTGAAGTGGGACGACGTTCCTGTCACAGCAATGCCCGACAATTTATTGGAAAATCACACTCGGCGCAAGACAGTCTGCATTTCCCACGGTCGTCTGTGCCTCTGAAGATTGATTCGAACGACACTCGAAGAAACCAAACGTGAAGAAAATAACGACGCGCTTCGTCGGTATAATTTTGCGAAAATTCGATGGTTAAATTACAAGGGAATTATCGTATGCGATAACACGTCAGTTTTCTTTTTTCATTTTAATCATCATTATCTAACATGGTCGCCATATTACGATTGTTATTCCATTCGTTACAAAATGAACGCGTACAAAATACATTTTCTTAGGCAAATCAGTTTTCTTAAGGGTGAACCATTGCTTACTTACTTCACATAATTACGACTCGATTTTTAAGTCTTAAGAATTGTTATCTCTTAAAGATGCAATTCCCGTAAATAAATGGAACGAATTGAAGTGAAAATAAATCGTTATTGATCGTATATGAAATACCGATATTTATGTTTAATAAATATTTAAAAAAGCGTCAGGAATGTGAAGATCACGCGAGTAGGATTTTTCGATTCTGTAAAATAAGCCCACGAATTAATCACAGACCGCGCGAAAAGCTTCCACTTCTCTCTTTCCCCGCATCCGAATTTCTACATTTCCCGTCGACGAGCTCGCGAAAGTGAGAAACGATAGCGAGTGTTTTCCCCGTCGCGATAAATTGCCATGTGCGCGTTTTGCTCGTGGTCGGCGCGTATTATCGGAGGATATTAAGCTGAAAAATGATCGTAAATCGCGGCCGGTGTATCGATCGTAAATTCGGTGCCAGCTGCCGTTGGGGGAAAACAAAGCCGGATCGAACGTATTCGGCTTGCTCTGTCGGAAACGTCGATTCGCCTGTCGTCGCCGATGGCGGTGCACGATACTTTTGCGTGGGCATGTCGATTCGTCTTTGATGTATCTCAGTTCATCGCAGGCTGCGCAAATTCAACGAGGATCACGCCTTTGTTACTCGCGTCATAACTGTGATCGGTGACAAAAGGCAAATGTTCCGTCCGATTACATATAAGCGATTTCTTCCGCGTCGAGCGATTCGACGAAAGTAAAAGCGGATCAATTTCAACGCGCCCCCTCGCATCCGTAAATCGGAAAATCAGGGAATACCCATTGAATTAGTTATTATTATGGAAATAATTATTATAAAATTGTCATGAGAGTCAGTCGAAAAATTCGATTCGGTTTTCCGTCTTCTTTGATGGTCAACCGATCTTGTAGAAAAAAAAAAAAAATGCTTGTTTAAATATTCGCGGAGGACCGCAGGCTAGTATTCATGTTCGGATGTTATATTGAAGATCGTCTCAAGTTCATCCTCAGATGCTGTACGGCTCATTTTATCGGCTACAAAGCATCCGAAGATGAATTTAAAACGGTCTTAAAATATAAGATCTGGGCAGACAACAACAACAACAACAACCATCACTTGGTCGACGAATGATTTTCCATCGAGGTGCAATGAGGTGAAACGTCCGAATAGAAAAGCTAACTGAATATTTTGGCTAACTCGATATAGTCGCCTGTATAGGCGATGACTGCCGTTACCTGTCATTCGTTACGATGCCGGCGAGACCTTCGACGAGGGCCTGAACCTCCTTCAACGTGGTCTGCTGCTGTTCCCACTCGAGCGATTCCCTTTCCGTGCAGTTGATCTTCACGACCAGCTCGTGCACCTCTTTCTGCGCGGCTTGCAGCAGCTCGTAATCGGGATGCGTCGGGTCCGTGTGCTTCAGCAGCCTCTGGATCAGCAGCTCGTACCGCGGGATTTTTTGTACAGGCTTGATCAGCAACTGGTCTAAACCTAACTTGCCCTTGTGCTCGCGCTCCATCGTCTAAACGTGACAACAGATGCTATGATTCGTCCCGTCGAAAGTTTTTTTTTTTTATAATTATTCATGTTAATTACACTCCGTATAATTTTGTAATCTTCAGCGTCGGCTCGGGTATATAACTCGGGTTTCCAAGCGATAACGATTGCATCTCTATTATATTTGTATTATTATTAATTAATATATTATTATTAATATATCGTAACATTGCAATCGTGATTATTAATTTTTAATTTTTCATTATTAACTTTCGCAGCCTGTGGTAATTTTTCGAAAATATAATTCTCGAAAAAATGTATTATTATTGATTTAACGTTATTAACGTGACTCGACGTAAAAATACTTCTCTTCACTCATGTATATCGTATATCTCTGGACGAGCGTGCGTATAGTATAAATATTATTAAGTTATTACGTCGAACCTAAGAAGAGTCAACTGAGGGGGAGCCTCGGATACTCGTGCGTGCGTCGTTGTAAGTTTAGCATAACGCGTTATTAGTTCAACGATAATTTACAAGGACAATATGTTAAGTGCACTTTGGCGCGTTCATAGTGGTTTATACTTCGCATTCCGAGGCGCAGGTCGCCGAGTGTGTCGAGGATCTTCGGGTCTTAGGGGAGAGTCTGAGTAGTAAGTAGGCGACTGCGACGCCGGCAATCAAGTAACGAGTTAATTATATCGATAAAATTGCGAAAGGTCAGGTTTGACCGCGGCGCTTTAAGAAGCGACGCGGAATAAAAAAGTTTCGTATTTAATAATAACCCTCACGTTGTAACGAGAAAGAAAGAGAGAAAGAGGGAGAGAGTGTGTGTACGAGAGAGTGGAGGGGGAAGAAAGAGAGAGAGAGAGAGAGAGAGTAGCAGCGGATAGAGAAAGAGAGCGTGGTAACCTACCTCGAGAAATCGTGCAAAGGCGGGCTTCGCCTGGCATGTTGTTTTTATCGCCTTCCTCGCCGACTTCCAATTGTCCAAGAACAGGGTGTACGTCTCCAGCACCAGCGGCTTCGTGAACTGCAAAGTAGCGCGGATTCTTTGTGCTTTGTGCATCGTGCTTTGTGCCACGTGCTGTGCTACGTGCCGGCAAAAATGTGCGCACCGTACGAAACACTATTCACCAAGTGAGCATCCCTAGTAGCACATGTTCATGCTGAACCAATGTAACTTCAACATTGGCCAATGAAATGTGCTACCAGGGGTGTTGTTTCGGAAAAGGGCTCGGTTATTACTCAACCGGTCCTTAATAAATCAGTATTTAGTCGAGGAGGAGGGAAGGGGAGAGGGGCATAAGGAAAATCTCGTTCAAACAAAGTCCGGGCTTGCGACACACGATGTAATCTCGTCGAAGGTTTACTCGAACAATGCGAGCGCAAATATCGACAGGCCGAGCTTCTTTCAGAGACGACGCTCGGAGGCGCGCGACTCGCGCGAGTGGCGGAAACTCGCGCGTGCGAAGGAGAAAAGAAAAGAAAAAAAAAAGAAAAGAAAAAAAAAGAAAAGACAGGGGACGAGCTCTCGCAAGCTACGCAAAGTCAACGTCGCCGGAAATTTATAGCGATCGCTAATATATCGCGGCGCGAATTCCAGCGGGCCAGAATTGATTTCGGCGTCGTGTCGTTCGTCTCGTCGCCGCGGATTCGCTTTTTTAAGAGAAAGATCCTGAAATACCGTCGCTCCGCGAAATTAACACCGGCCCGCGGATTCATCCGTTAGATAATGCTCACGCGAGTGGCGAAAAATATGGCGAGCGAATAAATGTATTTCAAGGGCTAAAAATATGCCGCGCTTATGCAAGAAAGCGGCGACGACGGTGATGGTATGCGGTCGCGACGACGGCCGATTTGTTAACGCGGATTACCTACCGAATGGAAAATAAAGCGGCGCGAATTAACGTTACGGGGTCTGTCGGTCGGTCGGCGTCTGGGAATCTTAACGGCGCGCGCGGCAGACACCGACACCGGTGCGCGAATAATATATCGCGTGTCCGGCCGCGGATATCTGCGCACCTAGTAACAATGTAAACTCACCACGTCGAGGAAGACGTCGCCGATCGTCTGCCTGGGTTCCCAGGTGTCGAGTCGCCTACGTAGCTCCTCCAAGAATACCTCGTGATGGCCGAGGATCGCAGGGATCTAAAAAATGCGTGAGCATTTTCCTTCGGCAACTTCATCTCTGATCGATCGACGATACTTCGTGTGTGTGTGTGTGTGTGTGTGTGTATGATACCGACGGCAACGATGATGAGTGAGATACCGCGACGAAATATCGCGCCGGAGAAATTCACGGCGAAAGTACGCGCTGGGAAAGAGAGTTGTGCTCTCCGGGCTTAACGCGCGCGGAGAACGCGCCACGAGGATTAACTCACACGAGTTTATTATTATTCGTCGCCGCGAGTTCACCGGTGGTATATTCTAAAAAAAAAAAAAAACGAGAGAGAGAGGAAGGATACGAGAGAAAAAAATGAAAAGCTAGGCGACGTAAACATTATATGTGCGAACGTGTTACATCATCACGCGATGAATGGCAAAGGTGAGACGCGCAGGAGCGTGCTCTCGTGTTGCCACCCGCGAGATGGTTAATTCCGTTAATAATCCTTCCGCGCGAGAGGGAGAGAGAGAGAGAGAGAGCGCGTGACATATAATACATTAACAGCACGCAAATTTGCAGCTTGAGTCTCTACTGATATTCGACGGGAACGAAATGTCAATCCGATTAAATGTCGGTCGAAATCGAACCATCGTCGAGCGGCCGTTCGTTGCTTCCCGACACGGTTGCGTCAACTAATGCTAATTAACAATCAGCGGCTCGCTAATTAATCGCTGTCTCGACCGCGTTTTAAGGGATTTGAGCGAAGCCTCGTTGAGGGACTGTAAACGCCCGAGAGGCTCGAGAAACGGCCGATATTTGAATTTTTCCGCCGACCACATCATTGACTTTATGAATATGTCCTTTGGAGAGATGATTTTTCACACTTTTATTTGCATGTTACACGAAGCCCGTCGCATAAATGATACGTTACGCTGTTATAAACGCCGTTTCGGTACAGCTCGTCGTCGTTAATCGGTGCCCGAGATATCTCGGTAACTATTCGACCGATTTAGCTGTAGTTTTGCATAGATATTCTTAATATGATAGATTATCTAGTTTTTGTCATAGGACTTTTTGATATCTATTGTAATTGTTTTTATAGACGAAAAGGGAAGATATTTTTAGCGAAAAATCGAACTTTTGGCTTCGAATGTTAATTACTTTATCAAAAATTAATATTTTAAATTAATATTTTAAAAGTTGGCCGCGACAAAGACTAGTTTTGCTTATTGACTTTAACAGGTTTATTTGTTTCAGATAAATGGTATGATTTTTTGGACACCGAAAATGCCGATTAACGACGTCAAACGTTCACGGAAGTAATAATAGCGTTACATAACAACTTTTTGTGATGGGCTTTATATGTAATATGGAATAATATGTAAATAAAAGTAAGAAGAATTACCTCTCGAAAGGATATTTTCATAAAGTCAATAAAGTGTTCAGCAGAAAAATTCAAACATCGAGGGTTTCTCGAGCTGCTCAGCCCCTTAAGGGATAAAGATTTTCTTCGTGTCCGCCTCGACATCGCGCTGAACGAGGTGGATCGATTTCGCCGCCTGCGATCTCTCGATCTCGAGGGTCTCCCGGCCGGAAGATCGCTGTAAAGCCCGCTTTTCCCTCGACTTACGCAACTCGGCGCTCCATTTAAAATATAACCTCCGCGAGCAGCGTGGAGGAAGCGGGAGGGCGCGACTTTCCGGATGTTGAATTACAACCCGTCGCCGTAGCGACAGATGGATTTACGAGAGCAGCGCGGAAATAATAAGTGTACCGTGCCGCTCGCACGGACGAAAGTAGCGAAGACAAGGCCCGGGCGCGTGTGAGATACCGCCTGTGCGATACTTACCTGATAAAATATCTCGTCGACCGTTCCGGAATCCACCAGACCGGCATTCTCGGGGCTCTTCAGGGGCTGCAGGTATTTCTGGAACGCATACCGAGACACCGAGTTCACAATATTTTCCAAACGTTGCGGTGGCCTTTCTACTTGTGGTGCTTCACCTATCTACCCGTCTCAGCCGCGAAACGAAAGAAATGTACTAACCGAACCGACATAATTCATCGGCGAAGATTTATATATTTTAAATGAGAAATAGCTTTCCGTATATCCAATTTAATCATAAAACGGCGGATATTTTTTTTCAATCTCGCGTTTGTTTAATTAATTATTTATTAACGGGACTAGAGCGCCCTGGTATACAAAGAAGAGCGGACGTAAGATGTCATTGAGTGATTAATTACATTATTATGCTAATCAGGCCAAAGGTCGCATACATAAGATTGGGAGATGTATGCAATACACGAATGTATTTTTATCCGTCAACCGAGATTGCAAGAAGAAACAATTTTTCTTTGCGTTGTTTGTAATCAAAGAGAGACGAAAATTACTAGACGCTACGGATAGATTTAAGATAGCGCGGAGTATCGTATTTTCAACGGCGCATCAAGGAGGCCACTCATTATTTAATATTTACCAAGTAAAATTACGTTTCCACACGTTTATTTCACTACCTAAACAACTAAAAAAAATATTAATTTAAACCGAAAATGTCAAGGAAGACGTGTATGCGAATATTACAAATATTTCAAGTACGAAAATATCATTACTTATTTTTTTTCTTATCAATGTCATTTGTATGCATTAGTTGAGCTAATAGAGATGCACAGAGGTGTATAAATGTTTAAATATGTGCATATGTATATACATTTCGAGCGTTACTATAAGATATGAACTTTACACTATTATATTTTCAAAACAAAATAGTCGATAAATCTGAAATTTTTATACAGTGCCTCTATATTAGTCTTCAATATGACGGTAGCTATTCATTAAAATTTTTAACGAGATTTAGAAGAAATTAAAAATAGAAGTTAAAAATAAGACATTAACTTCCAGAAACACATGTGAAAAATATCACCTTCCGTTGCAAATGTCTTAGTTTTCGAACGGTCAATCATTTTCTGATCGCACCGATAATCAGGTCACGTTTAAATCTTTATATGGTGCAAATTTCGACAAATTCTTAAAAAAAAAACACACATTTTATGTTGCTGCTATCTTAAGGAGCGGTGTAAACACGGCGGGCTCTCGGCTCGCTTCCTTGTCCTTCGAGGACGCGAAGGCGACCCCGAGAGAGCTTGAACGCTAGAATTTCAATGCCGAGTGCCGATAGATGAATTAAGTTCAATTAACGTCGGATACTCGGTAATCGAACGCGACGAGAAATATGCTCCCAAGCGCCGTTTATTTGCCCGACTCCCTTCCCATTATTTTTCTGGGTCACGTCGGCGACGTGAAAAATCCGCGGGGGCGGAAGAGGGCCCCGTTCATTCCATTGGCGAGTCCAAGGCCACCGTTAAATAATCGGCAAACGTGCCGACAAGGGTTCCCGTTGTGCGGCAGCGACGTTGTTTATAAAATATGACAATCAAGCGGCCATGCGCGCCATTACCTAAGCGACGCTGAGATTCCGCGGGCGTTGCGCTGGTTAAAAATCGTCTCGGCCGGCCCGAAGGAACCGGCACGTCCTATTTTGGAAGCGTGTAAACGACGGGATGTCTGTTATTTAACCCCGCGACGCGACCAAAACTATTCGTTTTCCTAACGCGACCTACCCGGAAACACACCGTTCGTGGGAAACAATTAAGTTTGCGCCTATGTCGCGCGAAATTGCGGTTTCACTTGCACGAAAAAGAGCGCTGTTACGTCAGTAGAGTCGGCCAATAACGCCGGAATTGGAGTAAATTTTCCCCGATTCAACAGCAATATTATCGATAATAATAAAGGAGAAAGTGATATTGTGCCCTTTGCGGGTTATAATAGCCACCTTTTCATATTTCCGCTATTAGGTGGCGAATTCTAGTGATTATTTGTTAAATCATTTGTTTAACAGCGCGCCGTTACGTGGTAACGTTAATTATGCCAATACATAACATTTATTATAGTGTATTTTTAACTTGGAGCATTTCAAAAGCATTCGGAGCGTTTCCAAGGCACATTTTAGCATTCAATTGATTACATTTCCATAGTTTCTCATTCCTTTTAAACTTGGGCGTATCACGCGAATATACGGTACACGTGAATGTTTTGTCCATTATTTAACATTTTATTTCGCTCTGCGTGGCAAATTGTGCGAAATTCAACAATAGCATGACATTTTGCTAACGTGCAATTTGTGCCTTCCATTAAAACGGATTTAAAATAATTTCCGAGATTTTCATATCGAAGTGTCGTTAATGGCACAAAGGCTTGTACGCAATCATTTAAACGGTGGGTATCTGGCATGTGAAATTTTTGTGCGGCAAGGTGCCAAATATTTTGTAATTTTGAGTTCTTTCAGGGCTAATTGAACAATATTTTGGCAAATGCATAATTTGAAATATTGATCGTTAACAAAGTTATTGCGCAAAATGGCGGTCCATAATATCACCTTCTCCTCTGCATCGTATTGCACTTAATACAACATGATGTACGCGTGTATCATACATGATATCGCTATTGAATCAGGAAGGTTTACTCCAATTACGGCGCTGTTGACCAAGTCTATTGACGCAACGGCATTTTTTCCGCGTATCATCGTCCCTGGAAGCTATTATTCTCGAAGCTACGGCGAAAGATTTCTTTTATATTCGTCATGTGTCTGTCACGTTGAAAAAATGTTGTTTCACACGTGTTGAAGCTCGCGGTATACGATTATTTTATCGTGCCTACTGATAATTGACCAAACAAGAGGAGTACTCGAATCGGACGGATCGATCAATGGAGTAGCATCAATTTTCCGACAGCGTTATTACGCGCATTACCGTAATTGTTTAATTCCACGGTTACTTCGCACTGCGAGACAGGCGGCGATGTAATTGGCACGCGTAGTTTGCGTAATTATTTTAAGCAAAGATTGGTCTCGTCATCAGTCCGATGCTCTTATCAAAGCGCCAACTGCAGTCTGCGCAATATCACGCAGGCATGTTGCACGTTAATGTGATCCGCGTCTCGTCTCGTCTCACACATGTTTGAATACCGTCCACGAGCGATTCCAGAGTGTTTGAAACTGCCTTTCATTTTCTTCAGTTATATATTTCGCTAATTATCGAGAAACAAACAAGGTTCGGAAAAGAACCTTGCGGCAGAAATATCAAAATCTCCCTTCGTACGCTTTCGACAAATTAAGCAAAATTTAATTCAAATTAACATTATGATAGATTTAATCAGTCCGATCAATTTAAATTTCATTAAACGTGAATTGATATTGTAACAAAGTACCTATAATTTTATGTGGATTGAGATAAATGTAAGCACAAATATAGACATACGTGCAAATTATACGTACACGCGCACACATATTGCAAATCCAAAGCGTATAATTTTATATATTTATATATGTGAAATAATGCAGCCACTTTTTACTCAAATGAAATACTCGTGTTATCACTGCGATTTTACACACATAAGTATGTAAAAATCATAACAGTAGCATGCTTACAAATACATAAAAAGTGACTTCATAATTTTACACACATAAGTGTGTGAAATTATACACTACGAGTTGACAGTGCGTGATCACAATTGCAAAAGTCGCTTAAATCAGAGGAAGTAAAAATTATAGTTTTCGCATCGCCACGATGAGAGATTCGTCACTCTATTCTTACATTTCCATCTACCTTCTTTTTCATGTGCCCCGATGCAAATTGCAAATTACTAGATTTCAAAAGTCCTCAGACGCGGGGATTTTTGCAGATGTATTTTTAACTTTTAATCTTAACAAAGTTAAGGTTAAAAGGGACACATGGAAGGGAGTGGGCAGGCGGCGGCTGGAACGTGGACTGGAAAATTCCGCGTGAGAAGTGCACGTGACAGAAATCGGATTTAGCCGGATAATGTCATTATTGTTTCGCGATAGCGACGCGACGCCTTGACACGCGTATTTGCAAAGTCGCCTTGCGCATCGCCGAGTAATCAACTTAGACGAAACATCCTTCGGCAAATATTAGAAGCATTTTGTGCCGTTTAACAAAATATTCGCGACGAAGGACGCAGAACGCGCGTGGAAATCAAATTTCACAATATGACCTTCGGGGGTGGCCGTGCGCACAATCGAGTCGGACGTTGCGTATTTAACGCGCCACCTTGACACGCGCTGTCCAACAGACGCTTTCCTAAGAATTCGTGGAATTCAAGCTATTTACAAATCGCGTTCCTTCATTTAAGGTATCACGAATGAACCTCCTCAGTCGAGTGTAGTAGCCTTTCGCTTGATTGGAAACAATAAGAAGAATTCGTTCATCAATTTCAACATGTTAAAATTTTCTTCAAACGGGAATACCGAAGAGACATAGTGATATGCGGCGGAGTTTTCACGACGAGGTAATTTTTATTATTTTAACTGTTTTAACAAATCGGTTGATTTTTTAATTAAATTCTCTTATGTTGATCAAGTTGTATGTAACGTTAATAAAACCAAATATTTATGAATCCTCTCCATGATTTTTGTTCCACCCAACAAACATCCTTTATTTAGACGCGATAGCCGGGACTTTCATTATTTGTAAATAACTACTCGATCGTTCGTTGATACGATTGTGCAAGTGCGAAAACAGACGGATTTTCGTAACTAATTCAGCACGGATCGCACCTATTTTCGGTATTTAACGAGAAGTGATTACACGGAGGAAGAGAGAAAGGGAGAGAAGTCGGGGGTGGTGATTTTATGAAAACAACGGGACGCGGAGACGGCGTGCTCGAGTATAACGAGCAACAGTTTGCGGAGTAGCTCGCTCGAGCGGAACTGTTGTTCGATCGAAGCGAATAAACGGGCGGGGGTGTTTGTTTACAAGATGCAAGGACGAATCGCAGTTCCGACATGCATCAGTGCAACGCCATTTCTTACGACGCTGCAACGCAATGCGGAAGGCCCGCAATCGATGCCACTTTCACGACTTACAGTCGGTTCCACTTCGAAATATCATTTTGAGTAAAATTAAATAACACTCCTGATCTCTTTCCCAATACTTTTCACCGATATTCTTTAGATCGAAACTCTTCAAGCTCGGGTTCTAAAATTTGAGCTTGAAAGGAAGCTATTTTCGAGATTTAAATTAAAGTAATGGTAGTTCTGAGAGCCGTATTTTTAGCAGTGCATCAAGAGGATCACCGGTGAATTTAGTATTTGTCAAGTGAAATTACGTTTCTGCATATTTATTTCACTACCTAAATAATAAATGTTAATTTGAAACGAAGTCGAAGTAGACATATACACGATATTACAAATAAGAAAAGATTATTAATTTTTCTTATTAATATTATTTTTATACATTAGTTAATTTAATAGAGATGCACAGATAACAGAAAGAGGTATATAAGTGTTTAAATATGTATATATATTTCGAGTATCACTATAAATTATGAACTTGACACCGTTGCATTTTCCAAAATGATAAATAATTCAGAAATTTTTGTAAGACTCATTTTACGCTACCGCAACCTTAAATCAAAATCGCATACGAAAGAAAATGAACGGATACGACGTGCATTTCGGTAACGCGTGAAATATAATAAAAAAAAAAAAAAGAAAAAATAGGAAATAATACTTCTTCGGGAAATATTCGGTCTTTTCGTGTACTCACATTGACTAGTATTTGTAGCGCCTCCACGTAAGAGCGTTCCGTGTCATAGAGCTCCACAACCACGTGGGTCCTCGTGTCCTGCAACGCAGAAAAGACGATAGTTGTATTTGTTAAACGACGTTGAAGAGAAAGATGACCACCCGACGACGGGGGGACGAGAGAGATGGAGAGAAAGAGCGCGGAGGCTAAACCCAATTGTCGGTCGATTATCGCATCGCCTCGTGATGAAGATCGCACGTGCACGATCACGAAAGGCGTGTACACGTGTGATGCTTCACGTGCGTGGTACATGACGTGCTTGATTATAGTCGTTACGCAACGCGGACGACGAGGTGTTACCCCCAGGTGAGCATCGCGGATGCAATCGCGGAAGGATAATGGGCACAATGCGTCGCCGTCGAGATGCACGCCGGCGTTGGCGTCGGAGATGCCGATTAAAGGCGTAGTACTTTAATCCTCGACTAATATGCAGTCTAATGGACTGCGCGGCGTATCAACTCGGGATCTACCCGTGGAACTTCCGCTATCGCGCCTTTCATATTATCCCAGCGATCTCTCGATGATAGATCTCTTCCTCTCAGCTGTACCTTCGTGTCTCCTTCTTTCCCGCGCTCTTTGCACCGTCTCCTCTCGATTCGTCGGAATATTCACCGGGCGGTTCGCTTCATTTCAGTGCGAAGTAAAAGTACGGGGCGATAAAGAGCAGATGAACGAGGGTATTTCGAAGGGGAGGAAGCGAGAGAAAAAGAATCTGACTCGTCTGATTGACTATTTAAATTCGACATCATCGATTATTCTGAAAATACTTCCTTCTTACCAGTGCTCCTCGCATCGTTCTTTCGATTCGTCCGAATATACTCTGAATGGTCTGTATTTTCGTTTCGATGATGTACAGATATCGCGCGATGAGGAGTTAACGTACAACAATACGTATTTCCACCAAAAATGTGCTTCGCTTTCAGTAATAATAAAAGAAGAATGCCGAATTAAAAGGAGAAGAGAGCGAGCGAGAAGGGGAGCCTGACTTATCTAACTGAAACTTCTACACCACTGATTATTCTAGAAATACTTTTGCTATTTGGTACGTCAGTGGGGCTTACTCAGCGTTCACTCGGGGCGTGCGGAATGTTTTTCGCATGCAAAATTAGCCCTGCCTACTCTATATAAACATCAAAAACGAGAACTACCCACGCGTTCGGAAGTGACGCGCTCGTTATTTTCGCTGTCCACCGACGGCTGACTGATGAGCTTGCGATCGGCGTTCATTGTCATCCTCCGTAGGCCACCCTTGTCGATTATCGTGGACAGCCTTCCACTCGTACAACAGTTCCAGCGATCTCGCGTCTTGTCCGCGAAATCAAACCGCGCAAACCGGGACGAAACGCGATGTCCCGACGAGATCTTCCGATCGCGCTTAGAAACCCGTTTCTGCGCAAGGGCGGAAACGGCGATACGAAACGCGATACGGTCCGAGCTTCCGTGCCGAAAGTTCCGAACGCTTTTATTCTCTTCCCACGAGCTTCATGCCGGCCGCGCCACGCAAACTGTATCGGGGAGAATAACAATTATATAATGCAGTCTTCGTCACAGCTCGCGCGTTTCGAGGAACGGAGGTTTAAAAAACGAAAGGGAGGACCGTGCGAGTATCGATCGTCGCGGGAGAGCCATTGACAAAATTCCTATTGCCTTATTCGCAATATGAGATTTCCGAGACAGTGAGTAAATTCCGCGGAAGTTTTTCAGCGGTGCTTAGTTTCCGGAGGGGGAGGGGTTTCTAAAGACACGAGTCTTTACCGAGAATCTACATTGTCACGAGATACGGCAAGCCTCGCTTCGAAACTTCCTCCATTTCTCACGAGCCGGATCATTTCCGACGATACACCTCCGGTTTATCGACGGGCAATCAAGGAGCGCTCGGGGAATTCAAAGGAGGGACACGATCATCGAGGACGACGAATCGACATTGAATCGTCGCGATCGGCGGGAAGTTACGTAAGTTCCGGCTCGAATGGAAAAGTTCCGGCTCGAATGGAAAAGTTGCGGACGACTGGCTCGTATTGTGAAACCGGCGCACGTATCGTCTCGGGAGGGGGGGGGGAGGGGGAGAAAAAGAGCCGTGTCGTCTCTCTCGACGTGTCTGTACGCCTACTCGGCTCGCTCGGACAGCGCCTCTTTAAAAGCTCACGGTTTGCACGGTTGCGGAGGAGGCCTCTCGCGAAGCATCGCGCATCGAACCGGTCGGCCGCCCGTTATATTTAGCGCCGTGACTAAAGGCCCCCGCGGTGCGGAGCTTGCAAGCTCATCCGCAGCGCTCTCTCTTTTTCGCGCTCCTCTCCGGCCTTTCCACGTTTCATCGAGTCGCGCCCGATTACGAGCAAACGAGGGTGCGATCGATCGATCGATCTATCGCGTCACGCTGTGCGAGCGCTTAATTACGCAAGCCTCCGCTTAATTAACCGCGGAGTTATATCACAAACGCTTCCCGCTTATCCGGCACCTGAGCGGTCTTAGTTGTCGGGAGTTTCATAATCTCGCGGGGCTAGCGCGCGGTGTATCGCCGAGAACGCCGAGATCAGAAAGGTGAGAGAGTGCGCGAGTCCGAATCCGGGCCACGTCTGAATACATTGAGATTCTTTCGAATTTAATCAATTTTATCGCATCCAAAGGAACGCCATCATTGGCACACTCCGAGGAAACGAATGTTTCGATCAATAAGTACGATTATTAGACTCTTCAAGGAATATGTACGCTGAGAAAAAAAATTCCCATTGAATAAAACGATTAAACGATGTACCCGATTGTTATTTTTATTGTCCGATCAAGTATCCGATGAAATCTAATCGGAAGATTAGACACTTTTCGTAGTACAACCGTTGTAATTTTCATCGGATACTTGATCGGACATTTTTCTCGGTGTATCTTTATCTTAAATAAAAAAGTTGTTTCTGCGAAACGAAAGATAATTTTCTTGTAAAGAAATTATTTCTTACATTTTACATATTTATCGTAAATAATATTTTATTTGGTTGAAAGATATTATTTCAAATAATAGCGTGCTTTCTGTTAAATAATCAGGTTTTCTTGAATGAAATTTTTGACTCGAGTCAAATAAACATTATTTAATCCAAATAAAAATTTGCTAAGGAACATCGGAGTAATTATTCACTCGAATCTGTCACTTTTTTTCTGCGCAGCATTTCCTGTAATTGACCTCGCCGTATCGCTTTTCTGGCTTCCTGGCGTTACCGTCAATACGATTTATTTTGCGGCGGGATACGTGTCACTGACCAGTTCGCGGAAGAAAAATCCGATTATCGCGCTCGATTATCTGGCCGATCGCATTCGCGATCCAATACAGTTGACTTCGTTTCTATCACAACTGTGATTCGATTTGGTAAGTCGATACTCTATTATGCGAGCGCTTAGTTTTGCCGCGTGTGTACGCGACAGACGAGTAAACGTTGCACCCCAGACAAAACCGTGTCCTCGAAGTCTGTTGAATAACTTCTCCGCGGCCGGTGCGCGTTACGGAAACTGAAATCCGACACAGTCCCGCCGACTTTTATTTTCTAATTCTAAATCTACGATCCAATTAAACAGAATATCTCGTTGGTGGTTATTGTTCGCAGCAAAGTAAACGCGCTCCACTCACTTCCACTCGCCTTGCTGTTGTGACACTTGTTGTACCGGCTGTCACGCGGAAAATTATTACCGTTGACTATAATAAGAAACGTGTGACTTCATTTTAAGCGGGGCGTACAATTTAAGGCGTAACTTAACGCGCGAGGACTTGAGAAGATTTGAGAAATTGATCAATAATAATTGATCTTTCTTCTATAATTCGACTATGATTGGTCGATTTCTCAAGTCTTACGTCGTAAATTCTCGTAGTAGACCCCGCTCGTGAGTGACACAGAGCCACGTAAAAGGAGCGACGAATCCCGGCGCGACTCGTTCGCGAACTTCCGAATAGAATCGACGAGACAAGGTCAGGAAGAGGAGGTGGCTCTCTCACGACGCGGCCCCGACACCGAGGAGAGGAAACGCACGTTTCCTGATACGTGGAACGTGTCGAGAGAGAGAAGCCAGGTGGTTCCGACATTTCGACGCCTTTTGGCCGCGATTCTTCGACGTGTTCTTGTGAAAGCGTGTGTTTTGAAAAATTGTGATCGAATGAAACAGTGTCTGAACATGAAAGTACATCAGAGACAAATTAGAGGCTATTGGAAAGGTCAAAATGCATAATAATATATATGGCGAAGCCTCATAATTTCAGTGAGCACTCGAATTTGATAGGCGGTTGTAAGATTCACTATTGTATATTAGAGAGGCCTTGCAACTTCTTCAGACGGAAATTTCATTTTCACAAAGTTATAAGAGCCGAAAGACGTCGAGTCTCGAGGTTATCGTGAAAAAAAAAAAAGAAAAAGAGAAAAAGAACGATCGGTGAATTACCACGGAAATCTAGTGAGAGAACGAGTCGGGATCATCCGGGACTAACAAGACGCGCGCCGAGTCGTCAACAACCTGAACCGCTCGTCGAGACGAGTTAAAAGACTCCGCCAGGCGTAGTAATTACAGGTAGTTCTTATTTACAACGACTCATTGTCGCCACGGGGGTGCCGGGTAAACAACACAAGGCGGCTCCGCTCGTCGGCACGAGGCACGAATAAAATTACAACCTGTTACACTCCGACGGCGGGGGCGTCGCGACGCCTCCGTAATTGCGGCCGGCCGCTCTGATTCTCCGATTCTCGTTGTTGTCGGAGAAAAAGAATCGGAGCGGAACGGCACCTAGACCTTGTTTGAAAACCGCTCCCCCGTGTATATACACATGCTGGCGTTTCGCTTATTTCAGCCACGCGGTTATCGAAAAACAAACCGATGGCGGGAGATGATATAACGCCGCGCAAGCAAATGGAGAGAGAGTGATATAATGCAAGGCGATCGCACCGCCGCCGATCGCGGGATCGATATCCGAGTGCGTGCTGGCCGCGTTTCACAACAGACGAATCGCCAACACGAACCGCGATCCTCTTTATTTTTCCTCCCCGTAAAGTTGCTCTTTATTGCCCATC